GCTCCCGGAAGAGAGCAACATAGAATGTTCTGACCCCATGCCAGGCTGTCTTCACCGGGGCAACTCGATGGGGGAGTGGGGGAGTTTCTCTCCCCACCCCAACAGAGCCCCAGCAGCTGAAAACCTCCAGAACTCAATCGCCACCATGCTCACAGCTGCAATCCACAGGCTTGGATGAACCTCACCCATGAGTAAATTTGCTATATAATCATTCTAAATTTTAGAATTCCTGGAGCATGTAGCCTGCGTGACCTCTCATACTGTACACCACTGATGTACCAAGAGTCGCGCATACAAAGGCTTAATGGCTCCAGAATGAAATACAACAATCTTCACACACTTTCCTCAAGAAAACTTTATTGGACCATTTTTGGTGGATTATTCATAACAAGCAATACAAAATTAATTGTTTCAATTCTGCTTTGGGGGGAGATAGTTTGGAATTTGGGGTGGAAACATTTAAAATATGGTGAAAATATGGTGATGGGAAAGGGCAAGGGTGTTGGGTTTGGTGTTCAAATATTAAATGTAATGAATTATTGTGAAGAACTTTACAAAACTAAAATTTAAAAAAAGAAAGGAAAGAAGGAAGGAAGGAAGGAAGGAAGGAGGGAAGGAAGAAAGGAAGGAAGAAAAGAAGGAAGGAAGGAAGGAAGGAAGGAAGGAAGGAAGGAAGGAAGGAAGGAAACACTACAATTAATAGGCTTCCAGTCTACTTCTTTTCACCAATTGCTTCCAGGCTCATGAATACTTTCAGCTTTTTGGTTTTTGGTGTGGAGGGTGGTTGGGGAGATTGGGTCACACCCAGCAATGCTCAAGGGTCAGTCTGTGGTGCTTAGCAGATCATTCACAGGGCTGATGATGAAACCAGGTTCATCGGTGTCCAAAGCAGGATGTCCCATGGAATTGTACTTCATTCGCTCTCACTGCTTTCTGGTATTTTTTTGGAGATGGTGGTTGGGAGCTGGCATAGTCGGCAACAGTCAGAGGTTACTCCTGACTCTACACTCAGGAATTGCTATTGGCAGTTCCCTGGGGACCATATAGAATGCTGGGAATTGAACCGCAAGTGCCTTACTGGCTGAACTATCTCTCCAGCTGCCAAAGTGTGATTTGTATTTTGTTTTAGGGCCACACCCAACAGTGATCAGAATTTACTATTTACGGTAATTATAAATACTGTCAGTTAAGGCAAAAAATAAAAAAAGCCACAACCAAAGTAAAACAAAACCAAAACCATAATTTCCATGGGTGTGGAATTGAGCCATCAGATGTCCCCTTAATGACTTTTGCTGGTGAAATAGGATTCACCCATAGGCCAGTCAGCAAGTCATCCCTGCTTCCTGGGGCCCGGGGCTGAGATTTACAGGGAACATCATGGAGGGTCTGACTAAGAGGGCAATGACATTGGGGTTTTTTTGGGGGGGGGCGGGTGAGGGATATGTGTGATTCACAACCTTACTTTTCTGTTTTTCTGTTTGCTTTTTTTGGGTTATGTCTGTGGTGCTTGAGGCTTACTCCTGGCTCTGTGCTCAAGGATCACTCCTGGCAGTGCTTGAGGGCTATATGGGGTGCCAGGGATTGAACTAGGGTGAGCTGCATGTTTGGTAAATGCCTTAACCCCTATACTATCTCTCTAGGCTGACTCTCATCCTTTTTAAGGCTATAGCACATTTAGTCAGCTGTCCTAGTCCTATGAAATGACAACAGTTATGATGATGACAACTAAAATATATTTGCTGCCATAAAGTGCCTGCCATAGAGGCGGGCTGGTGGGGAGTGGGTGGCGGGATATTGGTGGTGTGGAATGTATACTGGTGAGAAGGGGCACTGGAACATTGTATGACTGAAACCTAGTCATGAGCAAGTTTGTAACTGTGAATCTCATGGTGATTCAATAAAAAAATTTGTCTGTGCTGGAGTGATAACACAGCAGGTAGGGCATTTGCCTTGCATGTGGCCGACCAGGGTTCGATTCCCAGCATCCCATATGGGCCCCTGAGCACCACCAGGAGAGCGATTCCTGAGTGCAGAGCCTGGAGTAACCCCTGAACATCGTCAGGTGTGACCCAAAAAGAAAAAAAATTGTCCAAGTCACTGTTTCCAAACACTTGGCCTATTTTCTATCATTTATCTTTATAGCTATTTTATGAAAATGATTGTCTCAATATTTTTAGGTAAGAAAACTGAGCCATAAACAAACAGAGCTCTAAAACAGAGTGAGGACAGACAACCTTTCTTAATTCAATGCCTACTTTCACGAAGGAGGGGAAGAGAGCAGAGGGAAAAAGCCCTAAGGCTACCTTATTCCATTGTGACCGATTTGGGGTGAGCTCGCAAACTCCAGACGTCTGGCTCCCTTGGCCCCTCACTCTTGCCGCCCCTACGACAGAATTCCATCCATTTATTTTGTTTATCCTGTTGACCCAGGTGAAGCCTCGTCTGAGAGGCAGTCGTGCTGTAGTGGAATCCAGCTGGATATTCCTGGTCCTCCTCCTGATAATTATAAGGGCAGGATTTAGCTGAAATATGATGGGAGGAGGATTACAGGTTTGGCTTTAGGATTCTGTGAAAACACATGGAAGCAGCACATTAATATTAGTCAAGGACTGAATGGCCCTTTATAAGGAGTTGAGATAAATTTTGGCAAAATCAGGTCGCCCTGCATAGAATTCAATTTGCTGTGAGGAAATCTCTCAAGAAAATTGTGATTTTTCTCCCTTACGTTTATTTAGCTGATCATATTCTGGAGGCTGCATCTCCTACAAAGTGGCACTCCTGAAATGAGGAGTTTGACTCTACAGGGCGACCCTTTGCTTTTCATTATGTTCTCTTGCTCACTGGGTTTTGCGTTAATCCGTGTTACACGTTTCTCTTGTGTTTTTCTTGAACTGTGTGAACTCTGTTAGTTCATTTCAGGGATGCATATCCAAGGGAAAAGCAGCCTCCTTTGATCTACCCTGGGACCCTATTCTGTCTAACCTGAGGAAGATTAGGGAGTTGCCATTCAAAGCCAAATACACATAAAACTCAGCTGCAAAGATGGTGGTACTAAATCTATTTACAACGGCTTCGTTATGAGCTCATTCTATATCCATGGATTTTGGAAAGCGTTCTTGTGGATGGAATTCCCATCTGCCTTGGGAGGATCCATGCATAGACAGGATCCAGAGCACTAAAATGCATTGGCCTCACAAAGGAATCTCTTTTGCACAAAACATTTGAATAGCAGAGAAACCGGTTTTAAAAAGTTGAAAATCATTGTCAATGTCGGCTCAACATATGGTAGGCAAGTGGTGCTTTTCTCCGAACGGAGTGGTTCTTTCTGGAAGGCCCCCTTGCCCTCTAGTTGTGCTTGGAATAACATTTGCTCAGCAGAGGTGAAGCAAGTCAGCGCCAGTGGGCAGACAAACAATCCTCTGCACTGGGGCAGAGGGGCAAAGAGCGGCCACTGGGCCGCACCTGGAAAACCAGACGTTCAGCTTTCCCTGCGCCCTTTCCAAAACGGCCTTCAGAACTCTGCCCACCTTTCAATAGCGCTTTCAAGCCAACATACATCTAATGGTGACATAATTTCCCCCAATAGCCTTAAAAAAGAGAAAGGAAGAAGAAAACAAAATTAAATTGCTGATTTTCAGTCACCTCCCAGGCATTGATGGACATTTATTTTCTCCCATGAAAGCTCTGATATTAATGGTGGCACTTGCTAGAATTGGTTAGGACTAAATGTTCCTTAATTCACATAGAAGCGACACTCTGACTGGACTATGATTAGTTCCAGCTTTTAGCTATCATTTCTAGGTCACCAGGCGGCTAACAACCCTAAATGAGGGACCATTATCTTTTGACAAGATGAAGCTTTTTTTTTTGTGGGGGGTGGGGTAGGGAATGGAAGAAGGGAGACACACTATCCAGAAAGCCCAGCTCACTAGTCTCTCTCTGGGAATGATCGCACTCCTAACAGAGCTTCACTGCCACTTACTCAAAGGAATGGCACTAATGCTGAAGGCAATGAAGAAAAATACTTTCCAGAGGATGGTGGGAAATACCATAAACATACAGGGAGGTTTGTACAGAGTATCTGGAGGAAAGGCGAGCATCTGATTTAGCGAATACTGAGTCTCCAAATATTTTGCGTATTGAATTGTCTTTGATTATTACGATTGGGGGCAGAACACTGAAGAAAGGTGAAATGTCAACAACACAAAACAACTCAACAATAATGCCTGAACAGTCCCCACTACATATAACGTTGACCATGGGTCCAAAAGCATTGCCAGCATCGCACAATTTCTTGCTTTCTTCCATGCCGCTCATCCTGGTGTTGATATCACCAGTCTCCAAATATATATGGAGGGTCACATATATCAGCATGTCATGCTTTCGTATGTACTGGAACACATGATAACTGTTCACATTAGTTGTTGTTTTCACTCACTACTTGACCATCCCAGCTTCATACTCTTCTTGACAACCTTCTCAATGGTAGTATAGTTCTGAGGTTAGGAGAAGTTCTGAAGGGAAGAACCCAGAACCCATTTTGGCCTGGGTTCAAAATCCATTCCTAACAAATCTGCTAGTTTCATGGCTATTGGCAAGTTATTCAACCTATTTTTCACACGTTTTGTTGAAATGAAAAATGGGATGAATGATGTACTAATTTTAAGGATTAAGGAAGATTAATGAGTTAACACCTAAAACAGTACTGTGCATAAACTAAGAATTTTTCATTAAGGGTTAGACTTAATTACTTATATGTTAATTATGGATTTATATGTTGATAAGTATATATACTTATATATTACTTGTAACATTTAATTATTATATATTCTTCACTATTGATGATTAGTTTTATTAACTCAATGGCCAGGAATTGGCAATGCAGATACTGAAGGAACATATGACCAAGAGATATATTCACAACATTTCTTCTTACTGAGACCTACAGCTAGAAATTGCCTCCCTCCCTCTGGCCCACCACTAAAACAGAGAGTTCTGAGTCAAAGGTGAAACATTTTTATTTGAGCTCACCCCTGAGGCTGAATAGAGTCTCATGATATTTATCCATATAAAAAAGAAAAACATTGCTTGCAGGCATAAATAAAAATTAATCATATGAATTGCTTTTATAATGCACAGTCCTTTGTGTTGATTACAAATAAGGAGCCTAGGAACTCAAGATGCAAAATATTTTAAATTCAATTTCAACAATTTTCAAAAGTTGAATTCTACAACTAAGGACACATAAAAAAAAAAAGTTGATCTTATAATGGAACCAGCCACCTTGGAAAATATTCTGAAAAACAAGTTTAAAACTTTGATACCTAAAAAGACAATAAGATAAAAATGTTGCACATTGGCTTAACTTTACAACCAGGCCTCTCGGAATAGCCTTGGTGAAGGAGAGGAATTGCCATTGGAATAGTCTCAGACACAAAGAAAATCACTTTGCATTTTAGTCCATCAACAGAGAAAGTCTTCCTTCACTTCAAGGCGACTTTTGAAAAGAAGTCTGCTTTCATTTTGCATTTGGCCTCACAATCTTCATCGACAAATAATTCTGAAAAACAAATAGAAACAGGTGACAAACATATGTATATTTAAGGGGCTGAGGATATAGCACAGAGGCTGTGAAGATACTACAGAGGATTAGTTGCAGGCCTTGTATGTCAGTGCTGGGGGCTGGGGGTTCAATCCCTGGTTCTTCACAATTCCCTAAGTATTGCTGGGTGTGTTCCTGGAGGAACCCCAGCACCATCTGGTGACCTGGGTAATCTCTGGTCACCACATAGTCCAAGAAACATCACATCCTTGGGCCCTCACATTGAACCTCTGGCCAGGTTGGTTGAGAATCACCAGGAGGGGCCCCAGGCCGACTGAACACTGCTTGGGAGAACTTCCCCTACTCCTGCATATACTTATTTCAGTTAGGGTTTCTCAACCTTGCACTATTAACACTTGGGACCAGATGCTTTGTTTTGGGTTTAGGCCTGTTCTTTATTTGCAATGGTACCAGTAGCTTTGTCTTCTATACCCTAGATGTTGAGAGAACCCCCCAGTTCTGACAACCAAATGTATCTAGGCATTGACAAATGTCCTATGATCAGAAAAACTTTCCACAGTTGAGAACCAATCAATGAATTCTAAATAAAGAAACACTGTAAAAGAATTGTTGGTCAAGACAAAGGAAATTACCTACAATTAGAAAATAGTGTACTCATGGTACATGTTAGTGTACTCATGGTCAACAAACTTGGTATTATCTATACTGGGGAGAATGAAGACCAAATTCCTGCTATTCTAATTGTATGATTATTATTAAATTAAAAATGATATATTTTATTGTATGTGAATTGAAGTAAAAATCTTTGAATCTTTCCTCCACTTGGCAACCAAGCTTAAAAATCTCATCTTTAATCAAGTTCTCTGTTCCTATGGTTATTGGTCATAATTAAGAGGTTATCTCAACCTCTTGCATCTTATAGCAATGTGTATATTATTTTGTTTCCTTGTCTCTATTCATTGACATAAATCATGCCTTGGTCTTCTCCACATCCCAATTACCATCTTATAGTTGATACTCAATATAGTCCTTAACTTAACGAATGAAAGTACTAATTGTAGGTACTCTGAATAATCTCCAATTTGGCCTCTCCTTTATTACTGGGTTTTTAATGGGAAGTTTAAGGGAAGTGTTTATATGATGAGGATCTTGAAGAATGAGGAGGATTTTAAATCAAAACCTAGGCAAAGGCATGTCATTGACAAAGTCTTTTTGGCAAATAAGGGCAACCCTGATTTGGGAGAGGTGAGTAAAAATGTAGTATGGGCATATAAAATGCCAGAATTAGGTATAACAAGAAATTTGAATATAGGATGGTTCGGAACAACAAAGTCTGAAGGCAGAAAGAGCAGTTGTAAGTGTTGGCCTGGTCTAGATGGGTATTGACAAGGGTCTGGAGGATTTCCCCTAGGGCTGGAGCGATAGCACAGCGGGTAGGGCGTCTGCCTTGCACACAGCCAACATGGCCGACCCGAGTTCGATTCCTCCACCCCTCTCGGAGAGCCCGGCAAGCTACCGAGAGTATTCGATATGCCAGACACAGTAACAACAAAGTCTCCAATGGAGACGTTACTGGGCCCGCTCGAGCAAATCGATGATCAACGGGAGGGCCTTTGGACTTTGGTTTTCAGATCATAAAGTTCAGCCTTAAGATTGTAATTCCTACTGGGTACACTGGTAGTCAGAAATGTATACGGGTGAAGGGTTGGGTGTTGGAATATTGTATGACTAAAATTCAGTCACAAACAACTTTGTAACTGTGTCTCGTGGTGATTCAATTAAAAAAGAAAAGAATTACGGTTCTAATCATATGGTACATTGTTTCCCAAAGGTTGAAAGTTCCATGTCACCTCTGCTGTTGGCCATCTTCGGAGTGACAAAAAAGGTAAGTACCAGGTGACATACACAACCACTCACACACACACGTGTACACACAAACACACACACACAGACAAGGACTCATACCGGTAAGGAGTACAGGAGCACGGCCACAAAGAGCAATAGGATGAACAAGATCAGGAGACCAATGATGACCCATTTAAAGCGACGCCACACAATGAACTTCATGGTCTTGCACGGATTGGTGAACCAGAGGAAGGAGGTTTCTGGGCGGCTACATTGGAAAGAAATGATACATTACCCACTCAACTCGGATGGTAGATACTTGACCTCAGAGCATTATACATTTTCATGAATTATCAGTAACATTTAATACAATTTAAGAAAAAAAGTATTGGAACTGGAACAATAATATAGCTTGTAGGGAGCTTGCCTATATATAGCCCAACTGGGTTCAATCCCTGGCATTCCATATAGTCAGGAGTGATTCCTGAACATAGTTAGGAGTGATCCCTGAGTGCAGAACCAGGAGTAAACCCTAGCACTTCTGGGATGTACCCCAAAACAAAAACCGAAAAACAAAGGGAAAAAAAGACATTCCTCCAGTTGGCTGAAAAAGATTATTCACCTTTGGGGCTGGAGTGATAGCACAGCGGGCAGGGTGTTTGCCTTGCACGCAGCCTAACCCAAGTTCGAATCCGAGAATCCCATATGGTCCCCTGAGCACCGCCAGGAGTAATTCCTGAGTGCAGAGCCAGGAGTAACCCCTGAGCATCGCCGGGTGTGACCCAAAAAGCAAAAAAAAAAAAAAGATTATTCACCTTTTATAACTTTTTTTTTTTTTGCTGTTTGGGTCGTGCCTGGTGATGCACAGGGGTTACTCTTGGCTCATGCACTCAGGAATTACTCCTGGCGGTGCTCAGAGGACCATATGGGAGGCTGGGAATCGTACCCGGGTCGGCCATGTCCAAGGTAAATGCCCTACCTTCTGCACTATCGCCCCAGCCCCCTTTTTAAATAACTTCTTAAGAGGTTGGAGACATATTGGACTTCGGTTTCATGGAAAATATGAATGGTCACCATAAAGCCATGTTGTCCAGTCCTTTATCCCTCCCTCCCACTATTAAGCACAAAATTGAGACAACAGCTAATCCATTCCATTAAGTCAACTGGAAGGGGGGTTTTCAGGCTGCAGGTGGTTGGGGGATCAGACAACACTGAGAACAAAGAAAGCCTCTCACTTTGGTGGTTCCAGCTTGGGGTTCATGTTGGGTTCATCTCGTCCCTTCCCGGCTGGCCTCTCATCAGCCTCCTTCTCATTGAGGACTTCCAACGTCATCTCCACTTTCCCCTTCAGTAAAGCAGAACAGGTTAAACACATGACATCACGTTTCACAAATATTTTCACTTCAGCCCAAGGAGTATTCCCTTAGCGATGATTTTTATTCTTGTAAAACAATCCTTAGATTGCTTTAAATTTTCCTCAAGAGATTTCATCACATTTCCTCTTCCATGTGTTTCTGAATGACTCTTTGTGGGAAACTGAGAGGACAAATTGCTTTCCCTCCTCCCTGTGCCCTGCTTTTCATTCTCTGTATTTCCATCATTCTAAATTTCTCACATTCATCTCCTCGCCTTCTCACACACCTTCCTTTGTAACTTTACTTGGCCCTAGATTAACCCAAGTACTGCTAATAATTCTAATGTTGATTAACTGTCAGCACCAAAATAGATCGCCTGTTTCACGGAACAGTATGGAATAGTGCTGGTACTCAGAGGAAAATTGATGTATGGAACTAAATGAATGAGTGAATGCATTCTCTCTCCTTGTCAACAGGTTTCTGAGGGACCCATTGGTCACTGTTTAAGTCTTCTATGGTGATAATCTCATCATTTTCCTGGAAACCCTAAAAAGTAGATTTTACTATTTATCTTTGTGTACACACGATGGTGCTGAGGCTAAAAGATGTCTAGGCAACTATCCCACTTTAATTTCCAGGTTTAACGAAGTTCATGGCATGGTCTAGGACCCAAAGAAGCCCTGCATATCACCCACAATTTGAGGACACCCAACCTCGACACTCATTCAAGTGAAGGGGCAGAGATGACCTCCTCGTTGATGTCAGACAAGGCCAAGTTTTGGACTGTGGCAAAATGTCCTGTATCTCCAAGACTGATATTTGAATCTATTAAATGGAGGTGAATGTCTGCTTTATGAAGGAGTCAAAAGAACCAAGTGAAACTATTACAAGTGAATCTACTGGAGCAGAAATGTGGTTCCGGGGCCAGGGGTAGAGAAACTAGCAAGCATAAGGAAACATTTTGGGTAAGGAGAAAGTATTCCAGATTTTGATTCTGATGGTTCCATGAGTATTTGCATGTGCCAAAATATCAAATTGAGTGCTTTACTTATTGATTTTGGGGCCATACTGCTATTGCCAGCAGTGAATAGTGGACATGTGATGGTGGATATCAAAACTGGGCTTCCAACATGCAAAGTACATCCCTGTAGCGAGAGCTTTAAAAGGCTACAGCTTATTTTCTCTAAGTGATATGTCGAAGTTGTTTTTTCAAAAATGAGATTATGAATGTAAAACATGCAGCATGTTGCCTTACTTCAACTCAAGGAACTAAATTACTAGCTAATATTAATAGTACATAACAAATTTGGTTGTCTTGTTACATGCAGCATGGTCTATACTTTTGTTTCTATATCAACAATTAAGTTATCCCTTTCTCACTGAAGATGAATGTCAGCACTTCTGGCTTCTTCTACCTTCTTTTAACTAAAAAACAAAAACAAAAGGGAAAATTTAAAGTTTCCCTTTCTGTTTTCTAGAGTAAAACAAAAAATAATTTTGATTCCCTTTTCTAAAAGTTTGGCATAATTATCTAAAAGCTCAGTCTTCTTGATGAAGCAGACTCCAAAAAGGCTCTCTAATTCCCATTTGGGGATCATTTCAATCTCTCCACTTACCATCCAACCCCAAACCTATGCTCACAGAGTGCACAATTTCTCAGAGATTTCTAGGTACATGCCATTCCCTGTAACTTAAAGTCCCACCAATGTAACACTTCTTTGTCTGGATGAATCTATTGATAAAAGGCATCAGTGACCCCCAAGCAGGAAATCTCATACCGCCATCACCCGGGTGCCATCTTTATCTGCATAGCATGGCCACCATCCTTTCATAGACTTCTGCTCAAAGAGGGAGGCGGTTTTAACTTTAAGGGGGTTCATGGTCTTGAGGTCTGGAATCATATCCAAATTGCATTTCTCTGATGATTTCGCTGGAATGATGGTGTGATGTAAATCAAGCTCCAGGAAACCTGGCCAAAAAACATAAAACCCAAATAAACTTCAGGTGGATCATCCAAGCAGCACAAAAGAACAGAATGTTCTTGTCAGAACAAAAGGTAGACAGTGATTCTGAACAGGTGATAGGTGTATTAGAGAAAAGGACCCAGGGAGGTATTTAAACTGATTTCCAGATAGGCTAGAAAGTGATGGAAAGAATATCTGTCTAAAGGCTCTGCATCTCACTAAGGTTTACATGTTCATGTCTCTAAGACAGGAGCGTACACAGAACTCATCTAGGAGCTCAAAATAAACATCTGGAGAAAAAGGTTCCATTGGACTTAGATTTAAAATGGGTTCCTACTCGTTCTGGGAGGTCCCTGTCATGGCCATTTGGTTTAGGGTCAAAACAAATGGAAATAGGAACATGGGAAGTTCCACAGAAGATTCATGTCCAGGTCTTTCCTAGAGGAACCTAAGAAAGAAGGATTTGAGAAGAAACACAACAGTTCAACAGCAATCTCTCGCCAGGTACAAGGAAGCCCAAATTAGGGCACCTGGAGAAGCACAGTCTCTTTTCCATGATGTCAGGCAGGAACTCTAGTCCTTTAACCGAGTTTTTTTGGGGGAGGGGGTGGTTTGTGAACTCTTTGGCTTTGTGAGCCCTGCTGTGAGTAGGTGACAGACTGGGAGGTAACTCAGTGGTAAAGCTCTTGCCTTGCATGTGAGACCCTGGGTGGATCCACATTATAGGGGAAAAATAGTGTGATATAAAGTAAAAAGGTAAAGGTAAAGGCCCTCCCATTGTTCATCGATTTGCTCGAGCGGGCCCAGTAACGTCTCCATTGGAGACTTTGTTGTTACTGTGTCTGGCATATCGAATACGTCACGGGTAGCTTGCCAGGCTCTGCTGTGCGGGCGAGATACTCTCGGTAGCTTGCTGGGCTCTCCAAGAGGGGCGGAGGAATCGAACCGGGCTCGGCCAGGTTGGCTGCGTGCAAGGCAAATGCCCTACCGCTGTGCTAGTCTAGCAATGCCACAACAAGGGTTGGAATTCAACAGTGGCAGAACACTGGTGGAAGGATGGCTGTTGGAACACTGTCTGACTGAAACCCAACCATGAACAGCTTTGTAAATCTCTATCTCGTGGTGATTCAATTAAACAAGCAAACAAACAAAAGGCAGGTTATGGTAAATTCTTTTTGACCTGCTTTTTTCCTTGTCTCTCCTTCTGGCAATTGCTCTAGTCCTTTGCCACTCGCTCATTCTGAAATATAATTGTCTCTTATCTGTCATCAGACTATTTCATTCAAAGTCCAAGGGAAAGACTCCTGGAAACAATTCTGAAATGTAATGCCCATCTGTTTTATAATTGAATAGCGCTTAAATACTCATCTGTTTATTTAATTTTAAGAGTCACCAGATCAGAGCCATATCAATTAATGTTATGAAGGGTAAAGGAATGAACAAGACACAACTATTGGTCACTGTGGACTTTTCTCTTTCAGGTAAGATGCTTAGGAAACAGGATGGAAGCAGTGAGAGGGAGTAGGGGCTGCTGTAACTGTTGGCTAAGAGATAATGACATATGAACTGGAAAATGGCAGAGGGCTTAGAAAAAAGAAATTAAACATGTACGATAGAGTACATCCTATTGTTAAAACTGAGTGTGTGTGTGTATGTGTGTGTTTGTGTGTGTGATATTAACAAATGCTAGAGTCATCGAGGAGGATGAACTTGGGAGAAAGAACAATGACCGGAGAGAGACTCAGAGACCTGAGTAGCTTTTGAAAGACCTGTGGAAGCCAATTCTGAGGTACTAAGGAGAGAGAGAATGGATGATGTGGAAATGGAAGCAGGGTGAAAACTGGACTAGAGTCTTCATAGGTTGGCAGGAACTGGGGCAAAACCTTCATGTGGCTCCTGAGAGTGGAGAGGCCCACAAAAAAGGTGACCTTTACGGCGTCCCTCAGAGGACCTGAGAGAGCAGACAGGCATGCCACAGTGCCCAGAGGACATCCAGACAATGTAATGAGTGTGTTCCTGCTTCCCTGTTATCCCTGAGTATAAAGGACTCAAGTATAAATTGATTCCATGTTTCAATTGCTTTCACTCATTGCAAGCGCAATTTTCTTAAAGTATCCAAATGGAAGCCTTACCCAAGTAGTCATCCAGAGAAAACTTGTCATTGTCCCAGATCTGAATGATCAGTCTAGGTGGGACACGGAATTCAGTTTGGTCAATACTCCAGAAATGTTCCTAAAAGGACAAGAGATACAGATAAACCAAATGATAATGATTAGTTTCCCCTTGGGCCCATTGAAAAACCATTCTCAAGTCATGGGGCCCCTCTTTTTCATCCTACCCCCCTCTCCAGGCCCTACCCCTGTACCCCATGTGGTATACAGAGAGCAACTCTAGGAAATCTCTCTAGGAAATCGCAAGGCCACCAGCTGGGTGACAAAACGGATGTTCCAGGTAGTTTGCAAAGAGCTTTCCGGCCATGTTCTTATCAGTGCTGCAGATTTCTGCTGCAACTCCTGGGGTTTAGGGAGTAATTACTTCCCCCTCCTGCAGACCACTCCAATGGCTCAGATTATCCCTCCAAAGACAAACCACCCCAGGCTCACCCACAACATCACCTGCTGGGTGTCACTTCTGCTCAACAAACTTGCTTCCACCTCATAGAAATGTCTGAGCACATGTGTTCTGTGAAGGCATTGAGGAGCCTAGAGCCCAGATTTCACCTTCATCTGTGCAAATTTTAAACAACCTGCTATTTTTAACTCTTGAAAAATATTACTGAGTTTCACATGCTGTGGCCAGCTAAGACCCCCTGCTCTCTCTAACAGAGTTGCCTACAGGCCTACCTGACTTGAAATCCCCAGTCTGTTTTACATCTGGAAGTCTATAATGGTTTAACATCTGGTTGAGCCTCTGTGTGTCTACAAAATGCCATTTGAAGATACTTATCTCATCTGGCACAGAAAAAAAGCATTTACAACTGCCTTGGCACGCAAAGGATAAGCAGGGGGTAGTAGCTAGCTAAAGGTGTCACCTGGCAGATGCATTTTGATCAGGGGAGAATGGATGACAAGGCAGAGAAAGAAAGGGTTTATAGAATGTGTGTGTGTGTGTGTGTGTGTGTGTGTGTGTGTGTGTGTGTGTGTTGTGTGTCTTGTGGAGGGTAGGAATGTGGAAGGCTCATTAAAATATCTGCTGTTGCCTGCCTAGATTTCAGAGCCTCTTTTAAGGATGAAAATTTCCAGATTTTTCCTTGTGGACTCCTTTCCTTCAGTCCATGAAGTTTGGGAGGATCTGACTCCCATTTCTTTGGAGAGTCTGGCCAGTCAGAGCACTGCATCCCAGACAACATTGGTTGGTTCAGAGATGGGCATGTGACCTCAAGTAAGCAGACACTGAGGCCCAGAACTCTAGCTGGGGGCATTCATTTGCTCAGGGTTCTGAGAGGCGGGCTGTGAACAGGGGCTGCTGATGGTTTTCCTATTTCTGCCAGGGAGTAAGGCCACAGAAAAAGACAGGACAGCGGGGTTTGGGTAGGTGAGAGCATTTTCTAAAATCAGCAGTTCAACTGTTGATCCAGGCACCATTTGCACTAGCAACCCTAGACTTTTTAAGTCATCAAAGGCAATAAGGCACTTGTTTTGTTATAAACCATTTTGAGTTCTGTAACAGAGAGTCTCATTAAATTAGTTTAGGAGGGGCCTGTATTTTTATGGAAGAGCTTCTGGAGGATGTAAGTCAGATACTGGGTTCTAATAAGGAAGGTGAAAGGAAAATTTCACCTTCTTTATTACTTTCTGTTGGACTTAATAGTGAGTCGAATAGTTCTGCTTGTCATGGGAAGAATTACTTCCCTGTGATGTAAATATGCTTCTGCGTTGTCATAGATATTGTTCTAAGTGCCCTGTGTCTAGCCTTTTCCTCATCCCATAGCAACATATTAGGGAGAAACAACATCGTCTTCTATGCGCTTCCTAATTACACAGATCACTCTCATAGCTGTGTGACCTTGGGCTAATATCTACACCTCTGTGGGTCCCAGACTCCCCAGCTGTACTAAGAAGGAGCTGGAGGCCTGCGCCCCTCCCCCACAACAAGGTGTAAAGGCACCCCAGTATTCTCCGTCTGCTTCAGGAAGGCCCACAGCATCTACTTCCCATCGGTATGTTTTCGAGCTCACTTTTTTGGCAACGATACAAAGTTGTTCTGCTGGGAGGTAGTCAAATGGGAAAACAAATCTCCAGTTAAAATTCCCTTCACCATCCAAGGACCGGTAATGGACATCTGTTTTCTGTTTGTTTTCTTCATTACCAGGAATCCAGCTGAAAAGCAGAGGCAAACAGACTTTAGCTTCATGTGATTGACAAGTAATCTAGCCGCAAAATTGTGCAGTGATTAGGGGAGCGAAGGGCAGGAGAATTAATGCACTTTTCTTGGGCGGGTTCCAGTTATCTAAGGAGCTGAGGGTGATTTATGAAGGGAAGGCACTCCGCTGCATCCAACACAGTTGTAGCCAAATAAAATATAATTCCTCTAAAACCAAAGCAGGAAACCCTTTAGACTATGCTTAACAGGGATAGGGTGAAATTTTCTGGAGAATATCAACAACTTATCTTCTATTTTAGGGATGTTAAAACTTGCTGGCCATGACTTTAGATTTCATAAGTCTAACTAACTCATGAGTGTCTGTCATCACTGCTGATAGGCTCAGTGAATACACATTAGTTCAACATTTTAGCATTTCCTTTTCCATATTTCACTTAAGCAAAAAAAAAAAAACAGGCACGACTCAAATAATGAGTCTAACTAGGGAGATGTAAACTGCCATTCCTTACGCCTATCTATGAAAATTCATTTTCATAAACAACATAACATCTTAACTTTCCACTTCTGAAGAGTTTACTTGGGCTTGTGCTTAGCTCATAACAGACATGTAGAATGAATGAATGTACCCATGAAGAAGTGGTTACATCTCCTAGCTAACAGGGAGACTCCTGGTTTAAAACGAGGCGGAACATTGGATTTTTGGTTTGTTTTAATTTGAGGGCCACATTCACAGGTGTTCAGGGCTTATTCCTGATTCTGTTCTTAGGGATCACTCCTGGCTGCGCTCAGGGGACCATATGGGGTTCTGGGGATTGGACCCAGATTTGCCATGTGCAAGGCAAGTGCCTTACCTGCTGTAATATCTCCCTGGACCCAAGCCCATTTTTTAGCACTGGATATTATATTGGCAGTCAACTAAGAAACTTTGAAAAATATTGATGCCTAGATTCCACAGATATTCTTTTGTTTTTTTCTTCAAATTTTGAGCCACATCTTGTGATGCTCAGGGCACAGTCCTGACTTAGTATTCAGAGATTGCTCCCAACAGAGCCCCAGGGACCATGTGGTGGCAGGGAGTCAACCCAGAACTTCTACATGCAAAGCAAGTTCTCCAGCCCATTGAGTTCTCTCTCTGGTCCCCAGATAGAGTCTCTTGGTTGGAGTCAGGCCTAATTATGAGTTTTTTTTAACTGCTTTCTGAGTTTTCTCTTATATTTGTAAAATGAGGTTCATGATCTGTGTCCCCTTAACATGACCAATATGGTGAGAAGGGCCAACTTGGGAAGAAGGAACTCTTGAACTCAGGTTTCTAAAGTATATGCTTTAAATTAGTATACTTAACACACCTTATTTCATTTTCTCCAATAACTATATCACTATTTTTATTTTTCTCAGATGAGGAAAAGAAAGATCAGAAAGAATCTGTAAGCTACAGATCATATAGCCAGTACCAGCAGGAGGTCATATAGCCAGTACTAGAAAAATTAAATAGATATTGCTCCTAGACCAGCCTGACTACCAAAGTCCAGGTACTTTGAACTCTGCCTTTACTGATCACAGAAAACAGAAAGTCACAGGCTAATATTAAGCCCTATTATTCATAGTGGCATAAATATCAATCAGCTATATCATTTTACTTTGTATCAGCCAGTTAACTGACTAGACAAATTGGCTAGCTGATAGGCTCCTTTTGACTAGTAATGCTTAAGCTTTTGAACTAACTCATTGAACAGATAGTCTCATGTTCTGGTTAGTACCTCAGGAATTTCCCTGCTTCCTGACAGCATCCCAAAGATGCCTCCATTACCAACACACAGCCGTAGATTTGCCCTCAGTTTGAGGGAAGAATTTTTTAACTCATTTAATTTGATTTGTCAATCTTTTCTCATTTTTTGTTTGTTTGTTTTTGCTTTGGGATCGTACCTAGTGAGGCTCAGGGCTTACGCCCGACTCTGCACTCAGGAATTACTCCTGGCAGTGCTCAGGGGACTATATGGGATGCCATGGATTGAACCCAGGTTGGTTGCATGCAAGGCAAACCCCTACCCGCTGCTCTATCACTCCAGCCCCAATCTTTTCACATTTTAATTTTAAAATGAGTGAAGCAAAAACTTAAAGTATATCTGTGTACCTGTAGGTCTGACTTTGTGTGTAATGCCTATATGTGGTGCTGGGTGGGTTAGTTATGAATAGAGGCATTATTCATATTTTCACATATATTTATCTTAATTCCAAATATTACATGGTACTTTAGAATGCCCTTTGTTCTTTGATTAGACGAGTTTTTTCTCAGTCCAGTATTACTTGAATTTATTTTCCTGATTTGAAAACAAAAAGCACAATGCTTATGATAGTCAAATAAATTTGCATATATATAATTAGCTGGGATTAGTTTTCCTTGGGGAATGATAATAAGATCCTGAAATGAGAAAGAATAATGAAGAACTTGATGAAACATTCCCTGTTTACACTGAACCTAAATGATAGTGATTATGTCTTTAACAAAGTTTTGATTGAAGGCCACTTGGGATCCCAAGTGAAACTTTGTTCTCACTTTATGAATATATTAAATTCCAACAAGTTTGTCTTCTACATTTCAAGGAAGCAAAGATGGTCTCTGTGGTAAGGTGATTTTAGTAGCTAACATTCACACAGCACTATGGTTAAGTTTTTGTGTCAGTGTGACTGGCCACAAGATATAGAATGAACACCAGATCTGGTGTGTATGATGTTAATGTATTAAAGAATGAGAATGCAATTTGAATTGGTGGATTTATTTTATTTTATTTTATTTTGGGGGGGTCACACCTGTCGATGAACAGGGGTTACTCCTGGCTCTGCATTCAGAAGTTACTCCAGGCGGTGCTCAGGGGACCATATGGGATGCTGGGAATCGAACCCGGGTAATGCCCTACCCGCTGTGCTATCTCTCCAGCCCCTGAATTGGTGGATTTAGTAAAGCAAACTGCATCCTTAGTCTGGGTGAATGTCCTCTATAGGTTCTGAAGGGAACAAAGGATAATGAGGAACTCTGCCTCATTGATTGAGGGGGGGTATTTCAACAACTCCTTTGCCCACCTCAAACTGAGATGGATAAATCTACTCCACTGCTTAAAGACCTTTGAACTTAAGACTCAAAATCATGCTACCAACTTTCCCGGGTCTCTGTCTTGCAGATAACAGAACTATTATCAATGAGGAGTTTGCCCAGCTATTAGGAAAAGTAAAGTATTTCAATTCATGCTGTTTGTCTCCAGAGTCTGGCTTCTTAATCACTATGATGCTCAGTGTTTAATATTAATGATCAAAGCAAACCACAAAACTTTATCTATGGGGCTATCCGCAATTGAATTATGCAAGTAACAGAGTAATGAATAACTATGACACTGTACAAGTTAGATAAAGGCACTCAGAAATATTAATAAGATAAATGAATTTAAAAATATATTCTGGACTGGAGACATAGTACAGTGGACAAGGCACTTGCTGTACATGCAATTGACCCAACATTGATCTTGCCACTGCTGCTGCCCTCCCGTTGTTCATCGATTTGCTCGAGCGGGCCCAGTAACGTCTCCATTGTGAGACTTCTTGTTACTGTGTTTGGCATATCGAATACTCTCGGTAGCTTGCCAGGCTCTCCAAGAGGGGTGGAGGAATCGAACCTTGGCGGGGCTGGCTGCGCGCAAGGCAAATGCCCTACCGCTGTGCTATCACTCCAGCCTATGTGCCCTATATGATGCCCCTAAGCCCCGCCAAGAGTGATCCCTGGAACACAGACTTAAGAGTATGTCCTGAGCCTGTTGGTGTGATCCAATAAACAAACAAACAAAATATCTTCTAACATTTTGTTTCCATGAACATTAGCTATTGGTAATAAAATATATAGAAAAAAGGAAATTTGGAGGAATTTCTCTGGCCCCAGATAGAGACTCTTAGGTTATGAGCTTATTTTGTTATGACTTGTCTAAGCTTCCTCCCCCACCTGTGAAACAATGTTAGGGTATTAGTGTTTTTAAGGCTATTCAAAATAACTAATGAATTAAAAATAACTTGCATGACTAAAGGGTCTCAGAAATAATCTGCTTAATAAATGAAAGAAAACCCACTTTCTTAAAAAAAAAAACCCAGTGAAACATTTATTCATCCCGGTAGTTATTCTGCACTTCTGTTCATAAACCAGGTCTGCACAGGCTTCTTTTTCCATTCTGTTCTCTCTCCATTTGCTCCCTGGGACTTCCTAAACAGAAGGCACTAGAGAGACAAAATAGCTCCACATAACTATGAATCCTAATGGTCACTCCTTCCTACTTCTGTCCATGACTTGTCAGAGACTCATACACACTAATCTTACCCTTTGACATAGATGTCACTCATTTCCTCTCCTGTGATACTTTTCTCATCCAAGACAACATCCTTGGTGTTCCAGATGATCACGCGCAGGTAGTATCTGCAAGAATCACATTTCGTTTTCCTCCAGTTCTGTACCAAGAACCCAGTCCAAAAGAGGAGGGTCTCCAGATTACTTACTTCTTGGCTTTACGGGGTGTGATGTTGAAAGGAGGGCCTGGTGGCCCCAGACTCTTGGGGAAAACATCCACCCACATCTGAAGTTTTCCCTAAACCATTTAAAAATGAAATAGAAATGAAATGTTTAGTAGTAGTAGTGACTATAGGCATATTTTCATTTTTCTTAGGTGAATTGTTTTAAAGCCTACTAATAGTTCATGGGAAGACAATAAGTACAAAAGTGAGAACCAATATGTGTCATGAAATTATTTGTTGTTATTTGGGGAGGATGGGAACTTGGGACATACCCAATGTGCTCAGGACTTACTCCTGACTGTATGCTTAGAGTGGTCTCTGAGAAGTGCTCAGGAGACCATATGCAATGTCAAGGATCAAACTCTTGCATGCAAACCATGTTCTTAGCCTTTGAGCTCTCTCTCTGGCCATAATGTGAGTCCTGCTAAGTAAATAAAATGAAGGGCTTCCCATCACTAATATGACATCCATCACACACCCACACTCTGACAACTTAAAATTGAGTAGTTTACTTTCAGAGCAATCTCATGAGATCACTCAGTTGATCACACTTTGTCTCTTGACATCAGTTCCAGTTTTGTGAAACCCAAGAGTTTCTGTACTTAGCACAAGACTAAAATGTCAAAATGACATAAAACTCACATAATTTTGTAGAAGTTACAAGGAGAAACTTACAAGGTGGTGCTTTCAAAAGGGCTACTCAGGCTCCAGAGCAGCACAGTGCAGTGTGAAATGCTCTTGCCCTGTACCTGCTGACGTGGGTTCGACCCCTGGCGCCACATAGGGTGCCCTCAGCACCGTCAGGAATGATTCCTGAGCGTAGAACCAGGAGTAACTTCTGAGCACTACCGGGTATATGACACAAAAATAATACAAACAAGAAACATAAAAAAACTACTCAAACCATGACCTGTTCCTATGCCCCAGGGTGGAGGGCAGTTTGTCCTTGCTCACCAGTGCCCATGTTTGAGGGGAGGCATTGGAGAGGGCTGGAGAGGGGAGTTCTTGGGCCCATATGTGAACCATCATTTTTCCAAGACCTGGCTCATGTGTTTGAGAGCCTCAGACTAGGCCCATCTATCTGACGGCAGTAGCCTTCCAGACAGACCATTTACATTTTCCAAACTGATGGATGTTCTCTATGCAGACTGATCTTCAAGAGAGTTGCCAAGGAAACCACTAGATTGGCTTCTTAATACATTGTGATCAAAATGAATTAAACTAAAGCACTCGAAAGGGATATATTTTTACTTTGATCCTGACTCTTTTCCATGTAATCTTGGGCTCAAGGTTCTCTAACAAATCAAGCATGCTGCAGAACATTCTGCATCCAGGTGTCTCCTAAGACCAGCCACAGTCTGATGCAGTAGGTAGCGATGGGGTGGGGTGTTGGTGGATTCCTGGGGAGAAATCTTTGCAATTTCTTGGGACTCTATTCAATTGAGGGGTGGGAGGGAAAAGAGGAGGAAGAAGAACAGGCTCTTTGGGGAAGGGTGACTAATAAGGGAAGGAAGAAATGAAAAATAAAAGCAAGGAGTGACAGTCTAGTAAGCCCAGGCTACTTGTGACCACATTGTAGAGAATGGCTGATGCACATTGGCTGAGTATAACTATAAAAATATAAATATCACTGTATCACTGCCATCCCATTGTTCATCAATTTACTCAGAAGACTCCAGTAACATCTCCATTTGTCCCAGCCCTGAGTTTTTAGCAGCCTCTCCTTACTTGTCTTTCCCAACGTATTGGAGGCTCTTTCAGGGTCAGGGGAATGAGACCCATTATTGTTACTGTTTTTGGCATATCGAATACACCACGGGTAGCTAACCAGACTCTTATAAATATAAATATAAACATTTTATATGTATATTATATATATATATTATATGGGCTGGAGCAATAGCATAGAAGGTAGGGCATTTGCCTTGCATGCAGCCGACCCAGGTTTAATTCCTCCATCCCTCTTGGAGAGCCTGGCAAGCTACTGAGAGTATCCTGCCCACATGGCAGAGCCTGGCAAGCTCCCCGTGGTGTATTTAATATGCCAAAAACAGTAACAAGTCTCACAATGGAGATATTACTGGTGCCCACTCGAGCAAATTGATGAACAACGGGAGGACAGTGCTACAGTGCTATATATTATACATATTTTATATATATATTTATATATATATTTAAAATATAAACAACAAATGGCTGTTGTCAGTGTCAATTATACTTGCATAATTTGAGCAGTAATTCTTAGAATATGACTTCCTAGCCATCAGCATCGGAATATCTTCTTTCTCCTGGTGTTAATAAAACTCACATTCCTGAGTTTCAATAAGAAAAAAGAGAGAGAGAGAGAGAGAGAGAGAGAGAGAGAGAGAGAGAGAGAGAGAGAGAGAGAATATAGTGGTCAGAGACAGTACAGAGGTTAAAGCATTTGCCTTGTAAAATGCTGCTAGCTCTGCGTAAAGTTCCCCGAGAACCTCCTAGAGTGATTCCTCAGCAGAGCCAGGAGTAAGCTCTGAGCACCACCTGGTATGGCCTAAAACCAAATAAATATGTAAATAAAACTCACAGCCCTGGTCCCACCCCAGATATACGGAATGAACTCAGATCTCTGCAAGTGCAGCCTGGGAGTGTCCATTGTAACAAGCTTCCATGTGGATTATTTCCCAGTAGTACTGGACTTTGTCTCTCCACACGTCCCCCAGGATGAGCTTTCTTGGTTTCTGTGACCTTGCTTCTTTCTTGGCTCATTGGTCTCATCCAACCTGAGTGAAAGGCAGTTTCCAAATCCCTGCCTCCTAGATACAGTTGAGTGATCTGGTGGGGAACCAATGGTCCTCTCCACAAGTAGATACCAAAAGAATTACATTATAATTCAGCACTGTCTGAATTGTTCAACAGACAAGAAATCATGGGAAGAGAGCAGACTAACGAGACCCATAGTGAGAAATAAATAAGATAGAGAGGTAGCCTGGTTCAAGCTTATAGCGAGTCTTAGTCGTTCTGTGTCTGGCTTGAGTGAGTTGCCTGAGAATTGTGACAACAAAGTTCCCTTGGGAATGAAACTAATTTGAATATAATTTCTGTTTCTTAAATATCTAAAAGTTTCCCAAAGAGACAAATTCATGTCAGTTTCACTACTGGTATTGGGAGTTTAGATGATGGGTTGCCAAAGGCAGAGAGGTCCTTCGCCTCTGTTTTCAGTTGCATCCCTTTGTGGTGCTCGCACATACCTGACTGCAGTTTGGCCAGAAATCGTGGTGCTTGGGGGTCAGACAGTAGAGCCACTGGGCTCATGCTTGGCACATGTGGCAGAACAAGGGGTTTGAATGAGGGACTATGTTGTATAAATCAGGTGTTTTAGCCACAGTGCTGTTTCTCCAAACCCTGGTGAAGTCCCTCCCTTTACCTGAGAGATGTTGGGCTGGAAGGTACTGTGCAAAGTCCGTGTTTCCACGTGTTCAGGAACCAGTCCCTGTGTCCTGAGGATGTGAAGGGCAAGACGCTCATCAGGGGCTCCCAGGTGCTGGTGCAGAATTTTGTTGGCTTCTGTAATCAAAAGTGGCATGAAAATAAGAATGGGCATTGGGACTGGAGGAGGGGGCTTAGATGTCATTTCAGACTTTGCAAAAATGGTCGGGATGCAAACTTCTATTTGGGGAGGCATTAATAGAAAGTTTCTGACCAGGGGCCTTGCTTTCATCGGTCTCACTCCAAAAGAAAAAGAACCATAACACACCAGGATGTGTGAGAACGGCCCATGGTTACTTTTGTGTCTGAGGTTCAGGATAGACTCTGTTTTCCAGGCTCCTTGCAATTCAGTGGGTCATACAGCCACTGAGGCTAGAATGCAATGCAGATGGAAGCGGCATCTGCAACTTCTAGAGCTGAGACATGAGGATTTTCTTTATGCAGAAATAATGGCAAATGTAGATGCCTGAACTAAGGAATGGCAAGGTAAGAAGGCAGGAAAAAGCCTGAGTCCTTGCAGCATTATTTACATCTGTGTGTCTTTGCACCAATTTCTCTGCATCCCATGTGTCCTTCAAGGACAATTCACTGCCACCCCCTCTGAGTGCCCCTTGTCCCTTCAAAATACTGTGTTCCACGGGCTCGAGACAGTACAGCAAGTGAGGTGCCTGCATTGCAAGCGGGAATGATGCCTGAGCACGGAACCAGGAGTTAAGTCTTGAGCACCACCGAGTCTGGCCCCCAAATAAGAACATACAAATAAAACTCCAGAATTCCATTGGATCTCTTCTGCTCATTAAACTGATTTTAGTGTTGGTTATAGTGAAGTTAGCTATTTTGTGTCAGGATAACTTTAAAATGATGACTTAGGAGAGACAAAGACCCCAAGCTCAGACATGCGCTAAATGTGAACTCTGCAACCTTTGAGCAAGCCTCCCCCCATTCCTGAGCCTGCTCAGAGACACCTCAGAGAACGATGGAAAAGACCAAGAAGAGGAAGTTTTACATGACTGAGAGATTCTGAGCTAATTATGGCTTATATGGAAATTAGCTCATTACCAGAAAGCTGTTTTCACAGCTCCCGTAGCCTGACCTAAAGATGTCAAGAAAAATGTCAGAATGACAAGAAAATGTGTCCATTTGGCACTTGGAGACAGCAAACCTCAGCAATTATAATGGGGCCTTTGTCAGATCATCAACTTGCAGAGTCACCTGTGTACAGTCGCCTGCTCTGCCCTCTCCCCGACACCCTCCAGACAAGCCCAGCACTGGGAAACTGCTTTGCCAGGCAGTCCTCTGCAACGTGCTTACCAAATTCATCCAAACTGTAGTCCCGGCCCCCGTATCTGATTCGACATCCATCTTCACTCAAGATGGGCCGTGGGAAGCCTTTGAATCTGGCTACATTTTGTAGTAACTCTGTGGGTCTCAGCTGATCTCGCCAGGTATTTATTCCAGAACTGTGAATGACACCCCACACCTACAGTTACTGCAGCGAACCTGGTTTTGCTTCAGATTCACACTTCACATCAATACTTCTAGGAGGTCCCATGTTACATGGGAGGGGGAAACCATGAGCTCCACACTAGGGCTTTTGCCAAGAAATCTATTTCAGAGACCTAAAATCCACATTACTTTGGTACCAGCCAATTGCCTTTTACCCCTTTCAGTTTCCTTTTCTGAAAAAAAAAAAAAAAAAGATTATGCTTGAAATCACACAGCATAATCATAATAGCACACATATAAACTGGCATTGCATGCTATGCCTCATTAGGTGCTGTGGAAAGACGTCGCATAGCTCTCTGGGAAAGAGGAACATCAAGAAATGGATGGAACTGGGGAACTGCTGCTTCCAAAAGGTAGTTTTTGCTGTCAAACACTGCCAGTCCTCTGCCCTGGCATTGATGAGGGGAGCTCAGGGAACAAGATGGGGTGTGGCTGGCTCTCTGAATTCTGCTACCTGTACCAGAGGCCTGCACTACACCAGAGGCCAACAGGACTACACCTATGACAATGTGAACAATGCTTCCTGGACTTGGACAAAATTAAGGGCCTAACTCTCTGTAAAATAATAAAAATAATCTTTTTTCTTTTCTTTTCTTTTTTTAAAGGTTCATGTCTTAAAGGCACAGGCCTGAGGTAGAGAGTCAAAGCCTCCCCAGAGGCGCCTGGGGAAAAGGTATTTACTTTCATTGCCAGAGCAACTTACACACAATACTGTTCAGGTATGCCACAGTGGGACCCAAACCGAGAAAGGAATCGGTTTTCCAGATCAATTGTCGTCTCTCCCACTTTTTCATCGCGGGTGAAGGTGTCATAATCATAGACAGAAATTTTCAAGTCTTTTTCTTGAGGTAAGTAGCAGGTCAGTTCATACATTCTAAATAAACAAATGTACAGTCAGGGTCTCCACAGTATCTCCAGCCCCCGCCTGACTTCTTGTAAACCCCAGTGCTCTGTGCCTAGAATCCCCAAGCAAGGGGCTCTGGCTTCTGGTGGTAGTCGTGGTGGTGGGGCTGGGGGTTGGGGGAAAGCTGGTGACCAGGACAACTGAATGATGCAAGGGGACAAGGGCACCGATAGGTAATACACAGTAGCATAAGGACACAGGAGATGACACGCATGCTCAGAAGCTCGGGGGCTGGAGAGCAAGCAAGCACAGGGGTTAAGGCACGGACCAAGCGCAATCTGATCTCCGAGACCACGTGATCCCATGCCCCAGCAATGAGCGCTGCAGTCTTGGAGGCCTCCAAGCACAAGTAGGGTGGCCAGTGACTCAGGGCCTGAGCATCCCTGCATACATCCTCAGGACCCTAGCATTGAATTGTTGGATGAGAATCCCAGGAGGGGCTGTTTGAGCACTGCTTGGGAAGGCTCCCAACTGCAAACAAACAAATAGCTAAGAGAAAATTCCCTGTTTGCTCCCCAGCTCTGAAGCTTACCAAGTGTGGGAAGTTACTTAAAGTCTAGGCCAGTAGCTTAAGCACTTTGTGCTCAGTCCTTTCGTCTGTAAATTGGTGATATTCTTAACTCCCTTGTTCTTATAAGATACAAGTAAAAGAGGTCTGAGTTCTTCTTTTTCTTCTTCTATTTTTTTTTGCATGCAGCTGCCTCATATCTTTTTTTCTAATGCCAGGCACAAAAGTCAGATCAAAATAGATTAAAATCCATAAGGTGCATGGAGGAAAATGTAGGCAGAACTGTTGATGACGTTGAAGCCAAAGGCATCTTCAAAGATGAAATACCACTGACCAAGCAAGTGGAAGCAAAGATCAACTAACGGAACTACATAAACCTAAAAGCTTCTGCAGCTCAAAAGAAATGGTGACCAATATATGAAGTCAGCCCATAGAATGGGAAAAATTATTTACCCAATACCCATCTAATAAGAGGTTAATATCCAAGACATATAAGGCTATAGTAGAACTTTACAAGAAAAAAAATCCAACCCCAACACAAAATGGGGAGAAGATAAACAGAAAGTCCCTCAAAGAAGAAATTCAAATGCCCAAAAGGCACAGGAAAAAATGCTCTTCATTACTATCATTAAGGAAATGCAGATCAAAACAACAATGAGATATCTCACAACACAGACACTGGCACACATCTAAGAGAACAAGATCAACCAGTGCTGGCATGGATGCTTGGAGAAAGGGACTCTCATTCATTGTTGGTGGGAATGCCGACTGATCCAGGTGTTTGGAAAACAATATGGACATTCCTCAAAAAAATTAAAAGTTGAACTTCCATAATGACCCAGCAACACCACTTCTGGGAATATACCCTGGGGTTGCAAAAACACACTGCAGAAGAAACATCTGCATTTCTATGTTTATTGCAGCACTACTCACAATAGCCAGAATCTGGAAACAACCGTATGCCAGAGAACAAATTTGACTGACTCAAGAAATGGATACATTTACACAAGAATACTATGTAGACACCAGGAATATAAAGACATGAAATTCACTTAAATCTATGGACACAGAGAGTATCATGCTGAGTGAAATAACTCAGAGGGAGAGAGACAGATAAATGATTGCATTCATTTGTGGGGTATAAAAAAAAAAACAGAATATAAGACAAATATCCAAGGACACTAGAAACAAGGACCAGGAGGATTGGAAGCTTGCCTCAAGAGCTGGGGAGAGGAGCAGTTGGGATAGAGAAAGGACTACAATGACAATGATAGCTGGGAATTATCACGCTGGGTATGAACTGCATGCTAAAAGTAGGTAAAGGAGCAAATATGATAACCTCTCAGAACCTAGATTGTGAAACATAATGCCCCAAAGGAGAGAGAGACAGAGAAAAAGAAGAAAGGTGTGTTTGCGTGGGGTGGGGGGGAGAGGTTGGGTGGGAGGGAAACTGGTGACCTTGGTGGTGGGAAATGTACACTGGTGGAGGGATGGGTGTTGGAACATTTTATGACTGAAACCCAATTATGAATAGCTTTGTAACTGTGCATCTCATGATGATTCAATTAAAAAAAGAAGATCCAAGTGAAGAATGGTTTAGGAAGAATTTTGCATGAACATACACATCTGGCTGCCTCTAGCAGTCGTACTCCTGGATCTATCTCAGGGACCTCCTGGAGGGACTCAGGGGACCATATGGCGTGTTGGTGATTGATCCTGGGTCAGCTCTTTATAGCTTTTTAAATTAAAAAAAAATTACTGTTGTGGTGGTGATAGAGGAAATGTTTGGGGTTCACTCATTGCCAGAGATCAAACCCTGGTCAGATATGGTATCATATATGCAAGACATGTGTTTTACCACTTGAACCACATTCCTGGCCATGGTATGAGTACATTGCTTGAATCCCAGTAGCTATAATAATTGCTACAATTATTATTAATGATAATGTTAGACATTAGAATCCCAGTAAGAAATGACGATAGACCGAATAGCTTAAGTCTAGATGGGTTTGGTTCCTAGTCAAGGAAAGGGAGAGGCCTATCCCAAGCCTCCTCCCTTCTTCTTGCATGCTTGTGTGTAGCCTGGGTTCCTGGAATGTTCCTTTATTAGAGCAGGAGTTGGACTCCTGCAGAAAGGGTAGAAGCAGTAGAAACTCAGCTTCCCTGAAAACTAGACTCAGATGCTCAGAATCTCAAAGCTTCCCCAGGAGCCTCTGGGAAAAAATGGAGCTCTGGGCAAAAAAGCTTCCGGGGTAGTTCTGGATAAATCTTAGCAATGTCTTTAGGGTACTACAGCCAGACAGGAGCCTGTAGGAGGCAGAGAACAGCACAAGAAAAAGTGGTTTGGGGCACAAACACCCTTGAAGTGCTGTACCCACAGATGTCCTGCAACCCCAACATTCCCATGACTGGATTCCAAGGGACAGACTGTATGTTTTCTTTTTTTCTTTTTAATGATTTTTAGGTCCTGTTTTCTTTTCATTAAAAGAACTCCTTGGTCAGATATGGTTGAGAACCACTTCTGTTGAGGTAACGGTGCCAAGCAGGCTCTGAGACCTTCTCTCTTAATGCTGCTGTCTGGGTCTGCTAAAGGACCCCTTTCACCCCTGGAGGGCCAGTGACCATCCCGTGGAATCCGTTCTGTTGAATGTTATGGGGGCTGTGAGGATGGGTGGGGTTGCCATGATGCTAACTGAAAATACTCTGAAGAGAAGGTTGCCTCTGTCTGAACTCCTGTCCCAGGGTTCCTGGGAGTCTCCAAGAAACCCTCTAAGGCCAAGGCCAGGAACTAGAGCCTTGCGGTGGGAGGGGCTGCGGAGCTGGCGGCTCCTCAGCTCCCCTCACCCCGCTTCCTGGCCTGGGGAGTCTGCACACACGCCAGACAGGGATTGGCCAAGGGGAGCCCCACAGCATCCTTTCCTCCTGGGGTGGCTCCGAGCAAGACTTTTCCTGCCACTTAATTAGGCTTGTGCTTGGCTCCTCTGAGAGCAGCGACTGAGACAGGGCCGGCTTTCTCCCCTCAAAGCTGCTTTCCTGGCTTCCTCGCGTCTCCCGGGGAGCCCTCCTTCCTGCCCTGCGTGCCTTTTCCTGTCTAGACCTCAGGGCTGGATCAGCAGAAGAAAAGGAAAACGATCAGATTGCCATGCCAGAGGATTACTTCCCCTCCCAGCCCGGCACGTGGCCTCAGGCTGTGCAGCACAGATGGGGGGGTGTGTTGTGAGTGTGGCCAGGTGGATGTGTGTGTGAGCACGTGTGCAGATGTGTGGATGTGAGTGCAGCTGTGTGGATGTGTGTGATCGTGTGTGTGGATGTGTGTGTATGTAGATATGGGAACGTGTGTAAGTATGTGGGTGGGTGTGTACTGGTGAATGTGTGAATGTGCGTGTGAGTGTAATAAGTACGTATATATGTGAACATATGTGTGAGTGTATGTGTGAGTGTGTAGGTATGTACATGTGAGTTGTATGTGTGAACAGATGCATGTGTGTGTGTACTGATGAACATGTATATGCATGTCGATGTGGACGGGTATGGTATGTGTGAAAAAGTAGGTGTATGTATGTCTATGTGTGACTTTGTATCTGTGCCAGTATGGGTATATGTGTGAATGTGTGTCTCTGTGTCTGCACATACTCACATGTACACACTAGTATGTGCCTTGGGCTTAGTGTGTGTGAGATAGAGTGTTACTGAGTATGTAGGCATCAACTGTTGGACATCAACTGTTGGAGGTGTGTGTGTGTAATTGTGTTCGCATGCATGCATGCACATGAAGGTGAGAAAGAATGTGTGAGGTCAAAGACCAACAAATAGACCTAAGGAAGTAGAAAAGGAGTTGGATGATCAAGTCAGAAATTATAGTACTGACCACAGGAGAAACAAGAACAAAATGTTCTTCAGCGGAAAGGTTCTGGGAAAATAACACTCTTCCCAAATATTCTGCACAAAGACAATTTTTCTCCAGGTGAGGACTTGGCCACAGCTATGAAGCATTACCCAAGGTGCTGGGAAATCCTGGGGCTGGGAGTCAGGCATGTCCACTTACCTCTTGGCTCCCTCATGTGCTAGTTTGCTCAACATCCTTGGCGCCCTATTTCCCTCACCTGAAATTGGGGTTCCTAATCCATGCCTTATCAGGGGAAAAGACTTGACAGGGATAAAAATCTGGTGTTGGCAGCTGCCCAGAGTGCCTGGTATGGAAACCACATAGATGCAGCAGGGCTGGCCTGCTTTGAATTCGGAACCTGCTTCTGATCAGCTGGGCATATCAGACACAAATTCTCCCTGTGCCTCAGTTTCTTCTTTTATAATTGGGGCCGTACACTTTAAATTATGAGAGTTCTAAGATGTTTTATGTAAATGGTTGAACGTAGAGCCTGCACATAGTGAAAGCTCAGCAAATCATAATTATTAGCTATGTGGATGCAATTTATAGTCTTTGTGAGGTCACTTGGATTTTCCCAGTTCTTAAAAAGATTTGGCTAAGGGCTGGAGCAATAGTACAGTAGGTAGGGCATTTGCCTTGCACCAGCCGACCAGGGTTCAATTCCCAGTATCCCATATGGTCCCCTGAGCACTGCCAGGAGTAATTACTGAGTGTAAAGCCAGGAGTAACCCCTGAGTATTGCCGGGTGTAACCCAAAAAGAAAAAAAAAAGATTTGGCTAAGATTGGTATCAGTTTCTGAAAACAATCTACAGTGACAACTGTAAAGAAATCACTGCTGTTTCAAATATCTTCAAGAACAGAAAACAGGTGTTAGGTGCTTTGAGCCCCTCCCTTGCTGCCTACTCTTTAGTGTTGCTAAAAGGGTCAGTGATACCTTCACTGGATTTAAATGAAGAATCAAAACATCCCAGAAAACAGATCCTAACTGGATCGGATTGTGAGACTCAACATGTCACTACAGGCAAGTCACTGCCTAAATGTCCTGGCCAGAACCAACTAACTTAGGGGACTCCTGGCCTTTATGGTCCCATTATCTCTCTCTCTCTCTCTCTCTCTCTCTGAGAGGAAGATAAGGGGTTATACTCAGTGGTATTTCAAGGCTTTTCCTGGCTCTGTGCTCAGGAGCAAGTCCTGGCTGTGCTTAGAGGACCATATGTGGTGCCAGAGATTCAAACCAGGGCACCCCAGCTCCTCTGCTGCCCCGCCTGTGTCTCCAGTCTCGGAGCTGATTTCTCTCAGCAGAACCCCTCCTGTGACTTAGTTTTACTTTCCGCGTGACACTTTTCAATTTCCCTGACGTTCTTTCCTGCATACAGTTTAACAGACCTGCTCCATGGATGAGAATATAGGTCACACACAGAATTCCGAAAGAAATGAATGTGACGACCATTGCTGACTGTGCAGTACCTGCCAAAAACCGGGTTGAGAGTGTTGGGGACGTAGTGGTCCCGATCTTCAATGACTTTTTTCCCCAGGGTTATTTTGATATAAGGGTCACACTGTGGGTACAAGACAGAGAGAAGCCATGTCATCGTGAGGTGCAAGTTTAAGCCAGTTTCTGGGTAAGACTTGGGTGCTCCCACACCCACTCCCAACTGATGAGTAGGTGACACTATGGCACCCAGGGCTGCAGGCGGGGTCTGAGCTGTGTGTCCCGAGGTGGCACATAACCAGTGTGGGGGTAGGGGTGAAGCTGTGCGGGCGGAGAGGAGCTACAGGAGCTAGTGTCCTCTGAGGTCACATCAGTAAAAGGAGAAGGCTGAACCAGAGGGCCCAAAGTCCCTTCCAGCTCTTCGATTAATCCCCTTTGGGACAATCCTCCTGAATACATTGTTTTGATAGAATATCTTTCTCCTAGTGAGATAACAGACGCCCAGAAAGAAAGAACATGACAATTATCGAGGCTGATGACTGTAATTATCTTGCTACAGGAGAAGGCCCCACACCCAAACTCTTACCAGGCCATTGTTGTCCTGGGGCTGGAGCGCTAAGCCTCTAACAATGTAAATCCTAACCGTGCATTCCTGCGGGACGCTGTCAGGTAATTCCCGAAACTGCCGGGGAGGGGCCGGCACGCTGGGGTCATCCGACAGGGGGTAGATCCTAAAGGAGCCCTAAGAGAGAGACACACACAGATAAACTCACAGGGTGCCGGGTGACCTGGGGAGTGCCCCCTTCCCGGGGAGACCCAGAGACAGCCCCAGGAGGGTGCAGAAGTGGGGGAGGAAGTGATCCATACCCTGAACTTTGCCTATCCCAATAGGAAGGGGAAATCACAATAGAGTGATTACTATTTAGTTTCATAGGTCCAGGGGAGGAGAAAGGACAAGGCAGAAGTGGGGAATCAGGCGAAAATGTAGGCAAGAGGCAGAAGTAGCTGGGCCCGGTCCGACGGCAAAGGAGGCGGTGACAAGGAAAACACTGCACATATTTTGGAGATAGGAAGAAATATTATTAAAAAAAAAACCCAACCCTGTAAAGTACTACACTTGACTTACTTCTTCTCAGATTGCTCCTTAAACACGGTCTTGCTCTAGTCTGGAAACGTAAACCCAGTGAACTAGAGAGTATGCAGGAGACTGGGGACTCCTGAGCACTAAGTCAGGTAACCCCTGAGCACTGCTGGGTGTGGCCCCAAATCCTCCCCCAGCAGCCGGGAGATGGTACAGTTGTATGTTCAGACCAGGATTTATCCAGGGTTTGATTTTTGGATTTTCTACACCACATGGTCCCTCAAGCATCACCGAAATGCAGCCCTGGAGATCCTCAAGCACCTCTGGGTGTGACCCTGGAGCTCCCAGCATGGCTGGAATGTCCTGGGTAATCTCCAGTACCACAAGGCCTACAACATTGCATCCTTGGGCACCCACATTGAACCCTGTTGACTGAGTATCATGGGGAGCCCTGAGGCCTCCTGACAACGCTTAGGAGTACTGCCATCCCCTCCAACAAACAAACAGAAACCCTCCTAAACACTCTGCTGTCCCATCAAACTCCCTTTCATCCTTAGCCAAAAGGTGTCACTTCTTCCAGGAAGTCTCCAGAACTTCCCCTGGACTGGGTGTGATTCTATTTTTCTCATCAAACCTGCACCTAGTCCCATGGTAGCAACAGACCTATATGGTTTTTCTCCTCCATGACGAGCTTCCTGAGGGCGAGAATGATGTCCTGTTCTTCACTCTACCTCTAGGACGGCATGTAGGATGGAGGATGGAGTAGGGACACAAGAGTGATTTTGAGTGAGGGAGTCATCAGGTCAGCTGGAGGGGCCACATTCTCAGTCTTGAAAGCAACTTTCAAACATAGGAGAAAGCAAAGTCTGGGCCTTAGCTCCAGCAACACATGTTCAGCAAGGGAGTAGGAAGGAAGAACCTCCTAGGTGCCAGGTAGTAAGAGTCCCAAATGAACTCAAGGCATGCAGTCTGCAGAGATAGGAAGTGGGATTGACCCTCAAGCCACCTTGGATGGCCGGGTGGGGGCTGTAATGAGAACCTCATGAGACCGTGTGCAGGATTTTATCCTCGGATCGATGAACAGAGTCTGCTCTTGATAAGGGCTTAGGAAGCAGGAGCCCATCTGCCACGGATTTGCCAACTGTGCACAGAGGGAGGGACTCTGAGGAAAGCAGAGACTTCGCCGGGAAGGTGCTTTAATAGCGGCTGGAATCTGGATCTGTGGGAGCCTAGGGTGAGTCACTAGGTCAGAAGCAAGCAGGGAACAGCTCACAAAGAATGCGACATCCGAGCTGGTGATTAAATAATTGAGGAGGCGTTGGGCAGCCCACGGATGCAGAGGGAAGGAAGGGCATCCAGGGAAGGAAGAAGAACCTGTCCCAAGGCTCCAAGTTGTGAGAGTACAAGGTGTGTTTGGGGCTTAGGAGAGGTCGTCCGAACAGGCGGGCACGGCAGGGCCTGGGAGACAGGCAGCTTGTGAGAAGCTGGCTCCACCTTGGGAAGGAGTTGAGACTTGATCTGGTGGAATCCCAATGATGTTTTTAAGAAGTCAAGAACCCTGATTAGGGCAGATTGCGCGTGGAGTGAACTCTGGCCTGGAGAAGAGAGTTGCAAAGGGCATCAGCTGGGGTGTTGAATCAATAGTCTGGCTAAAAGCCTGGGAGGAGGCAGTGGGACAGAGAGGGGGAAGTTGGGGTGGCTGAAATTATAGGATTCAAGACTGGGGCTGACTGGTGTGAGCAGGGAGAAAAATGCATCCCAAATAGGCTCATTTCCCACCCAGCCTCACTGTCCTTTTCTGGTTAACATCTTAAAACATCCTTCTGATGACAGAGAACATATCTTTGCCTTAGAGATTGCTTGATTCTTAGGTCTATAAAGAAGTAGAAGCTGATTGTGTTGTATTTGGGGGGTGGGTGTTGGTTTGGGCCACACCTAGCTAGTCTATCCCAAACTCTTTGTTAAGTGAACCATTTAGGGCTGGGGATTGAACTGGGGTTGGTCATAAACTCGTGTTAAAGTAAAGCAAGCACCTTAATGCCTGTACCATCTCTCGACCCTCAAGGTAGATTTAAAACAGGACACACACACACACACACACACACACACACACACACACACACATTTTTACTCACCTTAAATTCTCCTACTACAGAAGGATCTTCATTGTCATCTGATTTACCTCGATACAGCTTGAAAGTATCAGAGAAGTCTGTCAGCCCCTCAAATTCTGCCACATCTTCAAGTTCACAATCATATACCTGAAAGCCATCAACAGATGCTTAAATTTCTCATCAAATGCAGGTAGGATAAAAATTCAAATACTGATAACACCAAATGGGCATGAGGATGTGGAATTCTAGTGTGTGGGAGGGTGTAGAAAGACATACCACTTTGGGAAAATGTCAGGCATTTTTCTACAAAGTGAAATATACACCTATTTTACAATCTAGAACATAGATTTTTAGGTATTTAGCCCAGAGAAAGGAAAATATGTCCACATAGTACAATAATTTCATAGCAGCTTCATCCTCAAGACAATGGAGAAGCAAGCATCCCTGGGGTATGCCACATGGAATACAGCTTAACCATGAAAAAAACTAATTGGCACACAGCAACATTAAGGATCTTAAGAACAGCTATGTTGGGCTATGGAAACATGATACACAGATTTATGAGCTAGTTTACAGGAAGCATAAAAACAGCAAAAATGAATGGATGGTGATGAAATCATATCAGTTATCTCTGGGAGAGATGAAAAGTGTGAGAAATTACCTGGAAAAGGATTCAAAGTTTTGTATGTTGACAGAAATGTCCATTTGCTGTTGCTTGGGGTTGATGTTTCGCGGAGATGTGTGAATAATCAAACTCATTGAATGAGTTACTTTATTGTATGCAAATTAAATCTTAATTAAAAAAATACAAGAGGAGGAGGTTGAGGATGAAGGTGAAAAGGAGAGAAGAAAGAAGGAAAGGAAGAAAATAGGAAGGAGGGAAAAGGAAGAAGGATGGATTGACCCATCTGATCTCTTTGAGCATTCGCTTAAAAGAGTGTTTCTCTACAATCTGGTGTTTCTTAAGCTTTACTGGGATGTGGAGACAATAACATGAAAGGATCTGAATTTCTTTCACTTTAATAGGAAAAATCATTAGCAAGATAATCTTCATTCTAGAGTTCCCTCCCACGTCCTCCCTGCATTGTTTAAAAAACTTTAATATTTGCTTTTAATTGAATGAATTCCAGTCTAAAAAACTGAATGAAGGACTGGAAAACTCAAAACAGTAAAAGAAAGGGCAAAGTCAACAGATACTTTCCTTACCTAGCTCAAAAACTTGCCAATTTCTCCTGGGCGAATGTGCCCATGGTTGTGAATTTATTCTGCGTACATGTAACGTGACCACCTTGTTAGCTAGTGATTGATGACTCTTTGAAGGACAGAATGAAGCATATTAATATTCCATGGTGTTCTGAAGAGCACTGAAACTTTTAGGGATTCTTGGGTCAAAGTGGACAATTATTGACGAACTACTGTGGTGCCAGTAACATTCCTAACCTTGTAGCTGGTAGTGCTTATGTGCCAGAATGTCATCATGATAACCATAAAGTAACAGCTCAACTTAGTTCTCTGAACTTCTAACAAAGCCAAAACTGCAAGAGAGGTATCCAGGGGGTCAGAGGTGCCAGCTCTTTGTCATCAGCACCAACAATGGACCTTCTGGTGAAAGAAGTAATGGATGGAGTAAGTACCCCCCCCCCCCCCCCCCCACAGCAGCATGAATACCTTGAGTTTGGAATAACCCTTGTGTATATATTGTCCACATTTTTCAAAATCCCCTGTAGAAGCATAAAATTTACTCCACCAGTCGACAATTTCTTCCTCCTTAAGAAAGACATCAGAATGAAAAACTCAGGTGATAACAATATAGACTTCCAATCTAAATAGGAAAAACTACATATTAGATAAGAGAAACGAATACTTCTGAACCCTGGAGCAGGTAAGATTATATGATTTTTCTTTATATTCCCAATGGGTAAAGTATTTATGATGCTTCTACCCGGAAACTGGAAGTGAAATAGTCATCCTTGGTCAATGAAGAATTTTTGGCTTTGGTGCCTATCTGTAGAGTGGCTAATGTTCTTAAGTCTTATGGAAACAATCTATTTATTTGACTATCTTTTACTTTTATCCTATTAATATTGATATATACAAATAAAATCTCTAATACACGTTTTTATATGTTATTTCCACAGTCCTCTTGGCTACAATGCATTATAAAACAAAGTTCAATAAGCTAAGAGTTGGAAAAACTGGTTCTAATTAAAGTCCCATCCTTTGCATTATGATCCATAGCCTTATGGTACAGGCCATACCAGCTTGGACAAGTTGATTAACATCTTTGAACATCAACTTATTTATCCACTAAATGGGATAATAGCACTACCTGTTTCCATCTGTCTCAGAGGATTGTTTTGAAAATAAATTAGATCATTAGGAGAAAGAGCTTTGAAAATTATAAATGAGAAACAAAGGTAGGGAGGTACTATGTTTCATTTAGATCACTGGCTCTTAAGATAGCCTTGGAGATTCTGATCCAATTACCTTGGCGTGAGACCAGGGCATGCAGGGGATCCCTATGCAGCCAGCATAGAGAATCTCTAGCTTAGATGAGCAGTTCTTGGTTGGCAGAAGGCACAGAAGACCAGAACCACTGTGGCATATTTAAAATCAGAGGGTAGGGGAAGGGTGCTCAGGGATGACTCCTGATGGTGTTTGGGAGACTATACATAATGCCAGGGATCAAACTGGCATAGCGGAACATTTTTAGACTGCAAAAGGCTGTCATTTATGGAAGGAAGCTATACTGTTTGTAAATATCTTGTTTTTCTTATAAACTTCTTTTTAAAATATATTTTTAATGAATCACCATGAGATACAGTTACAGACTTACAAACTTTCGTGATTATGTTTCAGTCATACAATGATCGAGTACCCATCCTGCCACCAGTGCCCATTTTCCACCACCAGTGTTCCCAGTATCCCACCCAATCCCCCAACCCCCGCCTTTGTGGCAGGCACATTCCCTTTTACTTTCTCTCTCTCTCTCTCTCTCTCTCTCTCTCTCTCTCTCTCCTTTTGGGTGTTATGGTTTGCAATACAAGTAGTAAGTGGCCATCATGTTTGATCTATAGTCTACTTTCAGCATGCATCTCCCATCCTGAGCAAGCCCTCCAAGCATCATTCACATAGTGGTCCCTTCTCTATCTCAGCTGCCTTCCCCCCCAGCATGTGAGGTTGGCTTTCAAGCCATGAAGCGATCTTCCTGGCCCTTATCTCTATTATTCTTGGGTGTTAGTCTTCCATTCTGTTACTTTATATTCCACAAATGAGTGCAGTCATTCTATGTCTGTCCCTCTCTATCTAACTCATTTCACTTAGCATGATACTTTCGTTTATAAATATCACATTTGGAAGAGAGCCCCATCATACCCTCATGTTATTTTAAAACCTGGGAAAGAGTGATATTGCCAAAATAAAACGTCCACTGCAACACGGCTTTCAATTAAGTCTGGGGGAAGGATGCTTTTTATGTAATATATAAGACACACATCCAGTTATTTTTCCTTAATGGGGCTGGAGCGATAGCACAGCGGGTAGGGCGTTCGCCTTACAAGCGGCCAACATGGCCGACCCGAGTTCGATTCCTCCGCCCCTCTCGGAGAGCCTGGCAAGCTACCGAGAGTATTCGATATGCCAGACACAGTAACAACAAAGTCTCCAATGGAGACGTTATTGGGCCCGCTCGAGCAAATCGACGATCAACGGGAGGGCCTTTACTTTACTTTACTTACTCAGTATATCAAACCCTTAATTAAGCTTTTTCTTTACATATTAGCTATAGGCAGAAAATACAAAAATATTAAATTTAGCAAAATAGGTACAACAGTTACCTTTTCTGTCAGCTGCTCATGAAGAATATGGCCAGGAAGAGGGTAAGCCATGTAACAGGTTGCAAGGTACGGAGACCCCACGGTCATTGGGTTTAAAGAGAAAGAAATTAAAAAATGATTATTCAGGTCTGATTTATAATTTGAATGTTTGAAATTATTTATTTTGTTTCAGATATCTCATAGTTAAAACACCTTATTTAAGGTTTATTCTCTAAAAATGTGCAAAATGGTTATAAACAGCATTAAAATGAAAAGCACAAACCCACATCTCGTGTTTTCAATAGAGTTAAATTAGAGTTTCCAAAAGTTATTTGACCTTTTAAGAATAAAAATTGTTAAGCGCCCCCTGAAAATCGACTTTCATTAAGTAAACAAACTTAATAGAGTGCTCCCAACCACCGCCAGATTCCACCTGAGGTACTACAGCCCCCTGGATCATTTCCATATCCTCTGGTTGGGGTGGAGTGTATATTGCCCATTTTGGGAAAAAAACAAAACCAAACCAAACCGAGTTAGATAACTTCACATAGACTAGATGTCATTCTAGTGTGTGTGTGTGTGTGTGTGTGTGTGTGTGTGTGTGTGTGCACGCACGCATGCACGCGCATTCAAACCTTCTTACTACAAATCTTTTATCCCATTAAACTTTTAAAGCATATCCTCAGTTGCCCTAATTTTGGTCCCTGTTTTTCTTGTTTTAGGAGCCCTACCTAACAGTGCTTAGGGCTTATATCTGGCTTTGTGTTCAAGGATCATTCCTCGTGGAACTCAGGGGACCATATGAGGTGCCAGGAATTGAACCTTGCTTGGCAGCATGCAAGCAAGCACCCCACCTGCTGTGCTATCGCTCCAGCCCCTAATTCTGATCCCTTTAAGAAATCCTAACCTGGTGTTCATATCTGGCACTAATGCTACATCATCATGGGGATCTTTTTCCTTAGATTTTCCTATGCCTATATTAGAGCACCCAATGCATTTTCATTCACTAAACCTCTTCCGAGACACCACATTTCTCATTTTTTACCTCTCTCCATTTGAGTTCCTAGAAAAATCCTTCTCTTATCTTAGGTCACACCCAGTAGAGGAGACTGCAGAGCTAGGACGTAGGGTTTGAATCTTAATGCTCACTGGAACACTAGTGAAGCTTTCCCTCTACAGCAGTTTAAAGTGTAACTGCCGAGACCCCCTTTCTGAAATCCTAGCTTCGGGGTCATTTCTTACAGGAGGAGAGAACCATGGCTCATCACCACCATCCCTGAACGAGGTGGCCCGAAGCATCTTCCATGTGAGTTCTCTGGACTGACTTTGCTTCAGCACAAATCATCACCAGGAAAGGCAGAGAGACAGACAGATGTGACCATTTCTTTCTATTAGATTCATACCAAAGCAGGGTTAAGTAAATCATCACAGCCAAATTGAGATTTTGGAGAGAGAGATTTCATGTCCCCAAGTGCTCGAGCATTCTAAATGATTCCAGAATTCAAGATTTTTAAAGTCTGCTTATTGGCATCTATTTTTAGCTATCCCAAATCATTTCAAAGAAAATAATAACTCATGATAATATGAGCATTATTCAAAAAGTGATGTTGATTTTTAAATTTAGGACAAATACAAGAGAGTTTCTTCATATTTGCTAGCTCATTCATTCATGTGAAGAAAACAGAGGCAATTTGCTTTATTTAACTTCAAATGACACAAAAGAGTTTCCCCATAGGAAGAAAAAAACTATGCTTGTTTAAATATCACTTCAACAACACATTTGATTAAGGATCATCTCTCACTCCAAAATCTACTAATAGAAAGATTCTGAAAGAGAATTCCAGTCTTTGGGGCAAGGTCCCAGGCAGCCTCATGCATTTCTTGTTATACATACATGCACGGTCGTTGGAGAAGCCATTTTGCTGAGTGCTGTTGACATACTGCTTAAGCACTGGAATTGGAAGGTAATTGTTGAAATGGCCATGTACGAATGTCCAGGTTATCTGGTAGGCACTTACCCATTTGTATGTACCAGAACTACATATTACTACTTTTCTCATGGCAGCGATGAGTCCAATTGTGAAGAATTTCCCCAAGTCAGTGCAGGGTAATAATGTCATTTTCTGTGATCTGATACTGTCACCCAAAGCCACAGTTTCTAGTACCCATCAACAGCACAATTAATTTAACCACCTTATCAGTGGACCCAGTTACAAAGCCTGAATTGAGTTAGTAGAAGGAGATATACATCACACAAATATCACATGTACTTGCAATGCATACATGTAGCATGTATATATGCACAGACACATATACATATATAGTACATATATGCATTTTACTCTACGTCCATGTGATATATCAGAAAGCAAATTATTGGCTCTTCCAAGGCTCATCTTTACTCCTTTGTCTTTACACAGATCTATGGTACTTTTCCTGAGTCTATACTCAAGGGATAGTTTTATAACAATATTGTCTTAGCAATACAATATTCCTTCCCCAGGGACTACACTGTAGGTATGGCTGACAACGTTTTGCCAGGTTGCAACTTAAATTCATGATGTAAAATAAACCTCAATGTGTTTCAATAGTTAAAGAGTTCCTCAGGGCTGGCTGCGGGGCGACGTTTAACATGGTCCAATAATTAGTGAGTTTAATGCAGTGGGAAGGAAGTTGATTTTTTAAAAGCACTGTTTATGGACATAACATATTAAAATGCAATTATGTACATTTTGAGACCAGTTGACACATTAAAACATGCTGCGAAAGTTCATCACAAATGCCAACAAAAACAAACGGATATTTGATATTTTCTTTTTTCTGGGCTCAGACCTCTGTTTCCCGCCCCTGCTTTCTTTTTTGGTAGGACTGAAAAGTATTGTTTGAAAACAGGGTCCTGAAAGAGGAGTTTCATCAATTTCTTCACTACACTATGGGAAACAGAAGCATCTGGGCTATCTTTTCCTTAGTAGGGTCATTGAAAATCCATGATATGTCTAATTCCTATAGGAAAAAAGCCTACTGGGTTACCTGAAACTTTACAATGCTTCAAATCTACTGTAATTTTTTTAATTAAATGGTACCAATATTCAGACTGCGCAAATCAACAGTTCTCATACCTGCTTGTACTTTTAAATATCATGATAATATCATGATATCGATGGCCTTGTCCCCCTTTGGGGGAGTGGACCCTAGTGTCAAAACTATTTAGAATTATGATTTTGATTTTTCATATCAACAAATAATTTATTATTCCTTGAATCAAACTGAATGGTCACTTGACCAAATCCACCTACTACTCAGACACCTGAATGATAACATTGACATTATTCAATTATTATTTCTGAAACTTACCTTGGAAGCCAGTAATGGTTTGGAGTCTTCTATTTCAATAATGATGTCCCGGGAGGGCGGACTAGACATAAGGGATGCTAAAAGACAAACAACCGCATCATCTAAAATACTTACAAAAACTTGCTGACCAAAGCCACTCCAAATTCAGGTTTAACAGACACAAAGTAGATGGTGGAATTAACTCCTGGATGAGATTCATTCAACAGAAAGGATTTCTCCCAAATGTAGAAAATAGCTCAACAATTTATTACTTTTCTTGATATATGGTAATGATTTTAGAAACCTGGAGAGAACTCTATGGTTCATTTTTCCTTATGTCTTGGATAACTAGCCAGTGCTTATACAAGACCATGATCTAATAGGAAATGATCAAAATGGGTCTGGGAGAGTGGCGAACCATGCCAAGGACAAACACTTGTTTGCCGTGTGCATGACCCTGAGTTTGATCACTGGCACTGCAGAACAAACAGAATGAAATACCAAAGCAAAGAATTGTATCAATCATGTCTTTGGGGGATAAGGTAAGGAAGGACCTACTTCTAAAGGGAGAGGAGGGCTTATATCTGGAATCTGTTTCTAAGACACAGATAATCAACTCAGGGAGAAAAGTTGCACATTTTCAGCCTGAGCTTCGGTGGTGGCACTGCAGACCCGATTCTCACAGTGTTTGCAGAGAGGAGGGACACACCGGGGGTTCTACAATTCTCTGGATATCTGGGGGTTAGGGACTACCCCCGGGCTCACTGAGCTAGAAGATGGTGCTAAGACTCTGCCAAGGGCAGGATTTGGGTGAGAGGAATGGCTTAGTCTCTCATTGAATCCATCAATGATTCTATAGAACAGGTCCCACTAACCCTATTATACAAATTTAAAAAAAACAAACAGATAAACTATGGTGAAGAGAAGGCAAGTCACTTGCTTTAGGTTTAACGTTTAATAGTGGGGTCTTAAAGTTGGTGCAGGATCAAAGTACCTACCTTGTATGTGTGAGGCCCTAAGTTTGATTCCTAGAACCACGTGAGCCAATTGTGACTATGATGCTTGGCACCCCCAGTGCCACAAGAGAGTATATGATTTTTAGGGCACAGCCAGGCAGGGGTGTGTGTGTGTGTGTGTGTGTGTGTGTGTGTGAGCACTGAAGTGTGCAACCCCCAGCAAGCACTGCAGCTAAAGATGCACAAGCACAGTGACTAGGACTGAGAGTCTCAGTGAGTATGTATGGGGACACTACCACAAGCCCCTGGGAGTACTCTTTTGTTTTTTTTTTTTGCTTTTTGGGTCACACCCGGCCATACACAGGGGTTACTCCTGGCTCGTCACTCAGGAATTACTCCTGCTGGTGCTTGGGGGAGTATATGGGATGCTGGGAATAGAACCCTGGTCGGCCGCATGCAAGGCAAATGCCCTACCCACTGTGCTATCGCTCCAGCCCCCTCCCCTGGGAGTACTCTAACCAGAATGTCACACTGGAGTTCCACATGAAGAGTACAGTCCTGGTAAGCATTGAGCTGAGTGTGTGAGCCACCACCAGATGTGTGGCCCCGCTGTGTATCATAAGCTAGAAGGTGTGAAATCCCTATTCATTCTAGGGAAGGGGGAAATGCATATGTATGTACATGCCTATACATAATAAATGCATATGCACATACATACAAATGTACAATAAATATTTCATAGTAAGTGGAAGCAAGTAACCCAGGTCTATCTGACACCAAAGTTCATGTTTTAATAATTATTCCAGAGTTCAGACCAGAGTAGAAAGATTCTTGATAAATGTCAGAGAAATTGGAAGGGGTATTATTGGAGAGTCAGATTGAGACTGACATGTTTTCCCTATTCTATGCGTCACTATGCCAGGTCATTTTCATATATGTGGCACCCCCAGATCTAGCAACCACTTCTAGTTTCTAACTACACCCACAAATAAAGAAGAAAAACACAATTGTATGAGACTAATACCCAATGACAGTAGAAACAAGGGCTAGGAGGATTGGTCCAAGGTTGGAAGCCTACCTCAAGTGCTGGGGGAGAGGGCAGAGAGTAGGGACCACTATGACAATGATGGTTAAAAGTGATCTCTCTGGGGCTGGAGCAATAGCACAGTATGTAGTGTGTTTGTCTTGCACACTGTTGACCCAGATTCGATTCCCAGCATCCCATATGGCCCCCCAAGCACCGTTAGGAGTAATTCCTGAGTGCACGAGCCAGGAGTAACCCCTGTGCATCACTGGGTGTGACCCAAAAAGAAAAAGAAGTGAGCTCTCTGGATGGGAGATGGTTTCTGAAAGTGGGTAAAAGACTAAACATGATGGCTTCTCAGTATCTGTATTGCAAACCATAATGCCCACAAGTAGAGAGAGAGAAAGAAGAAAAGTGCCTGCCATAGAGGCAAACGGGGTTGGGGGCGTAGGGAGTGGCAGGGAGGATACTGGGGACACTGATGGTGGGAAATGTATACTGGTAGAAGGACGATGTTGGAACATTGTATGGCTGAAACCTGATCATGAACCGTTTTGTAACTGTACCTATGTTGATTCAATTAAAATAAAATAAAAATAAAATAAAATAGAAACAGCTCCTGACTACTGCACCAATATTGAATGTGATAGCCAGATGGGCAGGATGTGAAACTAAGTGCAGGTAGTTTCCTTTTTCTGTTATCAGTGCTTCACTTCACTATCCTCATGTAAAACAAACCCAGGGACTGGAGGAAAAGGTTCTGTGTGGGTCCAACATTAGGTGCAATCAAGCTCAAACTTCAGCTCTGACCTATCACTGGTTTTTAAGTTGAAAAGAATTGATTTTAGTTTTGGGGAAAAACAATTGCTGCCCTGACCTCTACTCCTGAACAACTTTCTTCTTCGTGTTCTCTATAGCCTTGTTCACACTCCCCATTATTTGTAAAGAATCCCTAACCAAGAGACTTCAAAATCAGTCCCAACCTATACTGACAAATAGACACAAACACGTCCATACAAGCGGCTCTGAGACCAGACAGAGCTGCAGTAATTTGTACTTTCCTAAGGGTGCCACATACTCGAATCAAAGAACTCTCTCATAGAGACATAAGAAAAATGCTAGGAAATGGATCGCCTCAATTTAGTAATCCCAAATAAAACAAAGCCTGCTGTTATAATAACTGTTATTGTTACGGGAAAAAATGTTGCCATTTTAAGCACCAGCCATTCTGCGCAAAATGCTTTGCATGGGAAATTTCTTGACAAATGCATGCAGGGTTTTGCTTTTTCACCTTAAGTGTGACTATGGGCTTAATTTTTTCCTCTGCTTTGAATCAGAGATACAGGATGCTCAGAACTAGGAAGATTATGAAGATTAAACAGAACTGGTGAGTGGCGCATCTCCTTAAATAGAAGACCTCTCTTCAGTCTTGAGGCTGAGTGAGTCTGTCCTTTCTGTAATGGAGAATCTTATGAAGACAAGGACCTTGGGACTTTTCTCCTTGAGGTGACTCGGTCCCTGGCCCCTAACACAAACCCTGGTACATGGTGAGCAAAAACAGCGAATATCAAAGGACAATAGCAAAAATGCTATTTACTCAGTATCATTCTTTCGTAAGCTCAATGGGCTACCATTTGCTTCTAATGTAACTCAAGCCAACTCGTTTACACTCAGCAAGTGCTATTTTCCCCACCTCCACGATAGCAATCAAATACTATCTTTCAAAGCACATTTCAAGGTAATAGCATAGCTTGAGCATTATTTCATAACCCCCAGCTATTCCCCTGAAATGAGGCCTGGTTTCAAGCATAGCTCTGGTATTGCTAACAATTCAGAAAGCCATATCACCAGCTATACACACAACTGTTTCAAATCTGGACAGTGAACACCCCTTAAGGAGATTTGTGAAGACGAAATCAGATCATGCAGGAAAAGGCCTAAAAGTCTCTGATATGCAGAGACTCACATTTTACCTTTCAGCTGTGGCACAATGTCCTCCTTTCCTGCATATGGGTCACAGCGGAAGCGGTCCAGGTGCTCGATGGTGCACTGGCCGACAACAGGCTTTCTCCCGAACTGCCGGTGGTCGATGACCTTGATCACCAGTGGTGGCATGTACAGCTCCTCCTTGGGCAAAAACTGGGGAACCACAGAGGTGGGCATCATGTTTAAACACCAGACCTGACAAGGGCAGCTTTGCCAATTAACTCTTGCCAGGGGGCCACCCAGATTCCCTCCAACCACTGGGCCCAGTTCAGGGAACTCTAAGTAAGTAGTCGGGTGTTGGCTCACAGGCAGTGCAGCATGAAGGATAAGAGCTCCAGGTCAGCTTTCCGGGGATCAAACATGGCTTTGCCAATAGAAGCTGCACATCTTTAGGGGATTTATCTCACTCTTCTGTGACCTGGTTACCTCCTCAATAAGAGTAGCGCTGATGAGCTACCTTGTGTGATATGGGAACAGGGATAGGTACCTGGTTCTGCTCATAACAGCTGAGCACTGACTTAAAATTCCTTAGAATCTGGAAATGGTCAAGATAAAATGGAACAGTCCAAGGACATAACGGGGACCCTGGGAATCCTTTGTTGCAACATGAGTTGTTCATTTTTCCTTGAAGCCTTCTGACTCCTCCACCTGGGACAATGGCAGCAGTGACACTGCTTGTGGACTAGGTAAAATTGAGATGCTCTCACTCCATGTGGCACGTGGTCTAGGTGAATGTCCACCTCTGGCAAAGCCCAGGGTCCAAAGCTGGGGTTGGAGGACTGAGAAGCCTTCCTCACTTTTATTGATGAAGGCTAGAACTTGGGAGATGGGGGAAGGATTTGGGTGGCATGGACCAAGGAAAGCCACTTTGGAATTCTGGAGAGCACTCTCATGGGGTTTATTTGTCACTGTTTGTCAGGGGCTTTGGAGTAGCAGGGATTAAAATCCAAAACTCTGGCTAGTCACTTCAAGCCGTACCTATTTGCTGCTAGAAAACATCAGCTTCCAGGTCTCCCTCAAAGCAAGTGTAAGTGGGCTTGACCAATGGCTGAGTAAGAGATCACTGACTCAGCAGAGAGTGTACTGGAGAAACACACTAGAGAAAGCCTTTTCACAAATACTTGTATCACTGGGCTTGAATGAAGCTTTAGAAAAACATTTTCACTGGTGAGAATCTAAGAGAGAGTCACTACAAGATGAATAAAAGGCTGAGTTTTCTATTGTAGTTAGACTTGGGAAAAACATAACCTATGTTTCTCTCTTGTGTGATATATGCACACTTCAACTAAACTTCAGCTATTCAGCACACATGGGATATAGAGTTATGATATCATACCACTTTCATGAAGAGAACAGAACTTGGAAAGTTGGGTGTCTTCTTCAGGTTTTTGATCACCACTGATTCCACCCTTTCCCCTCCACACTCCACAACAAGACTGGGCGATGCGATAGAAGCCATCTGGAAGCTTTTCATGTTTCTCAAACCCCAAGCTAGAATCTAAGAGAGCAATGGAAAGAGAAGGAAACCCAGCTTATTAAAAATAACATTCAAAAGGAAAAAAATTTTCCTAATAGTGAACAAATACTTGATTTGTCTGACATCCCTGGGAATATTATGCTGGAAAACATTCATGGAGATAAAATCATTTTGTCCTGGTCCTTCTCCTAAGCAGCGAAAAAGCAGAACAATTAAGAATGCAGGAGTCAAATCTTCACTGTGGCAAGTAAGAGCTGCATGAACTCTGGTGATCTGCGAACCTCTCTATGTCTCATCTTCAAACAGGACTGATAGTACTATCGATTGTAGGATCATTTTGAAGATCAAGTGTAAAGCTCTTCATACAGATTGTGACATGTAAACATTTTTAAAATGCCAGATAATTTTTAAAGCTGCGTATTTCCGCTTTAGAGGCCTCACAGTGCAACAGCACGAGAAACAAATCTCCAGGTAAGAATCAGGTGACTGGACAGGAAGAGACCTTTAGCAGAAGCCAGACACTGTCCATCAGGCTCTCAAGCTGGATCCATCAGTCTATTTGCCCCAATTGTCTGACAGACCATTTCTGTTTCCTCCTTTCCTCCCCTTTCCTCTATCTCTGCTTCTCTCCTGGTCCCATGGCATACATAGACACGTTCCTCTATGTCTTTCCTCCTCTTCTCTATTTTTTTCTTTCTTTCTTTTTTTTTGCCATTTCGGTGATACTCAGGGCTTTGCACTCAGGAGTCATCCCTGTTCGGGCTTGGGGAACCATAAGGGTTACCAGGGATTGAACCCAGGTCAACCTTGTAAAAGGCAAGCATCCTACTGCTATACTATTGCTCTGGTCCCTCTCCATTCATGAATAAACTCAGGAAATTCAGACAGCTACTTATTCCCAGTAAATAAGGACTCTAGATGATCTCAGTAATGTTGAATTCAACATGTTTCACCATTTCAACATTTTTTAAAAATTACATGACCATTTCAAATTTTAGAACACATTCTAAAGGAAGTTGGAGATGGCAAGAAAAGTTGCCAAGATTTTATTTCCTATATGAAATATTCTAGTTCTGTATGTACATGTATTTGATTTGATTAATTAACTATAGAGAACAGAAACTGTAGAAATACCTCAATGGGCTGAGTGCATGTTTTGCATACAAGAGGCCAGGGTTCAATCCTGAACATGGCATGATCCTGCCATCCCTTCTGGGAGTGGCCTCATAACCACCTCACCCCACCCACAAAAAACCCCCATAGAGAGCAGCATACCTCAATAGCAGTGAGCTGAACCACGGGCCTGATCCCCTGGGGGACCATGTATAGATTCGGTGCCCGTTGTGAAGGAAGAATGGGAAGGTTGGAGCCATCCTGTGATACAAACACAGAAGTGTCAATCCCTTCTTTTAGTTCCCCAAAAAGAAAGGAACCTGGAATTATTCACAACTATTTAAAGGAACTACTCTGAAAGAATGAGGCCTCAATACATACCTTGTTCCTCAGAATTAGCTCTGCAGCTACAAGCACATCCCCACATGCCTTGCCGCCATTCATTACAGGGTACCAGAGAAGTTTGGGTGTGATGTCCATTTCTGAATTAAGTTTCACCAGAGGAGAGCACATGCTTCGTCCTAAAAATTCATCTTTACCCTGGGGAAATATTAATCCTTATGTTCCTTAACAAACATCTCAATAAGTCCCCATCATCTTCCGAGCCAACGGAGAAATTTCAGATCACTTACCACTTGGTCACTATCAAATAGTTCAATGACAACTTTTGGCGGGTTCTGCAGGATGGTTTGGGGTTCCCCATAAATTTCAACTTCATCAAATATAATTGTTTGGTCCCATGTAGGATTCAAAGTTGAATGGATGATTTCAGTGGTTTTGCTTCGATGGAGGAAGGAGACATGGGCATATGGATCTAAAATTGAAAAGAGATTAAGAGTGGGGATATGGATAATGCTGTTTCCTAAAGACTGATGTTTCAATTGTGTTCAATTTTCCTCCAGTAACACTTACACTGACATACCATTACCAATACTTATACTGACGTATCATTACCCACCTGTAAGACAGCAGTTATACAAAGCAGAGTCAGCATTTGTTTTGTTTTATTTTTGGTTTTGGGGCCACACCCAACAGAGCCAGGAGTTAGGGATAACTCCTGGCTCTGTTCTGCTCAGAGATAGCTACTGGTGGAACCCTAAGTGGTGCTGGGATAGAACCTGGGTTATCTGCGTGCAAGGTAAGTGTTCTACCTGCTTTATTATATCTCTCGCCCCAAGGATACTGCACTTATGATTGATTAGGAGTATAGGCTCTGCAGTCAGACAACTATAGTTTTAAACCCTACCTTTGTCTTTGTTATATAACCTTGGGAAGAATACTTTTTTCTTAAAAGCTTATAAAATACTTTTTTTTTTTGCTTTTTGGGTTATACCCGGCGATGCTCAGGGGTTACTCCTGGCTCATGCACTCAGGAATTACTCCTGGCGGTGCTCGGGGGACCATATGGGATGCTGGGAATAGAACCCGCGTCGGCCATGTTGGCTGCATGCAAGGCAAACGCCCTACCCGATCCAGCCCTAAAATACTTATTTAATTCTTTTTTTTTTTTTTTTTTTTTTTTTTTTTTTTTTTTCCCTTTATTTTATTTTATTTTTTTTAAAGTTGTAGATTTACAATTTTTTGTGCTTTGGTTTCAATTATACAATGATCAGATACCCATCCCTCCACCAGTGCCCATTTTCCACCACCATGGATAATATCCCTCCCACCCCCATCCCCCCATCCCCCCGTCTCTGTGGCAGGGCAATCCCCTGTGTTCTCTCTCTCCTTTTGGGTGTTGTGGTCTGCAAAAGAGGCATTGAGTGGCAAACATGTTCAGTCCATAGTCTACTTTCGACATGCATCTCCCCTCCTGGGAGGATCCTCCAAACATCCTTTATTTGGTGCTCCCTTCTCTATCTGAATAGCCCTTTCCTCTAGGATACCCGGCTGGCCTCTAAGTTATGGAGTAATCCTCCTGGTGCTGATCTCAGCTATTCTTGGGTATTAATCTCATACTTTGTTACTTTATATCCCCCAGATGAATGCAATCTTTCTATGTCTATCCCTCTCTTTCTGACTCATTTCGCTTAGCATGATACTTTCCATATTGTACCACTTGTATGTAAATTTCATGACTTCATCTTTTCTAAGAGCTACATAGTACTCCATTGTGTAGATGTACCAAAGTTTCTTTAACCAGTCATCTGTTCTTGGGCATTCAGGTTTCTTCCAGTTTCTGGCTATTGTAAAGAGGGCTGCAATGAACAAACAAGTGCAGATGTCACTTCGACTATACATTTTTGCCTCTCTGGGATATATTCCCAGGAGTGGTATTGCTGGGTCAAATGGGAGCTCAATTTCTAATTTTTTGAGAATCGTCCATACTGTTTTCCAGAAGGGCTGAACCAGTGGACATTCCCACCAACAGTGAAGGAGTGTCCCTTTCTCGCCACATCCACGCCAGCATCGGTTGCTTTTGTTCTTTTGAATGTGGGCCAGTCTCTGAGGTGTGAGATGGTATCTCATTGTGGTTTTGATCTGCATCTCCCTGATGATTAATGATGTAGAGCATTTTCTCATGTGCTTTTTTGCCATTCGGATTTCTTCTTTGAGAAAGTTTCTGTTCATTTCATTGCCCCATTTTTGGATGGGGTTGGATGTTTTCTTCTTGTGGAGTTTAACCAGTATTTTGTATATCCTGGATATCTAAAATACTTATTTAATTCTTTATAATCAACCTTAACTTTGGTTCCTGTCTCCTTTCAATGAAAATAACAAAATAGCATCAGCTTTGTAATGTTGTGAGGATGGAACTATTTATATAGAGACGGTAAACTGCTAAGTGGAGAGTCCATCGGAAAGAGAGTATTTGAGGGGGCTGGAGAGATGTCACAGCAGGTAGGTGCTTGCCTTCTATGCAGTCACCTGGGTTTGATCCCTGGCATCCCATATGGTTCCCTGAGCACCACCATGATGCTGAGTGATTTCTGAGGGCAGAACCAGGAGTAACCCTGAACATTGCTGGGTGTGTCCCAAAAACAAAACAAAAAGAACAAAAGAGTATTTGACAAACATAAATTATGTTATTGTTTTTAATGTCAATGATAATCCATTTATTCAGTAATTATTTATTAGATTCCCAGGTCTCAAGAGTTTAGCAATAAAGAAGAGAGTTCATATTCTCGTAGACTATATAATCTGTAAAAACTATTTTATCATACATGAGATCGGTGTTATAGCACTAGGACACATACTGGAAATTCACAAATATGTGGAGATTAAAAACATGATTTTAAACAACCAACGGGTGAAGAAAAAAACCTAAAGCAAAAATGAAAATGGTCATGAGACAAAATGAAAACCCAATAAAAAAAAAGAAATGAAGGTGACATTTAATTTATTCATACTAAGAATTATAAGAAATGACTATGAGCCATTATATGTAGACAGAGAGAGAGATAAAAAACTCAGAAAATAAAAAAATTTCCACAGACACATAGCCCTTGAAGACTGAATCATGAACAAATACAAAAACTTAGAATAGACAAATTACCAGTTAGGAAATTGAATCAGTATTCAAAAACCTTCAAACAAAATTCTAAGATCAAATGGTTTCGCTGCTGAATTTAAAGAAACTAATAGCAATCCTTATCATATTTTCTTCAAAAATACTGAAGAGAAGAGAATACTTCAAAGCACTGTCAGGTGCGGCTCAAAAATCAAATCAAATAAAAAAAAAACATAAAAGACCAACAGCACATGAAAAGATGCTCAGTAACTCTAACCATCAGGATAAGGAAAGTCAAGATCACAATGAGACATCACCTCAGACATTTAGATGTTTATTATGAACCAGATAGGAATAAGGCCCAGGAGAGATTGTTCAAAGGGCTGGAGCACATGCTTTGCATGCAGAAGTCCTGGATTCAACTCCAGCCCCGCATGGTTCTGGAGCAGAGCCAGCAGTGGCCACAAAATAAACAAGTAAATAAAATGTAAACAAAATTAATTCTGTCAAGGATGTGAGGAAAGGAAAGCTAGTACATTGTTGATATGACTGTAAACCAGTACAGTTACTTCAGTATTAAAAAAAACAGTAAGGAGATTCCTTAAGAAATTAAAAATAAAAGTACTATATAACCTGTAGTCCTACTTCTGGGTATATATCCAAAGTAAATAAAATCATTATCCTGAGGAGATTTCTGTTTTCTCTTGATCATTGCTGCATTATTCACAGAAGACACAGTACAAAAGTAACATGTGTTCATTGATGGATAGAGGAATAAAGAAATATGAGTGAATCACTAAAGGAAACATAGTACAATGGAACATAATTTTGTTTTTAAAAAGTAGAAATTATGCCATTTATAATAACCTAAATGAACCTGGAGTACATTATGTTAAGTGAAATAAGACAAAGAGAATATACTAGTACTTATACGGAGAATCCAACTTCCCTCCTAAGGTCAAATTCAGAAATCCAGTAAAATGGTGGTCGACAGCAGCAGTGGAAAAGGGGACAGGCTAGTAATAGGGTACAAATTTCAGTTATTGATGAATAAAGTCTGAGGATCTAATATGAAAGCATGGTAAGTATAGCAGAATTCTATATGACATAATTGAAATTTTCTAGGAGAATGTGAACTTGAGTGCTTTCACACATACACAAATGTAAATGCAGGAGGCGATGGATATATTTATTGGGAACATTTTTATAACTTATGCACTGCACTGTAGCAGTGTCCTCCCGTTGCTCATTTATTTACTCAAGCGGGCCCAGTAAAGTCTCCACTGTGAGACTTGTTACTATGTTTGGCATATCGAATATGTCACAGTAGCTTGCCAGGCTTTACTGTGTGGGCGAGATACTCTGTAGCTTGCCAGGTTCTCAAAAGGGGTGGAGGAATCGAACTAAGGTCGGCCAGGTCGGCCGTGTGCAAGGCAAATTCCCTACCCGCTGTGCTATCGCTCCAGCCCCTTTATAATTTATACATATGTAAAATTATAGCATTGTTAACACTTTAAATGTAGTGAAACTTTGTCAATAAGGTTTTTATTAAAAGGGTGGGAGACAACAGCTTGGAGCAGAAAAGTGAAAGGACTATGCGTTAATCCAGGCCATCATGTCTGCCCGGAGGGGAAAGGGTGTTGCTCCCTTCCACCCTCCTCCCTCTGGAAAGAAAGATGGCGGCCACATGGGAGCCTTGTGGACAGCAGGTATGAGCCGGGGGGTGTGGGGGCGACTAAAACCTCATGGGAAGAGGGTCGTTCCGGTCCGTCCTTCACGCCCTACCAAAGTCACCAGTTGCCCCCCGCGAGCGGCTCTCCAGCACGGCCACTGCCCCAGAAGCACAAGGACTTAATGCAGAACCCAGCAGCTTGGAGCAGAAAAGTGAACGGACTATGCGTTAATCCAGGCCATCAGGTCTGTCCGGAGGGGAAAGGTTGTTGCCCCAGTCACCTTCTCCTCTCTGGAAAGAAAGATGGCGGCCGCATGGGAGCCTTGTGGACAGCAGGTATGAGCTGGGGTAGTGGGGGCGACTAAAACCTCATGGGAAGGGGGGCGTTTCGCTCCGCCCTTCACGCCCTACCGAGGCCACCAGTTGCCCCCCACTAGCGGCTCTCCAGCACGGCCACGTCTCCAGAGCACAGAAACCAATTTCTTAACTATCTGACTTTCAGTAGAAATACTTCCAGGGTCAATAAGTAAAATAGCAGAAATCCAAAACCAACATATAATTCTTGAACCCAGCTGTAGAAAGCAAATCACTTCACAATGCTTTTTCAGCATGTCTGATTTGCGGGGGGGGGGGGGGAGGGGGGGGGGTAAACTCTAAATAATAGTGGTGAATCTTTTATTGAAACAATGAATCTAATCAAAGCAGATAGAGTGTTAACTAGAATTCATCTGCCCCACAGGGACTGGGAGGGGTGGGGGGTGGGGTTTTATTGGGGTTCTTCATGGTAAAAAATAAGTTTTGGTAAAGGGAAATGTGTTTGATATTTGCATGACTGAGACCTAAACCTGAAAGCTTTGTAACCTTTCCCACGGTGATTCAATAAATAAATAAATAAATTTTAAAAAAAAAAGGGTGGGAGAAGGAATCCATTTCTCCTCCATGTTAAATAATTTTACTAGAACTCTTTGTTTGGGCACTGATCTATTTGAGAAATAACCTAATGTCCTACCGGAAACTGTTATGTAAGCCCAAAAGGGGGCTTGGATTTCAGCACTGTGATGGTGAATGAGTAGGAGTCTTTGCTTTTGCTCCAATGATAGATCTAAAACTGCAAGACATTTCCTTAGAATTTTATGTAAGAATCTTGATAAGATTTTAACTCTAACTTTCAATGATAGAGGGCCCCCTGGTGGCAAATATTCTAAATGCCTTCAAAACTGGTCCAAGAACAAAACCATAATTTGTAAGAAAACCATTTCAAGTGCTGATTTAAGTGTTCGAATCTCACCTCATAATTGATATGAGCATATTATATTATAAAATAACTCTAATTTGGTTTTTGTTCGCTTGGTCTTTGGTCCACATCTGACCGTTCTGAAGTTCTACTCTGGTCTCCTTGCTCAGAAATCACTTCTGGTTATGCTTGTTTAAAATCAGTCCAAAGGCAACAAAAACAGGGTTTTGTTGTCAGAAAGAGGGTAGAAATTTCATGGCTTTTCTTGTGGTGAGAAAGAACTGAAAACACTTGAAAAGTAGTAACAAGCTAGGGCTGGGAAGACAACAGAGGACAGGGTGTTTGCCTTGCACGTGCATAGCCCAAGTTTGATCCCGCCATCTCGTAAGGGCCCCTCGAAGCCCCACCAGGAGTTTCCTAAGCACAGAGTCAGGAGTAAGACCCGAGCATAACCAGATGTGGTTATGAAACAACAACAAAACCCCAAATACACACAAAAAGAAATCCACAGAAATTTCAGCGACTGATGAGATAGTATAGCAGGTAGAGTTCTTGCTTTGCACACGACTGACGGGGGTTTGATCCCCAGCACCCCATATGGTCCCCTGAGCACCACTAGGAGTGATCCCTTAGCACACAGTCAGAAGGAATAAGCCCTGAGCACCGCCGGGTGTGGCATTCTGTCCTGCCACCACCTCCCCAACCACCCTCCCCCACCGCCCCAGCAAGTAGTATCACTCTAACCTGTGATCCTGTGATATAATAACATGTGAAGTAGAGACTTCCCTTCCCATCCACTCCACCTTCCATTGCTTGCCTTTACCTGAAAAGCTATCCTTATCTAAAGCCATGAGGTTTCTGGCTTGATAGATGTAGCAGCGCAGATGGTAAACGTAGACTCCTAAAAAGAACAGGAGAAAGCTAAGAAACAGAACAGTACAAACTGCTTATCATTGGAAATAACATACTTCAGATATGTTCGTCGCTCACATCAATTCCCCACAGTAAAGAACACATAATGGTGAGGACACATTACCCCAAAGTACTTCTGGTTCCCATAAAATGAAACTTGCTCCAAACAATACCATAGTGTGTTTAATGCTGTGCACCTATCCGGAGAGCATTGAGCCTGCTGCAAAGTACCTGATGCAAACCACTTGTCATCATCAACTTTTCTAATGCGGCTCAGCCTCCAGGAGTTATAGAACAAAATCTTTCCAGACTGCTGAAGCATGGAGATCCAGAAGGAATTTCTCTGCTGAAAGTTTCTTTGATATTTCAAATCTTCATATACCTTATCTTACTATATTAATTCACAAGCATTCCTCCCTGCCAGTGTCTTTCTCCATTAGACACTTAATTTGAGAGAGAGCAGAGCACAGTGATTCCCTGCATAGAGTCTGAGAGTCAGACTACTTGAGTTTAAATCTTGTCTCTAATGCTTATCAGCTATGAGAGCTTGGTAAAGATTGCTCATTCTTCCATATCTTCATTTCCTTACCTGGAAAATTACCTGCCTGCTGGGCTTTCTATCAAGATTCAATGAATTAATTTACAGATGCTAGAACTTGCTAACAACTATGAAAGCATTTGCTACTTTTATTAGGGGGCATGTCTGCCTTTTTTAAGATTCCTAAAGGTTATTATTAAAACCAACCTTTACTTGACTTTTTACAACTATATTTTTCTAGTTAAAATGATACTTAGAGGGATTTAATACAATGAATACAGATCAGACAGACTATAGTAAAATCAATTATTTGGTCATCATCTACCCCAATATACATAATTCCTATAACTCTGTTTTTGAAAAATCCTCTTTTTACTAGTGACCAAATTGATAGCCACATTGGTACAGATTCTTTAAATAGCTATGACTTGAAGAATTTTCTTGAGATGAAAGAATAGGAGCATGTACCTCATGATGGCTCACTAATAAAATAATAATAATAATAATAATAATAATAAAGAAAGAATAGGAGCACAATGCACAAGTTCATGTTTAACACGTACTGTCAAAGTTACAGGAGACAATAGGAGTGTTGGCTCCAAACACAGTGGTGGCGCTATGCTTCCCCTTTTCCGAATCTTTCTCTTCTCCATCCTCGGTCGTGTCTGCACCCTAAAGAGGCAGAAAGATATCAGTATACAATATCTAAAAGCAAAGAGTCAAGAATGATATCAAACGGAATGGTGCTTTAAAATAAAATAAAATGAAAAGATCATTCTCATCCAAATCACTCCACTTCTAAAGAGGAACAATGCTCAGGGCAGCAACTGACTTCCCTATGATCAGTTAGCTTGAAAGGAACAGAGCGGGAAGTTGAAGTCAGATCTTCTGCCACAAGTCCAGGTATACCAAACCCTGGCACTGAAAGAAAACAAAAACAGAAAAAGCACAAAGGATAAGTAAGGCGATTAAAATAGAGGAGGAAGAGAATGTGCAATAGAAGAACAGTAGAGCAAGGTATAGAGACACAGAAGAAGATTGCTTGGAAACGTTTCCTGATCACACAGCATGTTAGATCAATCTCTAACACATTCTTTTTTCACCTCTCTGCTTTCCCCTCCTCATTTCTTACTTAGTGTGCTTATATATACAAGTTTTTCTAACTCTGTAATTAGAAAAATACTAATTGTGGCTGGATGAAAAAAAATGCCATCCTTCTATTTTCTCCACTTTCACGTTGTTACTGGTGCCCTCTCAAGCAAATCGATAAGCAACGGGAGGACAGTGCTACAGTGCTAGAATAGTTTTTAAATTCACTGAATTTGTGAACAGTTGTTTTCAAGACATAAACCAAGGAACCTGTGTCTGGAATGTTAACAGCTATCACTGGCAGAAAGGGCTTTAGAACACATTTGCTTGGAAAATGCAAGGTGAGACCACATTATATAGTTGTGTCTGCAACAGAACTTTTTATGTTGCCCTTCCAATGGTAATGATATATTCATTCTGCAAGAATTATAGAGACATTGGAGAGTGGGGCCTCTGTGGAGTCAGAGGTATCCAGCATTCACAGAATTTCCTTGGACCAATGGTACGTGAGCTTTGGTGAGTTATTACTTACGAGGGCTCCTTCAAGCTTAAAGATAGCAGCCGCACCATGGGTTTCTGAAGGAGCCATTTTTCTCCTCCAGCGTCTTCGGCGAAATGTGTCTGAACTACGCTGTTTCCAGTGAAATTTCCAGCCAATTAAAGAAGCATATTCCCAGCCTTCTCGGTCTTCAAGTTCTTCCATAGCCTAAAATATAAATAAAACTTTTAATGATTAACCATCACCATCAACCAGCAGTATCCATATATTAGTAAAGGAAATTATTTGGTCATTTAACAAGTACATATTGAAAATGTATTCTGTGCGAAGTACTGTGTGAGAGACAAGAGATACACCACAGAACAAAGTGGACTGGTTCTCTGCCTCTGCAAATCTGATGGTCTGTGGGAATGCAGAGCTGCCAAGGAATGAACAAGAAATTGGGCTTTCCCTACGGTGGCTGTACCATCAGGAGGAGTACCCAATTTAATGAGCTAGAGAAAAATTTAGTTAACTTCTGTGAAACGAGAATAAATTTGCCAATACATTTACAAAAGCGGACTTTGTAAATTGTAGATGATGCATATTCTGAAAGTAACACTATGAGAATGAGCACAGACTATACTTCTTGTATTATTGTTCCACTTAATATTTTTATGTTCCACTTAATTTTTTAAAATTTTTATTAGTGAGACAACATGAGGTACAGTTGTAGACTTACAAATTTTTGTGCTTAAGTTTCAATTATACAATGATCAAATACCCATCCCTCAACCAGTGCCCATTTCCCAGCACCACGGATCCCAGTATCCCTCCCACCCCCCAAACCCCTATCCCACCCTGACTCTGTGGCAGGGCATCATGCTGAAAGTAGACTATAGACCAAACATGATTGTCACCCACTTAATTTTTTATCATTATGTTTAAGCACTATCATATCCTAAATGGATCCATGACATTATATCCATCTTTGCAACAAAGCCAGTATATTAATTTTGATATATCTTATTTCAACTTTTGAGCAGTTTCTATTGCTTTGTTATGTTACCAAAAATTATTTATATAGCACAGCGGGTAGGGCGTTCGCCTTACAAGCGGCCAACATGGCCGACCCGAGTTCGATTCCTCCGCCCCTCTCGGAGAGCCCGGCAAGCTACCGAGAGTATTCGATATGCCAGACACAGTAACAACAAAGTCTCCAATGGAGACGTTACTGGGCCCGCTCGAGCAAATCGACGATCAACGGGAGGGCCTTTGCCTTTACCTCTGTTACTACTGTTCTCATTATTTCGCCGAATCACCTGGAGAATGTATTGAAGCACAGATGGTTGGGCCTCACCCTCCAGAGTTCAGAAATTTATTAGAAATATCTACTAAGTAGGTTTGGAGTGGATATTTCTAATAAATCCCCAGCTCATATAGCTGCGGCTCTTTGAAGGTGGAAGGTAAATTTTGAGAAACCCAGAGTAGGGCATCAGGACTTTGGTAAATGGCTTCTGTAGAACAGTCAGTTAATTAATGGAATTCTGTGTGGAATGGAATTAATGGAATGGAATCAGTGGAATTAATGGAATTCTGTGTGGCCTAACTGGCAAAGCCTACAGTCTGCCTTCTCCGCCTCCCACCGCTTCTCTGCTCCATTGCTCTTCCTACCTTCGCAGTACTTGAAGAAGATTGTGTTAAATCCTTCCTGCGTTTGCGGACAAGCCTCCGCCGCCTGTGAGTATGATACATTTTCTCTGCTGCAACCCAACACTTGGGCTTATTATCAGGAGGAATGGTAATTCCATACTCCCAGCCTGGAAGAGAGTTTATGGAAAGTTATCAGAAGGAGATGCATTTGTCAGATGGTCCTACTTCAGGAAGCACTCCATCACCTTTGCTACTCTCAAACACTTACTACTCTGCTGTCTGAAATGCCACTTGTTCCTTTCCAATTTGACCAAACTAATTCCATCCCCACTCCTCAGATTCTCTTCTAAAGGCAACCTAGGTGCCCCTGGGGTCCTCCACTTCAGACTCCCAACCACACAGGTAATTGAGTTCCCTAAGAATAAAGCTCAAGCACAAGAGGCAGAAGGCACAGTAGTTATGGGTATGGGCTGTGTAGTCACATGCATGGACTCAGTACAAATCCCAGCACTCCATGTGTGGTGACTATTAAAAATGCGTCTTTCAATTTAGAAAACCAATTAACTCAGCATAGAAGACACTCCAGTTTAAAACAATTAACCAAGTCTTGCTCTTCAAGCCCGTGTTGTCCCTTGAACATGGATTGTACTTGCTTATCTCTCTATCTCTTTGCTTGCTTTTTCCACTCTTGAGAAGCCCATGTTCATTCTTAAACACGTATTTCATCTCTTTATCTTCCCTCACAAATTTTAACTTAGTTTCAATAAAAACCATCTTGCTTCTGGGCCACAGTGATAGTACAATGGGTAGGGCACTTGACTCGCATGCAGCTGACTCTGGTTCGATCCCTGGCATCCCACATGGTCTTCTAAACCTGCCAGGAATGTCTGCCAGGAATGTCTTCTGAGTGCAGAGCCATGTCTGAGCACTGCTGGGTATGTGACCCAAAATCAAACAAACAACCCCCCAACAAAAACTATCTTGCTTCACCAAGAAAAACAAATAAATAACCAAAATAATGCAACCAAAGGACTAAAACCAAGTTCTCCACATAGTTTGTGCTCAATCGATGCTAACTTTTATTGTAAGCCCTGGTGTGTCTATCAAGGTGCTTATATCATCTGCTTGAAACTTTTTATATTAGTATAGGTTCTTCCTGTACACTATTCACTCCTTTTAGGAAAAAAATCAGACTTCCTCATTTAGTAAACACCTTTTATAAAGATATATCAATAATCTGCTTTATTACTGAATAGGATTACTTTTAAGCTACTTTACTATTCTTCTTTCTGGGTAAAAGGTCTCTGAGATGTTGTTTCCAAAGAGGATATAGGATTAGATTCAAATAGAGAGAAAAAAATTCATCTTCCTCCAAGATTTTTTCGTGTGTGTGTGTGTGTGTGTGTGTGTGTGTGTGTGTGTGTAGAGGTATGGGTGTTCTGGAATGGCTCCCAAGCAGTGATCAGGTAGTCTGCGGGTCTCTCCAGTGATTCTTGGCCAACTGGGCCAGCAGAGCAGTACAAGGACCAGAGATGTGATGCCGCTGGGGCTCTTTGGTGCTGGGGGATGCTGGGCTACCCCAGTAGTGCTGGCTACCTCTAGAACCACACCAGCCACATTCAAGGGTCTCCAGAGCAATGCCTGGTGATGCTTGGGGATCCATGTGGTGCCAGGAATTTAACCCGAATGGTTGTGCTATCCCCCAGTCTCTTTCTGATTCTTCTAATGAATCCTTGGGCTCTAGAAGCCGAACCACTTCACCCGCTGCCACCTTGTAACTTTGACTCTTAATAGATACCCCGTGCTCCACTTGCTTGTCCTTTAGATTTTGTATCTGAATTCACAGGAAATACTTCCTAACTTGGTTATCCCAGACCTAAAGGCATAAGACTCCTCCCCGTCAAGGAAACAGACTGGTAAAGACCTCAACAGAGAGCCCCCACCCAGGTATCAGATCCAAAGTGTTACCTTTCTCGTCTACTGCACGATTTATGTCATATATCCAAGCATCATCTTCCCATTCCCAGCCTGGAGGGCACGTGAGCTCGCCAGGTGATGCTGCTTTATCTCCATTCTTTAAAAATTAGATAAATAAACAAACTGAGTCATGGTGTTAAATAAGATGCAGAGGTGAGATACAGATCTTACACATGTGAACTCACATCATAGATATCAATCATGCTCAGAACAACCCCTCAGCATGAACTGAATGTAACCTCTCAGTTACGTTCAATTTCCATATAGAAATTAGATAGACGTTCAAGCGCTGGTGTGATAGCACAGCGGGTAGGGCGTTTGCCTTGCACGTGGCCAACCCGGGTTCGATTCCCAGTCTCTTGAGCACTGCCAGGAGTAATTCCTGAGTGCGTGAGCCAGGAGTAACCCCTGAGCATCGCCGGGTGTGACCCCCCCAAAAAATAATAAAAAAATAAAAAAGAAATTAGATGTTCAGAATGCCTCTGGCTCCATTACGAGGGAACACATTAGACTAAGCCATGAGAAATTGCTCTTGTAAATCAAAAATGGTCAAATATTAGCAATTTCACATTTCAGCTTAAATGTTTTAAATAGTAACTTTTCTTTATGAGAGGTTATCCTGGAAAGAGCCCATCTAAGCTGGATAAAGCTAGAAAGACATGTTTTTAAGTACAGGGAAATGCTAATGAAGTTGCATCATATAAGACTGGGCAAAGTTTATGTTGCATATTGACAAAACTACTTAAAATTCAGGGGCTGGGGGCTGGAGCGATAGCACAGCTGGTAGGGCGTTTGCCTTGCACGCAGCCAACATGGCCGACCCAGGTTCGATTCCCAGCATTCCATATGGTCCCCCGAGAACCGCCAGGAGTAATTCCTGAGTGCATGAGCCAGGAGTAACCCCTGAGCATCGCCGGGGGTATGACCCAAAAAGCAAAAAAAAAAAAATAAAATAAAATCAGGGACTGGAGCAATAGCACAGCAGGTAGGGCATTTCCCTTCCACGTGAATGGGCCGGGTTCAATTCCCAGCATCCCATATGGTCTCCTGAGCACCACCAGGAGTGATTCCTAAGTGCAGAGCCAGGAGTGACCTCTGAGCATTGCCAGGTGTGACCCAAAAAGCAAAAAAAAAAAAAAAAAAAAAACCTATTTAAAATTCATTAAAGCTGATAGCTATGAAAAAAGTTCAAAGTTAATTAACCCAGGGAGAGATATCCAGCTACACTTTGAAGGATAAGAAAATGGGAATAACAGGATACCCTATATTTGTGTATTGACAAGGATGTTAAAGTGGGTACAAGTACATAGAAAAACAGTCCTCTAACACAGCCATTGGAAACAGGAGTCTAAACCAACCCATGGAAAGTAGTTAGTTCAGCAATTTTTATCCAATTATTATACATGAATTGATTCTGTGAATAAGGCAATCCAGGGACCTTTCCCACAGACAGACTTTCAAAGATGAATATTAATACTGCATATAAAGATGTCCACTGTGTCATCATTTATTAAAGCTAAAGACTGAGGCAGGGGAAACCAAAAGTCCATAAGGAGACGATTACTACTAAAATAAATTATAGTAGGTGCATATATAAACAACTTGGCAGGTGTTTCTCCAGAAGTCAGAGATATGCATGTATTGATATCCAAAAATGTCCAAAGTAAATCCCATGAAAAATATAAATTGCAGAACTATGCACGCAGTGATTCTAAATAAGGGATGGGAAAAGTTCAGAGTGAGTACAGAAACAAAATCGTGATGGTTATATCCAGGATGTGGAATATGAATCAGGGAAAATTACCTTTCTTTTCTTTTATTATTTATTTATTTGCTGTTTGAGTATTTTAGAGACAGGAGTGGGGGAATGTGTTGTGACTTTTTTCAACTGGCTAAATAATGAATATTTGTTTAAAAATGGTACAACCCAAACATGACCCTGGACCAACATCTAGTTAAATAGGCCCATCTAGTTAAATGCTCTTTCCACAGAAGTCCTTCTTCAGCACTTGTGTGGTAAAGTTTACATACAGAGAGGGCTGTTCAGAATATGAGATGGGGCTGCTGCTGGGTTCACCCATCCTGGACTCATGGAATGAAGGTGTGAGAGTGCATCTCGGAAGAGGTTGCTCACCGCATCTGTGTAGGTGTCCTCAGCCGGCTTCCACTCGCCTCCGGGGTAGCGACTCTCATTCTGGTACACTTCATCCGTAAACTCTGAGTGACCCGCGTCCGCCTCAGTCAGCAGACTGTGGGGGGAAGCTCGTGTTACCCAAAGAGAAATGGTAGCCCACAATCCCAGCTCTTTCCAACGATTGGGAAGCGTCTACACCCTGGGGATGGCCCCTTTCCCTCCTTGCTTTATCCCTTTGAGTTCTCCACTCCAAACTCCTCTTTGTTCTAATAGTTTTCGACATTCCTTTGAAGAAAGGGCCTGCTGGAACAATGAGACCTAAATTATAGAGAACTCCTCAAATTAGCAGGATTGTTCCTGCTCAGTAATTAGGGTGGAGACTGGGAAAACAGTGTGGTGGGCAGCTTCTTAGAGGGACCTCATGTTCCATATTTTTGATTCAGCTCAGGACTGTTTGGCTTTTTCTCAGCACAACTCTTGGAAAACAGTTCAAACGAATAGGGAGTTGTCCCCCCTCATTCTCCTATTTTTAAAAATGTAATAGAGACTCTCTTAGGAGGCCAATTGTGGAAAATTTCACTCAGGGCTTGCTGGATCTACGTAACACAAACTGCAGGGAGGAGTTAGAATTTTCTGGAGACTTCCTAGGTAGATAGCCAAGCCAGGTCATTTATGACTCCAAACTACATTTGGGCACTGAAGAAACCCATTCTGATGCCCTGCCATGCCAATTTCCCTCATGAATTAGCAACTATTTTGACAACCCTGCAAGAATATTGCTTCCAACTTTGGCTTTAAGTCTTCTGCCAGGTATTCACTCAAATAAGGTTTCTTTTTCCTTTACCATTTCTTTTTATTTTTTTCCTTTTATTCTTTAACGTTTCTACTCCTTTCCCCTGCTGTATGTTCCCCTAGAATCAAGCTTTGGGGAAAAAATGATAGTATTAAAAAAAAAAAAGAACTAGTCTTGACCATTTGTATAAACAGGGCTTGCCTGTGACTTCTCTGGGCCCCAGAGAAAAACAGGAGGTAGGGCTGCCACTTCTGGGGTCCCATCCAATCCTGACATACTTCTTCTTCTTCAAATACAATTCCTCTTTCCAATGATGCTTGGGGCAACACTTGGAAACCAGGTTTTGACATTCCCCAGACTACAGGGGATTCGAGATTGTAGCCCCTTTCTCCTCATCACTCTATCCATGCTGATTCTATTCAGCTTTCATTTTTATTAACATTTTGGGAGATAACATGCACACCAAACAACTGGTTTGGTTCATACATTTAAGGTGAACTTTCTGTTGTTTGCCACAGACATTCCAGTATAATACCTGATTGCTGGTTTGTGTGTTCCAGCCAGACGTGGGTCATTACCCTGGCAAAATGTATTCTACTGACACCCTATGTGACTTTGGACAAGTTACTTCGTTTTTCTATGTTTTGAATTCCTCATCAATAAGTAGAGATAATGCTATCACTTGCCTGGATAATACTCTTTTTAAGTCTTGTATTTATGAAAAGAAGCCCCATAAGCCTTTGTTGCATGCTCTATTTCTGAAAATGTTTATATGGGGAATCACCTCCTTGGAAGACAGATAATGTCTTTTTGTTTTATTGCTTTTTGGATTACACCTAGTGGTGCTCAGGACTTACTCCTGACTGTGCTCAGGGATTACTCCTGGAAGTGCTCAGGTAACCAGATGTGGTGTTGGGGATTGAACTTTAGTCAGCCACATGCAATTAAATTCATATCCATTCAAACCCCATCTCATACAGCACCTTACCCGCTGTTCTTTCTCCCCAGCTCCAGACAACATCTCTGTGGAGCATAAGTCAGCATGCTTCGTACCCACTGGTGAAAGATTCAAAAGCCCTAATCTCAGGGTCCCTGTTCTCTTAGATACCCGTGTCAGTTTATGTGCTTTTTAGTCACTCTTGTGAGAACGAGTGGGAAGAGGAACAGAACAAATGTTGGTATTTTGTGGGCAATAAAGTCTTTTGTCTTTGACTCAGGAGTCTTGTGTTTCCTGCCAGTATTTATGAAACTGTGTCAAGTGACCTTGTTCCCTTGCAAGAAATATCACCTACCCTTTAAAATGTTAGACATGGCCTATCTCCTAGGGTTGGAGTCCTACCTAATTCAATGAGAATGGTCTTGGTGCTCAGCACAGTGCTTGGCACATTCATAAGAAGATTTCACCCATAAGAAGATTTCAGTAAATGTTAGTACCAGCTGCTTTTCTAATACTATAAGATACTAATGATGCCTTTCATGTGTTTATGAATTTCAATGGACTCATTCCTATTTAGTGAGTATTATGTACATATCATCAAAATAATGATGGGGAAGATTCATTGAACAATATCTAGGAAAAGATTCTCATTGCCATCATCATTTCCTCAGGAGCTTACCTTCTTTCGGGATCAACTATCCAGTCTCCTTCCCATTCCCAGCCTTTGGGAGGCAAAAAGAATTGTTTCTTGAGCTTTATTTTTCCTGTGACATCAGAGAATTTGTGACGACCTACTAATCCAGATGTGCCCCACTTTCCAAACATGATAGCTTGATTCTCATACTATTCAAAAAATGGAGAAAGAAACCTTATCAGAGAGCAAGAAATAAATCCAACCTATAAAAATTAAGCCAATCTTAAACTAAGGCTAAGCAAAGACAGAGGGTAAGAAAAGTTTTCAATTCTTAAAGTAGGGGACTAATCTCGGCTCTTACTGATTGGGAATTTTTAGTAAAACAGCCATCTTTCTAAGATTCAGCATTTCCATCTTTGGCTGGTGTATAAAACATCCTGGGGAGGCCAGGGGAGGCCACGACGGCTCGTGCCCTAGCCACCCGGGTTCGGATGGGCCTGGGCCGCTCCCCCAGCCAGGGCAGCCCAGGCCATGGGGCAGACGGAGGAGGAGATGAGGACCAAGCCGGTTGATTGATCAGATGGAGTTTATTCCATTATCCCCACGTGCCTGCCCCAGTCTCTCTGAGCCCCCCATTCTAATCTCACCCTGCCCCTCATTCTCGTCTCCTCCTGTCTCTCCTGCTCATCTCTCCCTGCTCCATCTCGCAGCCTGGTCTCGCTCTCTCCACGAGTCAACTCCTGTATTCTTCTACATTCTTCTCTCTCTGTCCCCCTTGCTAGGCTCTCCACACTCCATCTTGCTGCCCTGCTCTTTCTCTCATCTCTCCAACTCTCTTCTGCTCTCCAGCTCTTTTGTCACTCCTACTCTCTCGTCTCCCCAACTACCCAACACACTGGGCCCCCAGTCAGGTAGCAAAATCAACATAAGAAAGCCCTTCCTGAGGGCCCACCAGGTTCAAAGGGAACACCACCCAAGAGGTATTCCAAAGCCCTTCCTTGACTGCCCAAGGGCAACATACCTCCTAAGGTGTTTTTCTCCTTCCCTCAGTCCAATAACTCTATCAACATCTTAATACCAGTTATTTTTGTATGGACACAGTAAGAGATAATATTGAGGCTTATAGGGAAGCTCTCCTGGGAACATCTTGGCACAGACTCAGACTACAGGGCTCAGGCCAGATGAATCATTCCTAACCCTAGCAGGGTCCGAATGTAGTTATTACTTTTTGGATCATGACAGCATTTGTCCATGACCAAGCTCTTAACTTATAGTTAAGCACTATGGCACTTTGGCCAGGTCCATCTCAATGCCAGGGTAGCATATAGCTTATCACTTGCCCTGGTTCCATCCAGTCCCTTGTTGGGACCCTGCTTTTGGGGGCACTAGGAAGTAAGGGCAACTGAGGCTTAGGTCCAGAGAACAGATACATCACGTTACAAAAGCATTGCATCTACTGTCTTGTGTCCATACAAAAAGGGCATTGCTCTGAATAAACTATGCAAAGGACTTAGGGAGAAGAGAAAAACAATATTTACAAGTCAACAGAGCACAAGGAAAGAAGTTACAAATAAACACAGAGGAAAGGAAGCACTGTGATGGCAGCCACCCAGTAAGCCTAAATTACCTGAGGCTATGAAACCAATGTTATCCTACAGGCTGGGAATAATACTGCCTTTTTAGTGTGTCTGATTCTCAAATGAGTGTGAAAGTGCTTTGTCAGGAGTGAAATATGTGTTGTTAGGTATTTCTATTTATGTCATTGTGGTGGGGGGCAGAGGAATGGAGAGACCCTCTAGCAGTGCTGAGAGTGGGAGCCCAGGTCACACTGGGCAGTACTCTGGGGCCATGTGGTACAAGTGATCAAACCCAAGACCTCGCACATGCAAGGTATGTGTGCTACTGCTTGAGCTGCATGCCTGCTCTGTTATTGTTTTGAATAATCGCAAATAATTCTCTGAATCTAACCTTTTAAATACTACAAAAATGTTCAGTTGACGAATGTGCAGGGGCTTCTGTTTCTGTTTTTTGGCCATACCTGGCGGTGTTCAGGGCTTACTCCTGACTCTGTTAGGGGATTACTCCTGGTGGGATGGGGTGCTGGGAATAGAACTTGGGTTGGTTGTGTGCAAAGCAAACGCTTTGCTGCACTATCAGTTCAGCCCAAACATGCAGGTTTCAAAAGTTTATTTGTAAGTTCACTGCTTAGAGCGTGAGGCACATTTCCCACAGAAACAACTTATAATTGATTATGTATAAATTATATTCATTGATTCATCTTCAGTACCTGCCTCAGTGCCTGGGATGATGCTATGGAAAGAGATATCCTTAGGTTGCCCTCTGCCAGTTTTCAGGAGTGACTCCATCTCTAAAACCCCACCGCGATAGGGTCAGAGAGATAGTATAGGGCTTATGGTGCTTACCGTGCACATGGCCAAATCGGGTCTTGGTCCCACATATATGATCCCCTGAGTCCCACCAGGAGAGATCCTTGAGCACAAAGCCAGGAGTAAGCCCTGAGCACTACTGAATATGGTCCACCTCTTCAATTCCCCTCGAATAATATATGAATGGGTGGAAATATTACTCAAGTGGTGAGCATCAGCCTAGAATGTGAAAGGTGACCCCTTAAACCCGGGCATGGTCCTGGTGGTCTCAAGCACTGCCAGGTGTGGCCCCAACATCCTCTGAGCTATGACTGCCCACGCACCTAGGCCCTAGCATGGCCAGATGTGACCCCCTATTTTTAAAAAACGTACACTGAAAAAAATCCAAGTAGCTGTGCTTTCAGCTATAAAATGTGTGAAAATTATTTTCACTTGGTTTACCTATGATGAGACTTTTCATTTGCAAAGTAGATGTATAACTCTGAGAGGGTTTTATAAATGTTCTCTACTGTTTATAAAGTTTTCTGGCAGTGTTTTCTTCCTCCTGGAAAAACCCATGTAAGTCTTTCCCTAGAGGAGAGAATCTCTCAAAGTGTGTCTCTCAAGTGTCTCACTCCTGGGGTGCTGTGGGTGAATCCAGCCGGCGTGTCCCAATACTGACCCTGCCTAGTCCTTTAGGTTAAAGTTTCTCGGATGGGATTTGGGGTCATGGTGATGACCCCAGATGTTGTTTCTGATAGTGTGACTGTTTCCCTAAGGATGAAAAGTAAAAGTTCTCCACTCAACCTCATTGCCTATCCCCACCCCAACCCCAAAGAAAGGAAAAGCCGGCGATGCCATTGAATGTACCATTTCAGCAAAGACAGTGAATGTGCCTTCTGCGAAACTGTTGAACTTCTTCTCCACAGCACTCAAGCCCAGCCAGATGTTCACTCGCAACTGCACGGGCACCCTTGGTCCATTGGTTTTTTCCTGCGGATACTGTGAAAGGTACAGTAACAGGACACATGAGTGCTGGGCACAGCATGGACTGTGACATTAAGTTCAAGCCCAAGGCAGACTGAACATCTAATTATTACTCTCACCGGTCTAATCTTATGTTTGTGTAGCTCAAATATTTCCAAATGACCCTACAGCAAAGATTAAAATAGCAAAGAAATCAGTGGCTTGCCAATTCAGAGACCCCTGTGTGTCCCCGAGGGATTTTTCAGGAGGTTCAGAAGATCAAAACTATTTTTCTCATAAGACTAGGATGTCAATCGTCTTTTTCACTGTTCAAGTACTGGGGGGGGATCTCCAGGTGGTGTAGCAGGGATCTAGGTAGGTAAACTGAACATCTAACTGAACCAACAGTTCACAATTGTATTTCCCATCCTCTCAGTGAAGAAAGCAAAATAAATACCTGTTTTGTTTAAGAATTCCCCATATGAAGCAGCTACAATGACTAACTGGATTGAAGCATAGCCCTTGAGTATAGTGTCTTCTTAATATTTTGAGAGTTGAGATGGCAGTTACATTCAAAGCACTTCCATGAGATTTGACTCACATCTGCAGCAAAGCACTTGTGCAGTTGTTTGCCCTATAACCTGATGTCACTTTCTTTTCTTTTCTTTCTTTAATGGGATATTTTTAAAAAATAATTTTGAATTAGTGTCAAATTCAGTTATTCTGATGTGGATATGGGACAGATTTTTTTAACATAAAAATGTGAACTTTTTATTTTGAGGGCAATAACTCTATTATTGACACTGATAATATTCAGATTTTCAAGTGAAAGAACTTGGAAAAAATTGTATGGGTCATGGTGAACTTGAGAGCTTTTCACTACCTAAGACCTTTTCTGATAGGTTGATATCAAATTGGTGATCTTTTTCCAATTTTGTATGATGAAATGTGGCAACTAGAGGAAGAGCTGGTTAACTCAATAAACCAATGTTTCCTGAATGGTCATGCTTATGAGTCAGAAAAGCATGCCTGGATAAGAGAGCCATTCACTGTATAAGACAGAATCATAGATTTGAATATAGCAGAAAATGAAAGGCCACTGATGTAGTTTTAGCTTCCACAATGCATTTAAGTTTTCAGAAGACACTACTTAATGAGTTTGGTATTGCATTCAAGATGAGTTATCAGAAAATGTCATGAAAATACTCTGGCCCTTTTTTTTTTACTACAATTTTAAGGGAGCCTGGATTCTCAACATATTTTGTTAGAGTAAATGTAGAAGCAGAATCCAATGATATTTCTGTAAAAAGGTTTGCAAGAATGTAAAGCAGAATCACTTTGCTCTTTGATTTTTGAAAGAAAATAATTATATTTTATAAAAAGATACAATTTATACCAACAATGGTTTTGTTATTGTTATTTGAAAATGAATTAATAGCTATTTTAAAATTAATTTCTTTTAAAGTAAATATAGATAGACACACACAAACAAAGCTCTCTCTTTTTATTTAGGAGTATAAAAGAATCTCAAGATAAACCAAAAAGCTCACTGCGTCAAATGACTTCCTAAACTGAATAATGAGTTTTAGCAAACTCAATACATACATAAAACGTTCTCAAAAGTGTTTTGCTGTTTTTTCTCTGTCATAAATCCCAATACAAGAAGGCCATTTTGCCACCTATCCTACCTGCTGTGAAGTGTTATTTATTAATCAGTTTGCTTCCACCCACTTCTGAGGTCGATTATAATTGTGGTTCTATCTTAAGTAAAATTGATTCCACCAAGAGACACTTGAAGGAAGATAATCACTCTGGTTCTATTTTCACCTCCTGATTAAAGAGTGATGAGTACATTTATGCAATGTTGGCAGCTATCACCTGGTTTTAGAGAACTTTCTCTTCACTACTTTTCCTCTTCTGTCTTTTCATTCCTCTTCTTCAAGAATTTAGTTGGGGTTGCCAGGGAAAGGGTGGTCCAAAGACGCAGTTGGGAGCTATTCAGATTTCTTTTGCAAGCCCCAGCCCCCACTGAAGCCTGTGTGTCTCCAGATGTGCACACACAAAATTCCTTTTCAATATAGGCTCCCAGGATGGACTTAAGGGTTCTAAGAATCTCCTGAATCATATCCCAAATATTGGACTCTTGAAAGATACTTATTCTTCTGGACGACAAGGGCAATAACTTTCACCAGGTGCTTGAAGAGATTTATGATTCTAAAGTGGGTCAGAACCCCACCCAACAGTATTGAGACTCAGAAGTTTTCAATTTAAGAAACCATTTGGTCAGAGCAATCGATTCCATGAACAATCTCCACTACCATCTCTTCTTTTTCTTAGGTCTCAAACTTTCACAGGAAGGGAAGGGAAGAAGGCATTGCATTGCTTCTGATATTTCTGTGCCTTAACAACATCAGGGGGAATTCATGCTAGAAAGCAAAGCATTCATAATGCCATGTTAGCACAGGTGTCCCAAAGACCTCTCAAGGAGGTCCCTAACTGAATACCAACAGATCTCAAACCCCTCTGTAAGAGTTATCACCCTTGAAGGAGCCAGAATAGGCTGAGACTGATCACAGCCTTAGCTATTCAATAGTGAAATATTTATAGAGCAGTGCTTTCTCAGGAGTACGGGGCTATGTTGAAGTGTCTCCTATTTAAGCAGTGATAAAGGCATACCTTCAAAAAGATGGTCTGTGTCTTCCCACAATACTTCCCTGATGCATTCTCGCCAGTGGTGGAATATAAAACCTGATGTGCAGGAATTCGTGCATAAGCCAGTCTTCTCTCACCGCGGATCATCCAGATGATAATGTCAGGCATACTGTTCTGAGGCTGCTCACATGGTGGGCGGAAAAGGAAGTAACACTAGAGTTAGTCTAATGCAGAGGAGCTAAAGACCCTCAGAATTTCTACGGCCCGGCTTTATCCTAACATCCTAATATTCTCATCTAGGACTTCACTGGGTTCTCAGGGCCCAGAGGCAGGCTGTGGTTGGTCAAATGGAACAGATAAGCTCTGTGTGTGAGTGTGTGTGTGTGTGTGTGTTTGTGTGTGTGTATGTGCATATGTGTGGGGGGATATTTCACCTACCCAAAGACTTATCTACTCTCTGGACCCTGACAGATATTTGAGGAAATGTATCCAATGTCTCCTTTTACCTTGCCCCATTATTTGAAGAAATCCCCTGGCAGTCAACAAGAGTTTCAATTTTTATATATTTCACAGAAGCTTGATAGTAAGCAGAATACCTCTATCATACAATTGTGTATTTGCCAAATATGAAACACTAATTTTGTTTTTGTTTTAAAGATCTTTATATTGGATTCTAATGGTGGATCACGGTCATGGTCCTCCCGTTGTTCATCAATTTGCTCAAGCGGGCCCAGTAACATCTCCATCGTGAGACTTGTTACTCTGTTTGGCATATTGAATACGTCACAGGTAGCTTGCCAGGCTCTGCCGTGTGGGCATGATACTCTCGGTAGCTGGTCGGGCTCTCCAAGAGGGGCGGAGGAATCAAACTCGAGTCGGCTATGTTGGCTGCGTGCAAGGCAAATGCCCCACCGCTGTGCTATCGCTCCAGCCCTAATGGTGGATATCAGTTCATTATAGAACACTGTCGAAGTACACAAATACAGAAAATAGGAAATAAAACTCAATTCCAATCAAGTAAAGTAAAGTAAAGTAAAGGCCCTCCCGTTGATCGTCGATTTGCTCGAGCGGGCCCAGTAACGTTTCCATTGGAGACTTTGCTGTTACTGTGTCTGGCATATCGAATACTCTCGGTAGCTTGCCGGGCTCTCCGAACAAGTATATTTTTCAAATGAGTTTCTACTCACATCTATATTTCCACCCTTTCCCAATCTCTGAAGAGCAGGAGGAGGGGTCTCCTAATGACAGACATACCCAACACTCACTTAGAGCCCTTTAAACTCACTATCTTCTTTTATCTTGATACAATAACACTGACTACATTTATCTCTGTGTTACAGATGGGGAAAATTGAAGCTTAGAGAAATTGAATATCCTGCTCAAAGTTATACCAGATGAATTCTGGATTCAAAGCTGGATCTTCCCAATCCTAGCCAGGGGTCAGATATTAATTCTCTACTAGTTTAGATCTATTAGATCACTGTACTTGAAATAGTCTGGCCATATATTATGTAATGGTTTGTTTGCTTTTCTAACCTTTTAAGAATTATTTATTAAAAATTGTTCTTGTGCCCTGACTTCAATGACATTCACATCCATCATCCATTAGCATTCCCTGCCCTCTATCTCAATTTCATCATTCATCACATCTGCTTAATACTCCAAATAATGTTCTAGATCTTCCTACCACCATTTCTCTCCTTTGTGCTGTTCCAAGGGTGCCTGTGCTCCTCCGCGTCAAGGGAAGCTGATTGATTTTGGCAGTGCCAGGGATCAAACCCATGGTCTTACACATCGAGGGCAAGTGCACTACCACTGAGTTACATCCCCTGCCCACCTTCATGTCCTGTAAAGTCCTACCTCTTCAGTCAGCTGCAATATTTTTTCAAGCCAGTCTTCAATTTCCACCAAAGTGGATTTCAAGTCCGTGGCCTCAGACCTCATTCTCACGGCTGCTTCTTGTATCTGATCTAGAGCTCTAAATCGCAGCCTCTGTATCTGAGTATCAAGAACTGTGACATTGGGTTTTCCTTCTGGGACAGGCAGTGGGCATCTGAAAACAAAAGAAACAAGTTTAGAAATAGCTCTTTGGGCTTCAGACCTGCCAACACTGCTTAAGTTTGATCTCCATCATGCTGTCCACAACACTTGCGCAAGACTCCACAAGGCTGGCCTTTCCTAAGTTGAGGCTGACTGTATCTGGCATTGTCAGCACAGACCTGCCAGCCAGACTTCTAACTTCCAAGATGAATGTGTGGGATTAAAATTCCCAAGCAATTCCTTAGTTTTTAATGTTCAAGGAGTCATTGGAAAGCAAGGGAAACAATTGCATTTGAGAAAAAACTAATCTTACTTTCTTTTGCTTTGTACAATCATTAAAATGAAAGAAAAGGGAAGATTATTTAGAGATTAATTAGAACCAATGTCTTTTTAATATAGGAGTCATACACTTCTCACTGCTTTGTGCTTGGTTTTTAGGAAGTTTGTGAGTCCCTGAAACTTAGAAAGAAAATGCAACCCAGTGTTGACTCAATGATGAACACAGGTTTTGGAGTTGTCTCTCTGACTCCACCATTGTCATCATCTTATTAAAAATTTAATAGGCCCACTGCCTCCAAAAGGTTAGGAAGCACTTGTAAAGCTAAGCTCCCTTTTAAAGTGAAAAGTTTACAACAGCTGAATTGGGGCCCGATTTATCTTTCTTCTTCCAAGGTTTTCCTCTCATGAAGTAGCAGATGGGTCACAGGTAAAGTTGTCAACAAGAACAAGAAGTTCTCCCTGACATTTTCTACATAGAATTTCCATTTGCTTGAATTTCATTCATCTTTTAAAACTGAAGGAAATTGTAACACATCTTCCCGTAAATATCAATGTCTTGTAATGTGAGGTTAAAAAGATGCCAATTTAAGTCTTTTAAAGAATTTTTCACATCTAGGGGCTAAATAAATAGTATAATTGGCAGTGTACTTGTTTTGCATGCAGCCAACGTGGATTTGGTCCCTGGCACCCCACATGGTATCCCAACACACTCTATAAATGATCCCAGAGTACAGAGCCAGGAGTAAGTACCTGAATACCATTGGGAGTGACCCCAAACTCTAAATATGAAAAGAATAATATTTGACACAACAACACTAAAATCATGAGACCCAAACTACAACGACCAAACTTTAAAATGTGTCTGTCAAGGTGGCAGGCTGGGAGGAGCAGGAGGGAACTTGGGAACACTGGTGGAAAGAAGCTGACACTGGTAGTGGGAATGAGACACTATGTCTAAAACTCAACTCTCAATAACGTTGTAAATCATTGTTCTTTAATAAATTTAAAAACTTCACATTCATTCAAATATTTAAAAAATAAGTATGCTTATGTTGCTAGGCAAATTAAAATTCAGAGACTTTCTACATAAAAGGTACAACCAAAATTTTCTGTTCTGATGCATACATAAGTAGGGCATTGCATGTGAAAAGATCATTTCCCAGAATGATACCTGGAGGCAAAGATATAAGGAAGATAGTCATCCAAAAGTCACACACAAAGCTTTCAAGAAACAGAAGTTGGCTTTCAATTACGGAGCAAGACAACGAGACATACTAGGAAAAACTCATTTAACCTCTAGAAGGTGGCATTTCACCTCTGTAAGCCTCTGTTTTCCCATCTATAAAATGGGATGTGAAGGGATGACCGAATTCATTTATTTGAATTAAAACAAGCACCTAGCCGTCTTTTAATCACCTTCAATTACCTTCGTAAACCACTAGGAGGCACAAGAAGACAGGGAGAGTACTCCAAACATTGGCCCAGGAGTGGCCCTGATTTTTTGCTGCTTGAAAGAAGGATTCATGATGTTTTTCTTAGAGACTTCCCCATCCACTGCTTTATTAGGCAATATTCAAAATTTAGTTTGGAATGAATCACTTCCTTCTTTGATTTCCAAACACCAAGAGAACTAAGCTGTTTCCCTAGATCACAGCTATAAAAGCTTCGAAATCCAGTCTTCGGGCTTTACATAAAATTGGCTTGGCCAGAGAGCTCATAAGGCAGTCAGCATAAGACTACATAAAAAGGCTGTTTCCAAAAGAGTTACCACGAATTAGCAATTCTGAATGGTAAAGTCAATGCTCCACCTCAGATCCCATTCCCTGGAGGAATTAGGAGACACCTTTCTTCAGCGTGAGCATCCAAGGATTGGAGACCAGCAGAAGTACTCCTTGTCCTAGCCTGTGTTGGGCCCTACTTCCAGAAGGGGGAGGTGGCACCAATCAGAAAGCAGAGATTTTCCTGGTGGTAATTAAAAAAAATTCTTCTCAGTGAGGGCCTTTTGGTTTTGAATGTTTTGTTTTCTGGCCATACCTGGGCAACCCTCGGGAGCTACTTTCAGCTCTGTGCTTGTGGGTTGCTCCTGGTGGTGCCAGGATCACACCAAGCCTCCTGCGTGAAAGCATGTGCTCAGCCCATTGAATAACCTCTTCTGCTTCTCTCAGGATCTTTGAAGAAACCTGAATAATTCAGATTCATTTTTCAGGTAAACACTAGAAACAGTTCTAGAGGAAGCTAGAGTTTGAGAATCTGGCTAGGAATTTTGAGATCACTCTACCTTGTATCTTCTATAATGTCATCAATCAGCTTCAACCACATTTCGGCCAACTGGTTTGCAGGAATTTTTCCTTGAATCCCTGATTTTAGAGCCTCTATATTTGATTCCTGAAGAATTTAAAAAGAGAGAAAATCATTGGTGATTGTTTTAAATATATAAATATTTTATGCATTCAGGAAGTAAAAAACCCAGCAAAGATGGAGCAATAAACCCTAAAAAGGACTGTAAGACAATACCGATCTATTCATCTGTTTCAGGTAAATAACAGAATTACATTGAACTAAACCAAGTAACTTTTAAATATAGTATTCTGACTATATACCACCCTTCTTTTACTATCACTTTCACTGTCACTGTCCTCCCGTTGTTCATCGATTTTCTCGAGCAGGCCCAGTAATGTCTCTATTGTGAGACTTTGTTGTTACTGTATTTGGCATATTGAATACGTCACGGGTAGCTTGCCAGGCTTTGCCGTGAGGGCAAGATACTCTTGGTAGCTTGCCGGGCTCTCCGAGAGGGGTGGAGGAATTGAACTTGGGTCAGCCGTGTTGGCTGCATGCAAGGCAAACGCACTACCCACTGTGCTATCGCTCCAGCAAAAATAAATAAACCCACAAACTCTAATTAGGTCCCCCCTCTACTTCAGTGGTTTATCTGTGGGGTTTAGATTGGAATCAATGAGTAAATATATTAAGAATAATGGAAGCCACGTAATGGTAACTCCATAGTGATGGTGGAGCAACAGCAGTGCAAGAACCTGGGTCCATGATTGCCTAAATCCACACTATTCTTGGGTTACTTAACTCATAAGTTGCCAACAAGTTTGCTCTTATTGTCTATCACTCTGTTCTGAGATACATAACTATTTTAAATTGTCCAACCTGAAACCAAAAAGTTAATTCACTCTAGTTATAAGGGACTGTCGAAAACTTAAACTTACCAGTCTTTCTGCCACACCTAGAAGAATGTTCACCACATCCAGGCGATGGCTGATATCCTCCCAGTATGAAGTCAGGGTAACAACTGGCTTTGTGTGAGACCATGGCAAGTAATAATAGAAGTTTCCTGATATAGAACATTAAGACAGTGAACACTAAGCACTTAAAAAACATTTTAAAACAAAGACATGAACACAGAGCTACTGAGTAGCCATAAGATTAGGAAATTGTTTGAAATAGTTTGACTCTTACATTTTATTCAGTTAAACTAGAAGGAAATAGATCTTATCTATTCAGAATATTTTGAAAATCTCTCTAAAATATCCTCAGAAAGGGAGCGCTATGATTGCGGGATCTTTGGTGGTTAGGATCATCAGGCTGAATAAATATACATGTTTAATATGTCACTGTCACTGTCCTCCCAATGTTCATCAATTTGCTTGAGCAGGCCCAGTAACGTATCCACTGTGACAACTGTTACTGTGTTTGGCATATTGAATACATCACAGAGAGCTTGCCAGGCTTTGCCATGCAGGCGAAATACTCGCGGTAGCTTGCTGCGCTCTTCGAGAGGGGCGAAGGAATCGAACTCGGGTAGGCCATGTTGGCCACTTTCAAGGCAAACACCCTACCCGCTGTGCTATCACTCCAGCCCATTTAATATGTATTAAACATATATGTATTTATATACTAATACTGTTGGGCTGGAGCGATAGCTCAGCAGTAGGGCATTTGCCTTGTGCGCAGCTGGCCCGGCTGAGCCAGGTTTGATTCCTCCGCCCTCTCGGAGAGCCCAGCGAGCTACCGAGAGTATCTCACCTGCATGGCAAAGCCTGGCAAGCTACTCGTGATGTATTCAATATGCCAAACACAGTCACAACAAGTCTCACGATGGAGACGTTACTGGGCCCGCCCAAGCAAATCGATGAGCAACGGGAGGACAGTGCAGTGCTACTCCTTGTATTAATTTTCACAGAAACTCTGGAGAAGATGAAGAAATGAAGGCTAGTATTAAATGATGTTATTGAAGTGCACTGTAGGTAAGAGAGTGAAGACCAGAGTCCATTTGCTTCAATGATCCAATCTAAGAGGGATCTTGGGCTTCTAAGACAGAGGTGGGCAGGGCAAGGAGCATTTTGGGTGTTCAATGTTTAGCAAGTCACCATCTTCTGAGTGCACAAAGAAGTGCCCTTGCGAAAGGTTGGTCCAGTAAGGGGCCTTGGGATTCAGCTCCCAGCAAAGAGCCCTCAACTTCTTGGGGTTTTTCTTGGGGTATTCACAATATCCAAGGTACCTAAACACAATGTTCCTCTTCATTCCCTTCCTTTCCACTGAGAATATGCTGGGGTTTATGTTGTCAATCAGAGAATAAGCTGTATGTTCTTTGACCAGTGGTAATTCCACTATAAGGAGGCACACAGCAAACGGTCAGTGTCCAATCTTACCATCAAATATGGCCCGGCTGTATTGAGTGGTTGATGCCAAAGGCTTGCAGGTTGCATCAAACTTGTTACCATAGTTCCCAATGCTGACTTCAAACTGAATGGCTTCACCAACATCTTGTAGCATGGTGGCTGAATGGAACACTGCAGACAGGCTGTACTTCCGCCTTCGCTGGTATTTCTACAAAGTATAAGCAGAATTGAGGCTCAGTAAACTCCATTTGTATATTTATGGGAGAGTTTCTAACAGATGTATTTCTTAAGCTAATAATTTGTGCTGAATCAAATTTGTCAGTGGAAAACTTTCTTGGATCTAGCAGTTGCCCTTGTATTTATACAAGTGGGCAAAGAGAAACATCAGGATGTTTCCTAAGGCACTGTTTGAAATAGAGGGAAAAAGTGAAAACAATACAAAAGTCTAGACTACTGATTTAAAAGTTATGTTAAATTCATGCATTAGAATAAAAATTTCAAAGAAGGCTTTGTTCTATACATACAAAGATAAAAAGGTGTACTTTGATATATTATTTTTAATTGTTTTAATATTGGGGCTGGAGCTACAGCACAGTGGTAGGGCGTTTGCCTTGCACGCAGCCAACATGGCCGACCAGAGTTCGATTCCTCTGCCCCTCTCGGAAAGCCCGGCAAGCTACCAAGAGTATCTCGCCCGCACGGCAAAGCCTGGCAAGCTCCCCGTGACGTATTGGATATGCCAAACACAGTAACAACAAGTCTCACATGGAGACGTTACTGGGCCTGCTCGAGCAAATCAATGAACAACGGGAGGACCGTGATTGTGACCGTGACCGTGACCGTTTTAATATTAATTTTCTATCAGAAATCATAGGGAATATGTTTAAACGTCAGATTTGGGCCCTATCTGGCAGTGCTCATGGGATCCTAAGGGTGCAGGGGATTGAACTCAAGTTGGCTGCCTGCAAAGCAATTACCCTGCCCACTATCCTCCAGCCCCTTATTGTCATTTTAAAGATAAGTAAAATTAGACAAACTTATTTATTTTTCTGAAATAGAAATCAGTGTTCATTTAAAAGTTTTTTTTCATATTGAGGTAATGGTGTGTTTAAAGATGATATATTCTAGGAGTACAATTTCAACCTCTTTGTTCCTTTCTTTTTTATTAATGATTTATTTACTAGTGAGTGTACATTGAGGTGGTTAAACAAAGGGCCGTTGTGATGATATTGAATATCTACTGAGTATAATAGAAATGACCATGAGCTTTCAGGTCCTGATTCATTTGGGCATAGAAGATCTCTTGAATTCACATTCTGCTCTAAATCCTTATTCAGTTTGCATCACTTGTTATTTATGGATCATATTTATTGATCCTTGGACATGTAACTTCCTTAGTCAATGTAAAGATTAGCAATGATTTAAATTGTTGTACTTCATCATACTGTATACCTTCTACTATTAAATATTGTTGGCACCTAGAGTTTGTTCTGCATACTTTTTGGTACCAAGTATTTGTCTATGCTCACTTAGCTTAGGATGAAAACACTGGAGATCACTACAGTGCAGAGATGTTGGTTACGTGCTTGGTTGTTGACCATACAAAATTTACAATACTCAAGAAGCCTGGAAAATTTCTTACTATAGCATATTTAGCACTATGCTATAATATATACATAACAACATGTTCCTAGAGAAGGAATTCCCAACCCTATAGCTTTATAGTCTGATATTTAGAGGCCATAATGGTCTCAAATGGTAGCATTTAATGATGTTTTTCCCTCTTTTCCCCCACTGTTACCTATGTCAATGTGTATACCATAATTTAAGTAGGAAAGAAGTGATACCTTCTTACCTATAAGAAACTAATAAAAATTACATGATCCCTGAAGGATATTTATTAACTTTGTTTTTTCAGTTATGCCATAATTTATGGTCTATAAAATAAATCACCCTCATGGGTGGGTTCTTTTCAACATACGATGCAAGACGTGGTCTTTCATATACAGAAGTATTAAGACAACAGCTTCAAAACTTCTTTTAAAAAAAGTTGTAGTCAAATACAAATAGCATAAAATTTACTGTCTTATTTCCATTTTTAAATGTAGAGTTTGATGGCATTAAGTTTCTTCACACTGTACTACCATTCCCAATAAACATGCACAGAGTTGTTTAATCATTTGCTGGTCTACACTGTCCATTTCCACATGCTCTCAGTCTCTATGAGTCTGACTACTCCGTATACCTCATGTGAGCATGATCAACTAGTTGTCCTCTTGTGACCTGACTTATCTAACTTGCACAATAACTTCAAGATTTAGTCATATTATAGCTAGCATGTGTCAGAATATTCTTTCTTCTTAAGCCTGACTAACACTGCATTGTTTTGTTAAAAGATTAAATGAGGCATATTAAAACTTTTAAGAGCTTGAAAGTTTTAGAAGAAATTTTTTTTTTTTTGTTAAATGGTTTTTGTTGGGCTGGAGCAATAGCACAGCGGGTAGAGCGTTTGCCTTGCACACAGCCAACATGGCCGACCCGAGTTCGATTCTTCTGCCCCCCTCAGAGAGCCCGGCAAGCTACCGAGAGTATCTCGCCTGCAGGGCACAGCGTGGCAAGCTACCCATGACATATTCGATATGCCAAACACAGTAACAACAAAGTCTCCAATGGAGACGTTACTGGGCCTGCTGGAGCAAATCGATGAACAACAGGAGGACAGTGTCACCATAGGTTTTTGTTAGTTGATATTAGTTGGTTTCCAGGATATTCCAAGGGCACTGCAGGTGAGAACTCTATAAATGGCAGGCGGGGGGTGGGGGGTGGGGCGGTGTCACAATACAAGACAAGGTGGCCAACCAGTGTGGGGGGCACAGTCAGAATAAGGCTAAGAAAATTGCTGTCAAGTACCCATTTCCGTTCTAGCACAGACCATACTCCAACATTTACCTCAACAACCAGTAAGTCATCATTTGAAATGGGCTCAAGTTTTTTATCTGGTGGTGTTTTCTCAAGAAAAGTGCTTAGTTCAACCAAAATCCTGCCTCTGTAGGCAACGCCTTCCCCCTAGAAAACAATAACACAGGGTTATCCATTTAGGAATAAACAACTCAGGAAAGAACACTTTGTCCCTAGTTGGTAATACAACTGTAAAAGGTTTCTCATTACAAGGCCAAACCCTATAGAATAAATCAATCATCTTTGAATGAATTACTGTTTCAGCTAAATTCAGATAGCTAGTATCTTCAAGAAGAGGTCAATAGGAAGCCACCCAAATGTCACCAGGGGAGCCAGAGTTGAGAGGACCTATGACTATGGTTGGGGGCTTTCAAGACAGGCTCTAAGTCCAGAGAGGTTCCAGTGCTAGGGAGAGGAAGTGTGGGGGCCTCTCAACATCTTTACCCTACTTCAGCAGAATAGCTCTGCATTTATTTATTTTATTTTTTATTTTTCCTTTTTTGGGGGGGTCACACCTGGCAATGCACAGGGGTTACTCCTGGCTCTGCACTCAGTAATTACTCCTTGTGTTGCTCAGGGGATCATATGGGGTCCTGAGAATCGAACCCTGGTCAGCTGTGTGCAAGGCAGGGCACAGCCTAGCAAGCTACCCATGACGTATTCGATATGCCCAACCCACTGTACTATCATCCCAGTCCCTCTCTGTATTTATTTGTTATATGTTTCTTCTTTTTTCCCCCTCAGAATTGAGAGACTGTAATGTGGTAACAAGGACAAGTCTCAGTGACCCACAAGCAAAGGAAAAAGATGTTGGGGTGTGGCTGAGTATGAGGTTGAAGAGAGGATACTCCTCCCACCAAGCTCAACAGAGTTGGCAGCAGATTCTTCCAAAGAGGAAGGAAGAGCCTCGCAGCCAGTCTTCTACTTCCCTCATAATGTTTTATTCTTTTTTTTTTAACTCTACCTTTCTTGGTTTGGGGGAGCCAGTTAGAAATCATTATTTTGGATTCCAATGTGGTAGAAAGAGCCCTTCTCATCTCTGTACCTCTATGTCTCCATTTATAAAATGAAGATAGAATCCATCATGGTAAAACAAAGCATGTCACCAAGTATGTCACCTCCAATAATTTAGCAGATTCCTAGAAGATGATACGGAGCTGAACACTAGGGCAGCTTTTTTGCTTCTTCGAAAAAAGGTACAGCAGTGATTACTGACACTTGGCTAAGTGTAAGCCTGAGGAATGTCCATGCTATGGACTTGCATGACCAAATTAGATTGTCTCCAGGATTCTTTCCTAATTTTGCATCCTAAGAATTAAAAGCCCTTAGACTTGTATCTTTCAACACTTGATTAGTCGTATCTATGTGTATGTGGGGGTTCCCTAAGTATAAGACTTAATTACAACTATTAGAATAAGAATCACATTAATCTGTACTCATTAATTATAAGAATTGATTGAAACTAACCTTTCCAGTATTTAGCTCATCATAGGGGTCTGGGAATCCTGTATACTCTCTGGGGCTTCCATAAAGGTTCAGATAACAAGGGCCAAATGTTGGAACAAAGCCCACCTCTGTTTCTCCTGTATTTGCTGGAAGAAAACATTGTGATTAGATTTGAGGCATCTACAGCTTAAGCTACTAAAAATATTAGTTGTTAGTTGGTGTGATAATTTCCTTCCAAGATGTAAATTAGTTGTTTTAGTGCAGATTATTAGTATTTGTGAGATGCACCATATTTATTTTCTCTTGCTGCTATAAAACATTAATTAAAAAAATTGGGGGGTAATTCAGGTAAACTTATGAGGCTATTGTAAAAAAAAGATAATATTCAATGAAAAAGCCAGAGAATTTCAAGTCGACTTTTGCATTTTTCTAAGTTTATAATAATATTATGTTAAAGACATAACTACAATTGAAGAAAAAGATTATATTATTTGGGGAAAATTTAAAGGATATATATTATATTTATTTATTTTCCAAATAATATAATTTAGTTTTAAATAGTATAAATATTCAGATAGTGTTAGATATGTATCTAAATTGTTTATTGTATATGATATTTAATGTAATGTTTTAATGTAATAATTCCCCATTCATGACATTTCATCTTTTGTGAGCTGCTAATATATCCCATATTTATGCTATCTGGATTTAGCCAGTCTACCCCCGCCCCCAGCATAAGGAAAATGGGAACTCAAAGAGAGATCATGTGTAAAGACCAGTAAATGTGAGAGCTGCTGTCAACCATCTCAAATACTCCTGTATGCAAGTAGGATGAACTCATTTCAAAAGCAGAGTAAGCAGCTCTTATCACAGTTACAACGGGATGGACTTTTGTTCACTTAATCTAAGGAAGATCTTTGTATGAATTATAAATATCAAACAATGAAGTAGAGGAGAATTTTGAGGCAAGAGCTTGCCTTTCAAGCCTATATTTAAAGAGACTGTCAAACTGATTCCTGCCATCAATAAGAGGTTGACCAGATCAGTGCCTTATTCAGTGCTTCTTTCCAACCCTATGCTTAAAATTAAGTGGAAAGATGCATATGGAGAGGCAGATGAACAGAATGCCCTTTGTAAGAGACTTGCATTTTGCCATCACCTTAATTATTTGAGACTTTCCCATATGTGTTAATGGGCTTGAGCACTTCCGAGGATGAGGTGGAAGCCATACACGGTAATGAGACTCTGTTGCAGGTTAGAGGGTAGAAGAAAAGAAACATTTAAATTTGATGAAGGAAAATAGTTTCTGACAGCCTAAGAGTGAGACTTGATAACAATTTATGATGGCTCATTTCATAACTACTTTGAAATCTCCTGTAAAACCCAAATCAAGAAGAAGCATTTTTCCAACAGAGATTTTTCTAGGGTTTCCAAATGAACAAGATGATATAAATATTATGTGGAAATAAATGCTTCACTTGGCTTCATCTACTTTGCCCTAAAGAACATCATCAAGTTGGCCAGATGATCATTCACAAGCCAGGTTTAGGCTCCTTGCTTTGCACTAGAATATTCTTGCACAGGGAAGGGTGCTGTGTTGGAATACAAGTTTAAAGCAGAGATCTACAGTAAGAGAAGGAAATATTAAAGTAAGATTAAAGTTAAACCCCTTTTACTCTAGTCATTTAATATGGGAAAACTGAAGCCCCAGAAGTGATGCAACTTGTCAAAGGGAAAAATGACAGATTTGTGTCCAGATCTTGAATTTCATTGTTTGCATAGGGTACCTATGCAAACAGTACAAAAAGTACACCAACCATTACTCTGGTATACTTTTGCTGCATGTTACCCAAGCCCCGCATGTCACTTTCTATGTTGACTTTTTGCCATAAAATTTTGCTTTTTGCTAAATATTTTCAAGGATGGGACAAAAAATGTCAACGTTCCGTATTGTGGGCCTATACAATCAGTATAGAATGTCAAAATGTTATACAGATAGCTCAAAGAGAGAGCACATGCTTTGCAAACTGGAGCCCTAAGTATGAGTACTGCTACTCTGTGGTCTTTTAAGCACCTCCAGGAGAAAACACCAAGTTCTGAGTATAGAGTAGCTCCTGTGCGCTGTTGAATGTGGCCCCCAAACAAATAAACAAATGAACAAAAGAGATCTTCTGAACATCACCTTGATAACAAAAAATAAATTCTTTTATATCCAAGCAAATTTCTTTGTCAGTTTAAATCCTTGGGCTTACTTAGTTATGCATTAACATGAGAAAATGTCATTGTGTGTGTTCATGTCTTAGTCTGTCTCCCAGGTATTTTCTCACAAGCTGCCTTCAAACTTTAACTCATTTTATGAAAAAATTTTGCCTCAGATGTTCCAGTGTAGTTGTACAAAATAAAACAAATTCTTTAGCTTATTATCAATGTTTTCTTCTCATCTAGTTACAACCCACACCTCCCTCACCTCCCAAAAGTTCCTTTACACTTGGGCTTATGTAAGTGTTTTTAGCTTTAGATCTATGCTTTAGCCTTTAAGATATGCTTATTGGTGTTTCAATTATGGTGGGGCATTGCAGGTTTCACTTATGTTTTATTTTGCTTTCCTAGACATAATATTGGTTCTGTGGTGGAGTACTGTCACACAATTATTTCCTGGTTGGTTGAACAAAAGAATGAAGCAATAAAGTATTACCAAATCTCTCAAGTTTGTTACAAATCTAAGTATACCTTAATACTCATATAAAACTGATTATAGAACGATGAATTCATTTTGTTTTGTTTTAGGGCCACATCTAATTGTATCCAAGGCTCACTCTTGGCTTTGTGCTCAAGGATTACTCCTGCTCAAGGGACGATATGTAATGCCAGGGATTAAACTGTGGTCATTGGTATTCAAGGAAAGTGTCTTTACCCCTGTATTAATTTGTCCACACCCGAATTTAATTTTTAAGAACAAATAATAATGGTGTAATTGTGCCAATATCATATCCTATAAAACTTCCTTTTGTAAAGCTTCCTTATGTACGCTATATTCTTTCTCTATTACAACAACCCTGGGTGACCAACACAGCAGGGACTATCAGGTTTATTTGAAAAGCAAACCTCTCTATACCTGTGTACTTTAGGGCATGATTACAACAGTCCTAAAAGAGTTGTGATGGTCTAGTGTAAGAGCATTGAGTAAACTTATAAAGAACAGCAAATTCTGTGTAAACCAAAAATCATGTTATATGATTAAGGCACCAAGTGGAAAATGTTCAATGGCTTCCAACCTGGAGATCTATGTTGAGAGTGGAAGAAAGTGATTTTATTCACGTTAAACAACTGATTTAGTACTCAACTCTCTATCTACAGAATATATACAATAATATATCCAGTCATTTATAATGAAATTAAATAGGGTGTGCATCTAGGTGAAAATATAAGTTGAAGATCAAAGCCAAGTTAGTTTATTACAGTTTAGCCATGCAGGACAACATAAAGGACTAATACAAAAATTACTACTCCAGCAAAACTACTTTTGAAAGAGCAAATGTCAAACATAGTTTTAAATAAAATTAATTTATATGCTGTTAATATGATAATATTAGACAATAATATCCAGAAATAGCAAAATTACAAAGCGTAAACCTGTATATGATGCAGCCCCAGATCCCGAAGATGAGATATCTATGTAGTAAAAATACAACTGGTTAAACAACAAGCGAAACACCGGCATAATAAGAGACATTGAAAAAGTTAATAATAATCGAACGGCAGGTAAGTGGTTTAGCAACACCAGAAAATTCCCAAATTCTCAAGTGTAAGTCACATGACCTTTCGATAATTTATACAAAAGTCACCAGTTCAATGAAAAAACGGTTCAAATATTTTTGACAATCAGCAGATTAACTACACATGAAATAATTCAGTCCCAAGACACCAACCCCAAGCTTGGGAGTGAAGAATCCGAGAAAACTAGGCTTCTCACAACCAGTGGAGGTCTGCGGGAGTTACCAACATTTCATATTTACTTATCTTATTTCTCACCTAGTAGGGTCAAAGACTAGAAAAATCCAAGTTAATTTATTCTGAGACAGTATAAGCAAAGGTCTATAGTAAATGACACATTATTTCTTTGGGGAAGATGCTCACTACTCTTTCTTTTCAGAATGTATAATAGACAATCTGCAGGACCTGTGATGTGAGAAAGTCTTCAGACACAGGCTTGAAACTTTCCAATAATTTAAGTTTTTATTCTTCTGGACATTACTAACATATCACTGAGACAAATGTCTATACTGTTATGTCTTGAATAATTACCTTTGTTTTATTTTAGGGTGACACCCAGATGTGTTCAGGTTTTACTCGTGGCTCTGTAAATAAGGATTATTTTTGGCAAGGCTTGGGGATCAGGGGATTTGTGTGCTGGGAAAAGAACCTGGGCTGGGCAAGTGTCTTGCCCCTTTATTATCTCCTTGAACCCTTAAATAATTGCTTAAAATGTCTAATTATAACTTGTTTTTGAAGTACTTTATTGATTACCTTTGTGATTTAATCTAGTCCTAATATCTGGATTTTTCACTTGGGAAGAAGAGACAAGTAGAACTACCCTTATCCTCCCTTTTATTCCTTCTCCTTCTCATCCCTCTCTTCTGTTCTGTGACACAGAAATAGGCAACAACATTCACATTCTGTTCAGAATTTTGACTTAAGTGTAAATATTAATATAAAAGCAATAGTATAAATACTATTCTCTGCACACTAAAGAAAGAGTAGGGGCCTGGGGAGATATCTCATGGTCTGATTTGCATGCTGGAAGGTCAAGTTCAATTTCTGATACTCATGGTTCCCAGAGCACTGTTGGGGATAACTCCCAATAACTGCTGGCAGTGGTTCAAAATGTGGTCCACTGCCAGGTATGACACTTTTTTTAATGAGTTGTATCATATATCCTTTTGTTGCAGCTCCTTGAGCATGGGTTTCCTGTAAAGAGTTTTTAAGTAGTTCCTAGTATAGAAAAAAAAGCAAGTTGTATTTGTTATTGGAGCCCCTTGTTAGCATGAAAACAAAATGTGCATTATTTGGGGGGAGTGAGATGTCATGGTTCAATCCCATCTGACCTTGTTACTTTTAAAAAAAAAGTAAGCTGAGAAGAGAATATCATGTTATATTTGGGTGAACTTGTTTTAACGACACTATAAAATGATATGCTGGTATTATTTAATGACACTAAAATTTATAAAACAACTGGGTAGCTTTGGGATGGGGCAAGAAAGCTAAAATTTTTTCACTGTTAGTTACATATTAAGTAACTATTGATTCATCACTACATAATTTTTTGCAGCTCATGATCAAATGATCACTGAAATAGTTCAATAGGCTTTTAAGGAATCAAATCTACTACCAGTGGCAGTCCCAGTTAATTTCTTCTCTAGAAGTTCTGTACCCAATTCTCTTCCATCTCTCCAGAATGGCTTACCTTCTACTTCCCCACCAGAGGCTGCAATTTTAGACAGGTGCAGGTATGTTGTTCCAACGACATCATTTTTTGTAAGACGATCCCTGTTTAAAAGAACATGTTAAGGTCTCTACCTATAAGCATTCATTTCAAAATATAGAATTGGAAAAGGCTACTAGACAATGTCTGGTAGACTTCAAGCTTCCCTGCATCTAAAACAATGTCACTTGGGATATACTACACTCTCATTTTCTATTTTCTCAGTCAATAAAAGCAGAGATGGGAATAAGGACATAGAATGTAGATGAATGTAGATGGAGAATATGAATCTGCATTCATAACAGGTTATGTTATCCTTGTAAAAAATTAGGTATATTAAAAACTTTGTAACAGGTCATGCTATGCCTGTAAATAATTAGGTATGTCCACAATTACTCATAATGTTAAAGGCTCTTTAAACTGTCTTTGAGAAACATTGGGTAACTCCATTTAAGTTGCAGAAACTTTGATTTTTACAGAGAGCTCAAGGGGTTTACCTAAGGTCACATTCAAGACGATTACCATAAAATGAATTTCAGCTCATTATATAGTGAGATTAATGTAATCCCATTACATAAAATAGGTACACACATTTCATTTTCTGTTCTAAAATAATGAAACAGCTATCAGAAACTTTTTTTGGTTCTTCCCAGGAAATGATTTACTCTGTTTCTGAAATCTACATTACACAGTTCAATGGTATTTAAATCCTGAATTTCTTTTTATTTTTTTTGGCTTTTTTGGGGGGTCACCCTCGGCGATGCTCAGGGGTTACTCCTGGCTCTGCACTCAGGAGTCACTCCTGGCAGTGCTCGGGGGAGCATATGGGATGCTGGGAATCGAAGCCGCGTCGGCTGCATGCAAGGCAAACGCCCTACCCTCTGTGCTATTGCTCCAGCCTCTAAATCCTGGATTTCTTATCTTGAGGTGTTTCAGATCATTTTTTTTCTTCTTCAGTTTATGAGCAATTGAGCCAAGTTAGCTAAAACTTTTCTGTAACAATACTATCATTTTAAAAAAGAAAATACCCAATTCCAGGAACAATTTATTCCTGGAATAAAATTTATTCCTGGAAGAAAAGTACACAAAAATTCTTCAATATCTACATGTTTCATTCTTTCAATTTGAATACAATACAAATCTGTTCTTTAACTCACCAGTCATACACTGTTAGTTTTATTTTTTCACACACTGAAGGAAACTGTTTTTAAAAAAAGACACAGAGAGAGAAGAATTATTTCTCAACTTACTCAGAAACTATTCAATTAAACATTCTTCTGAAAAAGAAAAGAAAGCCAAACCTTGATCTGAAGATTAACGACTTGATTCCACTCAGGGTTTGCATTTTTCTCAATTATATTTGTGCAAACCTGTAAAATTATCAGAGCAAAATCTGTTGGTATTAAAGTTTCTAAGCTATTTTAAAAATTATTATTATTTTTCAGATGAGGGCACACCTAGCTCTGTGCTCAGGAGTCACTCCTGTCTGGGCTGGGGGTGAGGGATGAGAATACATGCAGTGTTTCTGGAATCAAACGGGTTTGTGGCATGAAAGGAAAGCACATAATCCCAGTATTTCTCCAGATCCAAGCTTCTAATTTATAAAAGTTCACAATATGCGTACTGGGCTATGCTAGAATCATAGCTCCGTACATGAGTCATAGCTGTGACTCATAATTTATACACTTAGGAACCTCATTCAAGTTTATTTTTCTTGATGCTGCTTAGGTAAATATGGCAAAAAATAATATTGATTGTTGCTGCTTCTAGACACTAAAAACTTAATTTTCAATCGCTACATTTCTAATAGGCTGGTAATGCAAGAGAAATGTTTACAAGCACTTACTACATACTGTCCTGTGTAACTTTTCACTCATACATTAGACAGATGTCTGGATTCACTCACCCCTCCACCTGCTCCCCAAAGGCAGCCCCTGTTCCATCTTTCATTCATCATGAATTAGGGTGTTCAGGCTTAGAGACAGAGAGATCCATTGCATGTCTCTTCTACTCACATACCTCATCTCATTCACTTCTGTCTCCTTACACCCCTGTCTTCACATGGAACTTGGTCCTCCTGAAGCCTACAGTCGGTGGTGGGCTAGATCTCCACTTTCTCTTTTGCCCCCTCACTCATTTTGGTCTGCAGTAGCATCTTCAGTAAACTCTCCAAATGCTTTGAGATGGGGTCCAGATCCCTCCTCTAGCTGAGAAGTCCCACTGTCCAAGCACTCACATATTTCCCATCTCCTCTCTCGGTTCCTCTTGCTTGCTCCACTCCAGCCCCATGGCCATCTTTTTACCCTTTTCTCCTGGGAAACCCTTGGCCTTCAGATGTCTGTGTTACTCAGACCTTTGCTCAAATTTATCTGCTTTAAAGATGTCCACTTTGATATTGGGCACTCCTTAATACCCCTACCTCGCACTGACCACGTATCAGAGAAGACCCCACCCATTATATTGTCCATGCAGCACTTAGCACTAGCTAAAACCATCAATTACTAGTTTCCTTGTTCCTTCTACTACAAAATAAACTTCCTGAAAACAACTTTCTTGTCTCTTTTTGTAGTCATAGCACAGGAGAAACTATTGAATATTATTTATTTATTTATTTTTCCTTTTTTTTTTTTTTTGGTCACACCTGGCGATGCACAGGGGTTACTCCTGGCTCTGCACTCAGAAATTACTCCTGGCGGTGCTCAGAGGACCATATGGGATGATGGGAATCGAACCCAGGTTGGCCATGTTCAAGGCAAATGTCCTGCCCATTGTACTATCACTCCAGTTCCACTATTGAATATTTCAGTCAGCTCACAATTTTTTTGAGTCAACCGGCCCTTTTAACAATCCTGAGATTATCATTTTAATGTGAAGGGTCTTTGAGGTTAAGAAATTTGCCTTTAATCTCTAAAGTGTCAGGGAAAGTTTGAATTTAAATCAACTCCACAACTGACCACAAATATTGCTCCACTCCCTCCCCATGATTCTTCTGGGGATAATACCTGGTCCTATCATGTGCAGCTTGTTGAATCTCATTTTTCTAAGTAAATGGGTCACCTATCTTGGAGTTATTTATTTCTGTAGCTATCCATGCTGTGCTGTTATTCTACTACAGAATGCCATTCTCCAATCTTTAGCCATTTCACAGGTAAAAGGGGTAGGGACAGGTATTCCTATGCCAAAACTCTCCCATTCTCTCCACCCCCACTCCCATGCCTAATTCTCGAGTTTTAGAAGTTCACTGGACCTGGAGTTGGAAAGTCTGACCGAATGGGCAGCTGACCATGGGCTCTGCTCTATGACATTTACAGGAACATTGTTACCGGCCTTCCTCTGGCAAGGGACGCAGGATTAGATTAAAATAATGCCCAGAGCTGGCATATAAACCAAATAACTTAGTGAAAGCTTTCACTAGTCTAATCTCTCAAAAGATTAAATTTTCTTATTTGAGTCCTGAATACTTTCACTCAAAAATAACCTGTGGTGAGGTGTGGCATGCTCTGGCTCACATCATCTGTGTTTCTGCCCAGTTCCCTGCTCCCCAGGGAGCTCCTTCCACAAAGAACAGACAGGAGTTCACTCCAAGGAAAGCACAATGCTTTAAACATTTACTTCTAGAGATATCTGTATTTTGATCACATACTAACCTTTTTACCAGCAAAGGAAACTTCTACGAAAGGATCCACTAGATTTTTCTTATCTGCGGTGCCTCCAAATATTTCTTTTACTGTCTGTGAGAAGGCGTCATCCACTAGAAAGCAATGTGTCACACAGCAGAATTTAAATTTGATCCTTTAAAAATTTAGCATCACTCAACCCAAATTAAAAATTTTCTCTTATACACAATTATAGATTCAACAATAACTATTCTCAAAGGGGTAAGGTCTCATGGCAATGTAGTTACAAATTCTTTGTATTTTATTTGTGAGAGATAAAATGTGCTCTCCCCATAAAACTTTTTAAAATCAAGGAGCAACCTTGAAAAAAATCCTCAAAGTTCTAATGTTAATAACCATTAGTAGAGGTGAAAAGTAGAATAAACAAAGTCTGTCTAGTTAGGGTAAAAGGCAATTCTCAAATGTAGACCTGGTTTAAGTTTTGAAGAGGTGCTTAGGTTAGGACTGCTGTTATTTTTTTTCAGAAAAATTAAAGGAAATTTATCAGAGTCATAAATATCACATTTAGTCAATTACAAAATGTTTGAAAACTCAAAAGTAAATAGAGATCAGTTAAATAGGTCAATGTAGGCCGTCTAATGAGAGATTTAATTTATTCATTCATAGAAGATATTTTAGATGGGATGGTGAGGAAACTGATGATCTTAAAAAAAGTGGGGTCTTCCCAACAAAAGGATATCCTGAAGACGGCTGATGCATTGGATGCTGTCCCACAGGCACTTAGAGCAGGATCCTGGATATCAGGGACCAGTAAAAACAAACAGGTGGACAAGACAGCAGGATACTGGGCTCTTGGCAATGATAGAAGATTAACTAGATGGGTTTCCACAAATAGAAGCACTGTCAGTAATCCTTTGAAATGTATCCACTCTCTTCATAAGTATTGTATTACATACTACAGTAGTGATAAACTTCAAGTCATTGGCATTTAGCTGACTTTGTCTAACCATTTAAAAATAATCTGGTGGCAAATGCATTTATCTCTTTATAAAATTCACTTTTTTCACTTTGGCTAGAAGGAGTTGGAAGTGTTGACTGCTGACCTCTCTTTAGTATACACTAGAACATTTTCCCAAAGTGGGTACTACCACCCCCAGGAGTTCTGAAATGACTCAGGACTGTGGTATCCTTGGATAGAATTGGGGAACATTTTCTGTTTGTTTGCTTAAAAAGGTAGATTAACAGGATGTGAAGTGATATTTTTTCCATATAAAATGGTGTGATAGACCACATAAATTTGGGAGCCTCTGCTCTAGAAAAAGGAAAAGACAACGGACATTGAATAAAGAAGGAACAAAGCAGAATGTGTTAGAAACGTAATAAGGAACGTGGATCAATGACCAATCAGTTGCCCCATGAATGTGCTCAGGGAATTCTCAATGGGACCCACATGAATGACAAAAAGCCCATGATGCTCTTTCAGAAGAAAAATGTAGTGTCGGTAGCACCAATCACTATTGTTAGAACCCATCTACTCAGGCAGATCACTAGTGGTCCAGAGCAAAGTCAAACCCATACATACTCTGAGGGATGTCCTCCGCTCGGTAGATCTTCAGCAGGAAGGTCACCCACCGGAGGGCAATGCCAGCGGGGAGCAGCAGATTACTCTCCACATCGTCACTGTCACTGTCACGGTCTTGTTTCTCAGTCTATTGGGGACACACAGTTGTAGATCACACACACAGAAGCCAAATAGCTGCTTGCAAAATGAAACCAACTGAAATTCCATGAGGGTTTTCTGCCTTTCAGGTTGAAGAGCTCAGCCCCAACCCAATCTCAGAACTGCTGTACAGATTTGAAACTCATCTGTTTCTCTAGTCCTGATACCACAAGAAAATCCTGTGACCTTTTGTATTAGATGAGCACAAAAAAGTAGAGAAAGTGGGGGAGAGAGTAAATGCCAGGGAGCAGAGCTCACAGGAGGTTCATCACCGGTTCCTAGGACGAACATGCTGACTTTCATGTAGCCTTTGGCACCCGAGCTGGCATCTTCAGGGTCGTTGAGAAGAAGCCATTTCCTCATAACAGCATGACCTAAAATGACAAGGCACATGGACACTCTAAAGAAAAGCTGACAGGCTTTATGATTTCTTTTCTTGTCAGACAAACAAGCATTTCCTTGGAAGTATTGTCCTGATGCAACAAATTCCCCAGGGCAGCCTCTGAATTAATGTGTTCTACTTTGCACAGACATTTCTTCCCACCCCCATCCTGTTCCCCACTCTGTTCCCTGCCCTGGTGTGACTCCAGCAAGCCTCTCTACAATTCATTTCCTGACCGCAGGATTTAATTTTAATGAGATCAAAACATCCTCTCAAAACAGACACCCAGGGTTGATTTCTGGCACCCCATATGATCCCCTAAGCCCTTTCAGGAGTGATTCCTGAGAGCAGGAGTAAGCCCCTGAGCACCATTGTATGTGGCTCTCCAAGGAAAAAAAAACAAAAACAAAAACAAAAACCGAAGAAATAACCTATTTGTGAATGTTAGGATAACTACTATGAGGTTAAAAAAAAAAAAAGACATATACATTAAGCTGTTAAGCTTTATACTGGCTGAGTATCCTTATCCTGTTCCAATTAAGAGAAAAAACTTCCTTATTTCTTGAGTCCCGGAATTTTCAAGTTAATGATAGGCCGGGGCCCCTTGGAGAGGAGTGGGTTGAGTTTTCCTCCCCGCCCCGACCAGGGCTCCGGCAGCTGAAGACCTCCAGGACCAGCCACCACCATGCTGAGACCACTCTCTGCACACATGAAGGTACCGGCAGAGGGACAAAGCCATGTGGGTTCCGGGGCCGAGATCTCCAAGCCTACTCGGATTGGAGTCGAGCATCCTCCACCCAGATCCTCCAAATTCCAGTAGGCAGGGGTCACACCCACCAACTGGCCCCCTGGCGCCATGTAATCCCATCAGCGGCCAAGACTCAGAGACTATAAAAACCAGCTCCTGGAGGGAGAACAGTGCAGTCTCCTGCCCCCCCGCGCCTGGCTATTCCTCGCTGGGGTCCCTTGGAGGGGAGCGGGTTGAGCTTTCCTCCCCGCCCTGACCAGGGCCCCGGCAGCCGAAGACCTCCAGGACCAGCCACCACCATGCTAAGACCACTCTCCGCACACATGAAGGTACCGGCAGAGGGACAAAGCCACGCGGGTTCCGGGGCCGAGATCTCCAAGCCTACTCAGACTGGGGCTGAGCATCCTCCACCCAGATCCTCCAAATTCCAGTAGGCGGGGGTCACACCCACCAACTGGCCCCCTGGCGCCGTGTAATCCCATCAACGACCAAGACTCAGAGACTATGAAAACCAGCTCCTTTTTATGACATCTTTTTATGACATCTTATTATCTCACTCCTACTTTGGACAAACTGGCAGGCTACCGAATGTAGCCTGCCCACACGGCAGGGTCTGGCGAACTCCCCGTGGCATACCCAATATGCCAAATACCAGTAACAATGATGGGTCTCATTCGCCTAAAGAGCCATGAATATAATCTCAGGGCTAGGATGAAGGAGACGTTACTGGGGCCTGCTCGAGGCAATCGACGAATAACAGGATGGTCGTGATTCCTGATAGGGAGAAAATTACTTACCAGGTTCATCATAAACGAATCCAACATCAATCTGGAGAAAATAATTAAAAGCATGTCAAAAAGATCTTAAAATCAATTTAGTCATTTCAAAGAAACTATCATTACTCTATTTAAATATAAGGCTCATAACCTAGCTTAAATTTCTTTGAAAGCAAACATCTCTCTGTCTTATATTCTCGGTATTCCCAATGCTTTGCCTGGTGTGGGACATGTAGAAGATGCTCAATTAATCATTTTGAATGAATGAGCATGTTTTAAACCTTGGAAGAACTGAGTAGGGTGACCAACATGTCCCAACTGACATTTTTGGTAGCGCAGAATGCCTCTGTGAAACCATGGGGTTGTTTCACAGAACATACTGGAAAACCAGTACCTTAGCTATCCAATGCAAAGGTGCTCGCTCAAGTTCCAGTCTAATGTTCTTCCTTCTCTTTGAATAAATGTCAGTATTAATATAACCATTAATTGGGTATGTCAATAAGCTAAGTACCGTGATAGGTGCTTAATTATTCTAACCCTCTTATTTTTCACCGTCACTCACCTTCTGATGAAAAAACTAAGGGTCACAGAGCAGATAAGTAGCCTGCTCATGGCAGAAATGGTGTGAACAAATGTATGACTGACACAAAACATCTCCCAGGATTTAGAATAGTGAGAGTACTTCTTTTGAGAGGAAGCCCTTTCCACATAGCTAGAAAACTCTAACCAAGCCCCTGTCTTTAATTCTTTTTTTTTAGATTGAAATATTTATTTTCAAATGTAAGAGTATGATTGAAGGACAAAGAGTCCCTTCCAGACACATAATTATGTATATATATACAAATACATATATGATATGCATTGCAGGTACAAAGAAATCTTTTAAATTAAACATTTGGAAATTACATAAAAAAGAATGGGTATCACAAAGGTGGTGGAAAATTTGACTGAAATAACTGATCGCAAATATTTTTGTAACCCATATAGCAAAATGAATTGTTGAAGTTGAATAAGTGTTGAAGTTAGAGGCAGAACTTGAATCACATTTACAAAGAGTGACATGCATATTTAACAGTTATATGTAATTTAAAGATAATGTTTAAGGTTAGTTTCCAAATATTGTCGAAATATTTCACATCTGACATTGCATAAAGAATTAAGATCTTTATATATATAATTCTTATATATATGTTATATATAAAACAGTTCTTATATATCTAATGCGTTATATATAGAATTAAGATCTAAGAATAGTTCACAAATCCCACTCCTAATCTCCTGGCATTCATTTTCTCTTTAATTTACTGCTCCAATTTAATATTCCACTTGCTTCCTTTCGCCAAGTCCACTGAACCTTGATATGGATAACCATAGTCCATGCCAAAAAATTATTTTAAGCCTAACTGCTTTCAATGACTCTGCCACATTATCAGTCTTTTCCAAAGCAGTCTAGTTTCCTTTGGTATATTTCAAATCACTGGACATCACTAGCATTTTATTCAGAAAACAAAAAGGAAGTAAACTATAAATGTCCATGAAATCTAAACATGCAAAGAGGGAGAAAGAAGGCATATATTAGCACAAATTATAAAAAGTCCTTAGTAAATTATTTTTAGAATCATTTGTGTTTTGCTGTTTTTGTAATTATTCTGACAATTGTCTTCTTTATATCAATAGTAATCAATTGCCCTAAAATTTCCAGTCAAGTAGTCAATCACTCTAATGACCTGCTTTTGGTTGAATTTCTAAAATTTTTTAATTAATTTATTTGTTTTCTATAACTTTTTTGTGTGTAAGGTATAGAGAGAGTAAAGGTAAAAGGTAAAGGTAAAGGCCCTCCCGTTGATCATCGATTTGCTCGAGCGGGCCCAGTAACGTCTCCATTGGAGACTTTGTTGTTACTGTGTCTGGCATATCGAATACTGTCGGTAGCTTGCCGGGCTCTCCGAGAGGGGCGGAGGAATCGAACTCGGGTCAGCCATGTTGGCCGCTTGTAAGGCGAACGTCCTACCGCTGTGCTATCGCTCCAGCGATAGCAGAGTATCCCAATTAATACATTTTATGTGCTTTTTGTCAATTTTACACATAATATTTTTCTTTTCTTCAATTCTAATCTAAGTTACTTGTAAAAGCACCTGGATTCTCTTTTTTCATTTGATTTTTCTTTCATGCATCATATTTGCAATAACTGGCTTTGTAGATGGAATGCTGGGAGTATTGGTAAGAGGTGGGTGACAGGCTTCTGGTCACGGTGAGGCATTCACTGTCTCTATAGCAGTGTGCTGGCTTCCATCTGCAGAAGGAAAGTCAGGACAGACCCTGAAGTGGCAGCCTTTCAGGCATCTTGCTTAGGGCACTGGAAGGGTTGTACTCTGAAAGTCCAACTAGTCACTGGCCAGAGGACATTCAACTGATCTCAGGCTCTTGGAACAGTCATGTCCTTTGGTGGTATCCCAGCTCTGAGCAAGGATCCTACGACTGAGCATTATTGCCAACCTATGCAGGTCATCAGGATGTGCAGATGCATGTGAAAGTTCCTGTCTTTGATGTAGGTAAAAGAAATTGGCTATTTTCACCCACCTTAAATTCCCCCATCAGACAGTCTGCCCTCAATGAATGGGAATTATAAACCTGAAAGAAAAAAGGAACGATGAAAAATGAAGGCTTTCTTGGGCAGTTATCAGGCATGATCTTACTCTTCTTATAGTTCTTACCCGAATGCTGATAATCTCATCCATCAACTCAGAGGGGGTGATGTGGACATTGTAGAAAAATAACTGGCAAGACAGAAGATAAAAAGACAATTGAAGATCAGCAGGTATGGACTGTGTAGGATCTGTGAATACAATTTGGGCCGGGCGGGGGGCGGGGGGAGGCTCTTCAAAAAAAAAAAACACAAACTCCAAATTTTTTTGCAGTGTTCACTCTGAGATTTGTGAGCTTTGAGCAACTTACCGTTGCTAGATAGAAGGGAAATAGTGAATGAACTGCTGCCATATGTATTAAAACAAAATTGCTTATTTAGGATCAACCTTTTCTAGTTGACTAAAGTAAGGAGATTAGGTTAGTTCTTACAAATCTTACTGCAAGTCTTACTAAACTGGGTGTTTAGGGTTTTCATGACCTGGAAAGTGAAGAGTAATTTAATTTTATTTGTAACTTCGTCATTTGTGTCCTATGAGATAATTTGTTTTTCTCTAATGAAACACCCTCAAAGCAAATTTTACCCACTAGATAATGTTAGTATTTCAGTAGTTGATATTGAACATCTTGTAACCCACTTTAATAGCTAAGTTTAAAAGTAAAGTTAATAATTCAAAGTGCTGGAGTTCAAGCTTAGCCTGTGGGAGGCTTGGGTTGGATCACCTATACCTCATCACTTCCCAAAAGTGATGAAAATGATCCTTGAGTAATGTGCCTGGAGCACTCCCTGAGCATCACTGACTGAGGCTCAAACTTCTCCCCCAGCTCTGCCACAAAAATAAACTCAGTTAAGAAGGTTGACTCTTGGGAAGAATATTGAATATACAGAAGCCGTACCATGTAACTCCAATAGACTTTAATCCTAAGGGGGAGAAATGAATATCTACTTAAAATTTGTACTACCCCAATTTTTTTATTTAGCAATATTTCAAATCTACGGAAAAATTGTTAAGAATGATCAAATAAGACACTGGTTTTATCTGTAAACATGTGTGTTATATTTTGGAGTGACCACACCAGACAGTGCCAGAGATTACTCCTGGCTCTGCACTCAGGCATCACTCCCCGGGAGCTTGAGGATCCATTGGGGGGGTGCCAAGTATCGAACCCAGGTTGGTGGCAAACAAGGGAAGCACCCTACCTACTATACTATCTCTCCCACACTCCAGAGCCACCACCATGTCTCTGGCCGGACTGTCTAGTTAAATATTTGGGGTTTTCTGGAGCAACACCTCCAAATTCTAGTTGTAGTACGCCAGATTGGATGGAATATAACATAGAAACCAACCCTCAAAAAAAGACTTTATGTCCCCATGGTGAAATACAACAATTTTCAAAAATTTTCTTCTATGGAAATATTTTTTGATCATTTCATTAGTCATTTAGTGGTAACAAAAAATATGAAATAAATGATGGTGGGGCCACCATGGGGACATGCTTGAGGGTTGCTGGGAAAATGAACATAATGGTGGAGGGAAGGTGACAGTGATGGTGGGATTGGTGTTGAATATTGAATGCTTGTAACAAATCATCATGAACAACTTTGTAAACAACTTTGTAAATAAAGTGGGGAAAAGGGAGAGAAGTTACTTAGTCACACACAGTAATCCTTTGGACACTTGACTAAATAGAAAAAAAATAATACCAAAGCTTTGACTTCATCTGCTCCATCAGAGGATCCAAGAATCTGTTAGGAAGGGCATCACTGGGAAATTGCAACAAAATCACACAAACAAAAAGACACTGAGAGTTTGAAGAACCTGGTTTGTGACCATGGGATCCCCAGTTCTAGGGCATCTTTGAAGCTGGGATGCTGCCCTGTCTTGACTTGTTCTGTTTGCACGGGTATCCCCGTCTCCTTGGATCTGGCAAAAGTCTAAAGGTGCAGAGAAATAGAACAGACTCACTGAGCAGGGACAGCCATTCGCCCCTTTACCTCATCAAAGAAGGGGTTGTTCCCTCTCTTGATCCTAGTGCGGTGGGTCTGTCCACAGATATGAACCTTGACCACAGGCTTTATGTTGTTGCCGCTTAACTGCCGACCCTCGATCACCCGGACACGGATCTGCAAACACAGAAAGACGTTGTCACTGATCCTTCTGCAGCACTGGTGGAAGGACCCCTGAGAAGTCACGGCAGCTCTACACTTCACTGGGACTCACGGACTGGAAGGAACTGCTGGTACTCATTCCCAAAGTGGAAAGCAAGCGGAGTTGGGATGCAGAATCCATGCGTGGTGGTGGGGTTGGAACAGTCCAGCATTAGTTCAAGAAAAGGCAGGGAAGGCTGAGGCCAGTGCAGCCCAGACCCCAGCTTCCTTATGACCTTTTTTTTTTTTTTGGCTGTGGAAAAGACAGATTCAGCCTTGAGCTGTCCAAGCCAAAGGCAGTGCCCACAGCTATGAAAAATACATTGACCATGTTTCTATTTTTCTACCAGCTTCTCCTATCACCAAAGGAAAAAAGGAAGCAACTCCGCTTCTCTGAAGTCTTTTTCAACTTGACCACTCCAACTCCTCTATCAGAAAATGGGGAGCTCTCTTAGTTGGATTATATACATATCTCCTTTTCCTCAGTGAGCCACCATCTGCAGGAAGCCGTCCTTCCCTCCATCCTCACCAGGGCTAGGTGTTAAGCAATACAGTGGTTGAGAAGGCCACGGCCACCAGAACCACCCATACCTGGAAGTCCTGTGGCTTGTTGGACAGCAACCGGCGGTTCTTGCCTTTTGTTATCCTCCGAGCAAGCTGAGCTTCAGACCCAATCCCCACTGGACCCTTGGGCCCAGGGCCCCTGACTGGGTTGTCGAACCTGTCCTCACCACCATCCTCTTCCTCTTCATCTCCTAAAACACCAAAAATAAATATAGTCAGAGACAGATGTTGCTGTGGAACTGTCTGAACCTGAATGCAGTTTTCCTGCACACAGGGAGTTTACAAATTTCTTGAGGCGACAGAAGAAGGAGATGCTACTTGGTGACACTGACTCAGGCCCGTGAACTCACGGGTTGTTTTTTGAGGAAAATGTGTGCCTGGTGCTTCAGGGCAACAGAGTGGGCAAAGATGCTGGTCTCGCTGTACAATAAAATATACTCATCTATTAGCAAAGACAAAACCTTGATATACGGAATAGCATGGATGAAGTTGGGGGTTGTAAAGTAAAGTGAAATAAGTCTGAAAAAGAAAGACAAATGATCAAATGACCTCATTTTATATGAGGACTATAAAAAACACAGTAAGGGAATAGACAAAATCAAACCCAAACCAACCCTTGAAGAGTGCCAGGAGATGGCTCAGTCGCAAGAGCACTTGAGTTTGAGTCCCCGCTCCAGTGCCTGTGCTGAGCTCCATCCTGACAATGCTGAGGTCAGTGATCCTCACCATGACAAGCAACTTCCGGCTGCACTGAAGCTAGTGGTGTGTGCACACTGCAAGCTTCCTGGTGAACACTACAACCAGGAGGTGCACAAATATCACAACTAAAGGAGTGCAATCCTGGAAAGCACCTCCACCAAGTGTGTGAGCACTGCAACCTAATCTGTGAGCCCAAGGAGCAGCACAATTGAATGTGTGAGCACCATAGTCAAGGACGAGTGTGAACCCCAGTCACTGCATTAACAGAGGGAAGGGAAGGGGACAAATAAATTAACAGAAGACTAGACCAATGCTCAGAGTGAAGTCATAGAATTGAGGTCACCAGAAAGGGTACAAAGGGGGAAAGGGGTGCAAGGAAGTGGAAGTAGAGGGATTTCTGCACTTTGATGGTGCTATGGTTTGACAACTCACTTTTTGGAAAAGAGTCTAAAAGCACTCCTAAAACATTCACTGATGTAAACCATTGTGACTTTGATGAAACCAACCAGCAGGATAAATCATGCTGCTCAGCTCTGTTATATAAATTATAATTTATTATAATTTATGTTTCAATGATCTCATTTGTAAAACAGGAGAAATCACAGTTGCTACCATTGACTTATTTTCAAGGTAAAATCAATCTATATGCAAATCCTTGAACACAGCACCTGACACAAAGCCCAATAAATAAAACTTTTTAATAATATGCTGAGAAATTATTGGTAGATGATACACAAATACTACCTTGAGGGCAGTGATGAGGTGAAGGGCATATGGGGGTATAGAGTGGGAGGTATAGAAGCAATTTGGGGTGGCCTGGGGGCAGGGGCACAGAATGAGGAGAGTTGGGTAAGTCCACACCGTGCACCACCCTTGATTTGGACCCAGCCCACCCAAGTCTCACTTATGCTGTTCCCAGGCCCATCACTCCCTCTGCTGGTTCGGATTAGGGCCAGAGCCAAAATCTCCATGTTCAGTCTTCCATGGCACTGGACACTCCTTGAAACACATACCTCCCTTCTGGCCATTCTGACTTAAACTTTTCATGGACTTTTATGGACTTTCATGGATTCCCCACTTTGGCTCCTAGTCACCAAGTCTGATTCCCACTCTGTTCTGTACCTCTGTTCCTTTGCCCTGACTCTTTGGACCCACACTTCATAGTCTCCCCCCCAAAAGACAGACCCTCAGAACTTAACACTAGAAGGACTTTAGAAATCCTCAGGTCAACCTGCCCATCACCTCATTTTACAGATAGAAAAACTGGTTCAGAAAACTACAGTGACTTGACAATAAAGGTTGATGAAGACAAGCTGAAATTAGCACTCAATCTTTATTGGCTTAAGTCTGGATTAAAACTGAAACGAGGGAAAACACTTCATTCCAGTGAAGGAGCTGCTGTCCTCCTGGTTCCTTATCATCTTTGTCAGGACTAGGAAAACCCCACAGAAACTAAAGTCAAAACTAGCTACCTCTGTGCTCTTAAGATAATTAGGTCTTATGGAAACAACCTAATGTCCAGCGACAGATGAACAGATGAAGAAATTATGGTGTACACTCACACACTCACACACACACACACAATGGAATATGCTCCAGCCACAACAAAAGATAAAATCATGCAGTTCTTTTTGCAATATGAATGGAACTGTCGGGTATATACAAAGCAAAAATATGAGAGAGAAACAAAAACTAAGTGATCTCACTCATCTGTGGCAAAGCAAAGGCAAAATAAGGGAATATACAATATCAACAAATGACAAATCCTTGACCTGGGATTAAAATACTCATATTACAGAGCACTGGGGATAGGAGAAGGAGAATGAAGATGTGGACTAGGGGTGACATGGGGGCAGGGCTGGAAGGTCTTGAGTACTTGGGGGGGGGATGCGGCAACTTTGTATATCAACACCATAAACTTTAACACCATTATAACCATGTTAGCCAAACTATAATTATTATTTTTTAATTTAAACCCAAAGGTAATCTAGATTTCTTTGTCCCTATTCTTGAAGAGGCTTCAAAAGAAGGGCTATTACTTCTCTGGCAGTGTCAGACCTGGCCTCTGAGAGGAGCCTTCCTCCCGCTCTCTATGGGACTCCCTCTCTTCCTGGTGAAATACACTCTCTTGGGACAAGCCCTCCCTTTCCCTCTGTGAGGGAGTGATCCTACATTCTACCACACTTGGCTCTAGCCTCTCCTTGCCAAAGTCCTTATTCATTGTTAACCTCACAATTGCCCACAACCATACACTCTTCAAAAGCAGACAGTGCACCCTTTCTTTCTTTGGGTCTCCCTCAATCCCCACTGTACAAATCTGAGTTACACCCAAAGGGCTTAAGTGGAAGGGAAGCCTGCCTCCACCCATGCTAAAGTCTTCTTATAGTCTGCAGCAGTTTGGCAAAGCTCCTGCAGATATTAGGAAGAGCACCAGACAGCTAAGAGGGTGCTTCTCCCAACTGTGGCACCAGCCTCAAGGAGGCACAAAAGCCAGACACCCTGTCACAGACCTGTTCTGAACCAGGCAATGGCTGGGACTCATGACCTGAAAGCTCCTCCAACAATGGAGACTAACTTCCGTTAACCAGTTTGGTCCAAGTGGGACTTCCTTCCCTGTTGTTCTCTTTGGGGATCCATGGTTGCCTGTAGCAGCAGGAAGACAAGGGGGCAAATCATGCCCCTGGACAATGTTAGAATCTGAATAAGGTCCCACAGAGGGTCCAGAAACAGACAGCAGATAATAAAGGGCCAATATCTTCTAGAAACACTGCCATTAGGACTTCAGGCTGAAGGAATAGATGAGAGGAAGTCAACCTAAGTCTCAGTACTGGCCACATTTTTGTAGAAGGCAGAAAGTTACTGAGCAGGAAATTCTCCATTTATGTGGCAGGAAGTTTCTCGTGATTAAACAATGCTCCCTAAGTGTCTCACAAAGGATGAGGGGGGCCCTTAAGGCACTGTACACATGCCCTTTAGTACAAGTGCTTCATTACCTAAGAGGTACAAGTTGTTTCATTACTGCCCTGTAAATAAGATCCAGGCAAGATGCTGAACCCCTGCCAAGTAGATCTATAATAACTCTCTCAGAACCACAGAGGGCAAACATAAATTCGGGATTGATTAATAAGCAACTGCCTATATTGCTAAACTGACAGGGCCTGAGACCACTGACTTGATGCCAACCTTTCGATGTGTACAGGGTCCTGTCTCCTCTGGCTACTGAAGGTGTATGCTGCTGCAATTTCTTCCTGTTTCTACTCATCAGTACCCCCTCCCTACTAGAACATTCACAACAAACGTAACTTATTCTGAAATATCTCCCATACGTTTTTAAACACCATATTTTCACTTGAGTCCATAACACTTGCTATAATTACAATCCCATCTTTAGGTGAATGATGTATGCCCCAAGAATTTTTTGGAATTGTTCCAAATTACAGACCAGATCAAAAATATCACAGAAGAGCCACTAATCAGAGAGTGATGATGTCAACACAGGCTCACAGGAAAATCCTGGTAATATTTGCCTTGGATTAATTGGAGCTGTGAGGAAGTCTAGGAAGCATTATCCAAGGATAATGAGTTTGAGTTTAGCACAGTGGTAGGGTGTTCGCCTTACAAGCGGCCAACATGGCCGACCTGAGTTCGATTCCTCCACCCCTCTCGGAGAGCCCGGCAAGCTACCGAGAGTATTCGATATGCCAAGATAATTTTTCCCCTTTATTTATTTTTTTTACAGTTGTAGATTTACAATTTTTTGTGCTTGGGTTTCGATTATACAATGATCAGATACCCATCCCTCCACCAGTGCCCATTTTCCACCACCATGGATAATATTCCCCCCACCCCCATCCCCCCATCCCCCCCTGTCTCTGTGGCAGGGCAATCCCCTGTGTTCTCTCTCTCCTTTTGGGTGTTGTGGTCTGCAAAAGAGGCATTGAGTGGCAAACATGTTCAGTCCATAGTCTACTTTCGACATGCATCTCCCCTCCTGGGAGGATCCTCCAAACATCCTTTATTTGGTGCTCCCTTCTCCATCTGAGCTGCCCTTTCCTCTAGGATACCCATGCCAAGATAATTTTAACCAGGAAAAATGTTCAATGTTAGGGCTCCTCAAAGTGAAATGTAAATTAGCAATCATGATCTCCTGGAAGTCCCGGTTTGAGGAAGGTTGCGGGTGGAAGGTGGGGAGCTTCACAACAGTTATACTCCAGAGCCAAATGCTAGAAACCTGCACTTGCAAGGATTTTTCCGATAATTTAACTATGTCTAAACTTCAAAACCACTTGTCTATCATAAAACCATTTGTCTATTATAATTAGTTTGTTTTCCTAAATATCCAGAAAAAAGTTGACTCAATAAAAATCAGTTTGCTGCACAAAGCAAATTAGAAACCTTAGCCTAGAAATAGGGTCTGCAAGTCCACAAACTGGGGGATCATATTCCAGTTGAGTTTTGAGGCAATCCCTTGTTCTGAAAATGGTCATGGTTCTCTATGGACTGTCCACAGGCACAAATGTCTCAGCCTAGCACTCTCGCCCAATTCTCAGAAGCATTCTTCCTCTTTACTATTCCTCTAAATGAATCAGTCACTTGTGTCATTCAATAGCATTTCTCTGGGGCTGACGAGATGGTACAGCAGGTAAGCATTTGCATTTAACAAAACAAATCATGGTTCAATTCTCAGGACCCCATATGTCTCCCTGAGTCTGGCCAGTAGTGATTCCTGAGTACAGACCCAGGAGTAAGTCCTGAGTACTGCTGGATGTGGGCTCCCCCCCAAAAAAGCAAAAAGCAAAACCAAAACTTATTAGTGTTTCCCAAAATGCTCTTCTTGAAAAACCAAAGCCCTATGCTATATCCATTACCCATCCACCATCCATCTATTCACTCAATCAATCAAGCAGCAATTGGACAAAATATAACTTTGCAAGGGCTATTCCAGGCACTAAGAATATATTGATGAAATAAATACTCGGTGGAAAATTACTTTCTCCAAGAAATTATCTCCCATACTAACTGTCTTAGTCTTTTTTTTCTGAGGAATTTATTAACTTTCATCTCTGATAAGGAACATTACTTATTACTTTTTCTCTCTCTCTCTCTCTTCTCTCTCTCTGGCTTTTTGTGTCATACCAGGCAGTGCTCAGAGGTTCCTCCTGGCTTTGCACTTAGGAAATACTTGTGACAGTGTTTAGGGGACCATATGGGATGCAGGGGATTGAACCTGGGTTGGCCATGTGCAATGCAAATGTCCTGCCCACTGTATTATCACTCAGTCTCCCATTACTTTTACATATAATGGGAAAGGAGAGTTATTTTTCGCAGGGTCTCCCATGCAATGCTCCAAGGTCTTGGGGACCTCTCCTAGTGATCATCAGCCAATCATTTGATAGTTCAATTAGCCTGGTAACACAGTGTGTTTCAGATCCAACAGTACAAGTAGGCTCCAAAGTTATACCTAGTGGAACTTGGGGGCCATGTGTAGTTGGGAATTGAACTCCAGGTCCTTACATACACAGGCATGCACCCTTGACTCCAGGGTTCCTGTGACTCCTGAGCTCTCCTGTTCCTGTTATTTTATGATAATCAGTTTCAGGGATGGAAAAAAAAACAAATTCTGGGCCAGATGTCATGTTGCTGTCACTAAAGTATGTAGTGGCAGGAGGTGCAGCAAGTTTGCTCTGTTTCTGTTTCCTATTCGCTCTTCTCACCTTTCCCAAAACTGTTGTTAATTTCCCCCCTAGTGTCTTTCTTAGCATGGAGTTTGAGTAAGTATCCAGATATTTTGGTTTAGTTGAAGACAATTAACGTGTTTTTCAAAAAGTACTTCCTTGAAATATCCAGGTAATCTGGGATATTGAAACACTCATTAAAGTGGCACTGTTTCGTTTTAGGTGAATTTTGAGGACGACACTTAAAATTGTACTCTTGAGTCAGCTTTGGTGAATATAAATCACAAAGACAAAAGATAGCCTTTCCAGATCAAAGAATCCTGTTGTATATAATTTATTTGTTCTGTGAGGATTATACCCCAAGCAGTGCTGAGGGGATCCCTCTGGAGATTCTTGGCCAATGGTATTGGTTGACCAATGCTTGGGCTCAAGGACACAGAACTGTTCAGGCACTGTGATTCCAGGGGTCACCCAGGCAACCCTATGGTTACTTGAGGGCCTCTAGGGCTATACTCAGCAATGCTCAAGAAAGCAGTGCTGTTGAGGATCAAATTGGAATCAGTATGCATGCAAGGTATACTACTTATTTCTATACTTTCTCTATGACCCCATTTTCTTTTTGGGGGGTGGGCACACCTGGCTGTTCCCAGGGCTTCCTTCTGGCTCTGTGCTCATGGATCACTACTAGCAGTGCTTGAGGGTCCATATGTGGTGCCAGGGATTGAACCTAGATTGAACCCATAGTCTTTACCCACCATAACATTTCTTAACCCTCGTTGACTTTAAAACCTCCAAATTGGTGCTTTTTTAATCCTTAAGGAAAAAGTATCTGCCCCTGGGAATCAGCATGTTTTCTGAGGTTTTTGGGACTAGGCCCACATGACCCATTTTGGTAACCCCCTCCCACACTCCAAAAAATAAATTGACAAACTCTTTATCCCCAATGTCTGGCCCCAATAGCACATCTTATTCTCTTCATTCTTTTTACACTTATAAAGGAGAAACTCATGATATAAAAGCAGAGATAGAAGAGATAAGTCTTCTGACAACCAGCAGAGACTGGAAGTTGAGATTAAGTGTGAAAAGCAGCATTTTAGAAGTCATGAGACACATAAAGCGAGTAAGGGCCACCCCTGCAGGCTCACAGTGAGGGGATACTGCATGGGTGGAAGCTACTAAACCAAAACAAGACCTTGCTAGGGACCTTCTGCCTGAGTTTTAGTCAGTACATCTAGTTGGGCAGCATCATGGCCAGGATGACATCCTTTGGGCTCTCCTTATGGATCATCAGGATATCCCATGGAGGTTGGGGGGGTGTTCACCAGTATCAGCTTACCTCCCATCCCTGCCACGATGGTCCCATTAGGATCGTTTGGATGTGGAGTTGAAGGTGGTTCATAGCCAATAACCAAGTCAATGGTGGCCTGTGTGGAAATAATTCATCGCAAACAGAATCAGTACAGAGCATGGAGGTCATAAACTCAAAGCAAATCAAGTCAGCATAAGTAAAAGGTGTAGAGAAGGTGAGCAGGAAGATGGGAAGTGAGATTGGTAAAAAAAGAGGAGGGTGATAGAAGCTCCGATTTTAATATTATACAACACACGAATCCAGGCAGGGTGAGAAAATTGGAAATGTGGGAAAGGAGTTTCTTGTTACCACTGCCAAGTGTGTCAGCTCTGAGGACAACTATGGACACTGGAGGAAAGCAGGCACAAATAAGCACAAACTTGTACTTAGCCTCCATCCTAGACTGGAGATTGCCTCCAATCACAGAATTATAGTTAAGGAGAATCTTTTAAAATAATTAAGTTGTTTGTTTGCTCGTGGACTTTTTTATTAATTGCTAGAATTTATTTTCACACTTCTCTCTAAAAGGAATTTTAAGTGACTAGCAAAAAATTACATAGCAATGTGATTCAAAAATTGGGTAAGAAGGAGAATCAGGGCTGATTAAAGAGGAAGCAAATATGCAAATAATGAAGATAATTGCTATCCTTTTTCCTTCATAAATTGTGGCCCTGAGATGACTGAGTCAAGGGCAAAAAGGAAAATAGAAAATAGCATGTAAATTTTCCTTCTGAAAAGGAAAAACACACTGGTCCTTTCTAGGAGATAAGGTTATTCATAGCATTAAAATCTGAGATAAGAAATTTATATAAGATAAATTTATATAAGATAAATTTCTTATCTCAGATTTCAATGCTATGAATAACCTTACATGTATTTTTACAGTGTACTATTTTTACATTTCATGAAACTACAATTTTTTGAGTTAAAATAAAATTCACTGTCACTGTCCTGTCCTCCCGTTGTTCATCGATTTGCTCGAGTGGGCCCAGTAACGTCTCCATTGGAGACTTTGTTGTTACTGTGTTTGGCATATTGAATACATCACGGGTAGCTTGCCAGGCTTATTTTTTTAAATTCACGAACTTACATTTTTTACTTTTGCTAATCCTAGTTGCACAGTGTTGCTAACCTTTAGTTTGCTGCATATATACCCACAACTCAACCTACTATTAAAATCATTTCACACAAGAAAGTAATTTTAACAACAATATGAGAAAAGATAAACTTCAGAATAAGGGGAGTCCTTTGCAACTAAAGATGGTGTATGCATGTGTATGTGCTTATATATTTACATACTTACACAGATTTCTAATAAAATGTGACATAATGAATAAGATTTAGGGCACACTCATACTAAAAATTTAATCAACATGCATAGATATTACTCGAGCATTCTGTTACAGAAAAATCAAGTTGGTAAAATTTGCTAGTTCTGTGAATGAGAACACAAGATAAAACCATATCATTTGTAAATTAATGTGTCAATCTCAAAAAACAGATTCCTGCTTTTTATGTAGTGATCTATTTAGATTTAAAAATTTTTTTCTTAAAGGATCTCATTTCAAAACCATTCAACAAGAGGAAAGACACTCACCCCAGTCTCTTGCCCTTTATCATTTAGCAGAGACACTTGTTTGTAGGGCAATGATCTGCTCTGATCACCCGTCAGGTCCTTCAGGGCTATGGTGGCGGTGCCAATCAGTCTGCAGGAGACACAAGAAAGCACACAGTAATCCGAGAAGCATGGTTCCCCTGACCCCACGGCCTTACCCACTCCCTCCCTCTTCATCTGCTATCACCTAAATCATCCATAATGAAATGCCAATCATTTTATTCTCACCTAAGTGAGTGTTTTGACAGTGAACATGTCAAAATACTTCTCTGTAACATGCAATCATGTCAAGATTCAAACTAGGAAGTCTGAAGTTTCAAGTCATGATGATTAGATGAGTGAGAGGCAAAGGCTGAATGTAGTCTCTTAGAATTCAAAAAAAAGTCCCACAAAGCCAGGAATTCCTCTGGATAGAAATTTAAGGGGACTCATGAATACAGATCAATATAGCTATCATGCTATAAGAAAATCAAGGAGATTTTCTTGAAGTCTAAATAGGTGGTTAGTTTACTGATGGGGCTAACTTACTACCCTCTATTATCTGAATCAGCATTTGAAAGTTGGATGTCTGCATTTCTTTCTCTTCCTGGACCCCAAAAGATCATCTTCAACCCCTAAAAGAGCCCATGCATTCTGTTTATTAGAGCAAAGTGCACTAAAGGTAGGAATTATTGTCTTTCAGTTCACAAACTCTAACCCTAGGGTTAAAACACAATGTGTTTCTTAATATATATTTTCTAATGAAGAAAAGAATAAATAAGTCTCTATATCAAGAATGAATACCCAGAATATTTGTATAGGGAGGACCTGATGGGAAAAAACATATAAAATGCATTTCCCAGGGAATTAGTCAAAATAAAAATGCAACTCAAGAAATTTAATCTTTAAACTAGTGGGTATAGCATGGAATATGATATATCAGTTGATGGATAGAGTATTTTATCTTTGTGAAATGCTATTTTTAAAATGCCAAGAATGTCCAGGGCTGTGCTTTCAGTAATGACACTGAAGAAGGGGAATAGAACTTTAAGAATTCAAGGTGTAAGAATTATAAGAATTCAATTACTATACTTTGCTGACATTTGCAGAAATCAGTGCCAGTAAATAGCAGCTACTATAGTCTGCAACACCATTCGCAGAAAAATAGAAAACCAAACATCAAGTCCTAGAAGTCATAAAAGAGATTCTTTCTGTTAAAAATCATAGAGGAACTGAACCTGAGTGGAGCAAAAGATATAACTCTGGGTTTGGAGGCAAAATTAAAACTCAGGAAATAGGGCTGGAGCAATAGCACAGCGGGTAGGGTGTTTGCCTTGCACGTGGCCAACCCAGGTTTGATTCCCAGCATCCCATATGGTCCCCTGAGCATCGCCAAGGGTGATTCCTGAGTTCAGAGCCAGGAGTAACCTCTGTGCATTGCCGAGTGTGACCCAAAAAGAAAAAAAACTGAGGAAATTTATTCTATAAAGAAATCTTCATTTTATTCTAAAATGTAATACAGTTTCTTTAAAAAATTAAGAAGTAAAAGCAAATGTAAACATATGCACATCATTGTTGAACATATCCATAGTCCTCCTTTCGATTCGGATCTCAAAAATAGGACAGGGCTCTCAACCAACCACATACCTCCAGTGACTTGCCAATATTAATAAATGACCTCACTTTTGATGAATAGATCTGCTGTATTGTTCAGGTGCCCTGCTGTCTCCAATGGAACAAATCATGTGCTTTCTTGGCTTCTTAGAAAAGTACACCTTTCTGGCCTTCTTGAACAGGAGACCACAAGGAGCTCAACAACTACAAGCGATTCTCATTTCTTCTAAGCTCTGACAAGTAGATTCTATGATTGGTGATGAGAAAGAAAATTTATGCCCCTGGAGAGATGTGTGAGCTTTTCAGCCCTTTAAGATAATACAGAAATTAAATCTCTCAATCAATGCTAAGAATCAATGGGGTCTTTAGAGAGTGTATTTACTTCAGATGTGTATATTTGTTATATTTTTTTTATAACTATGTTTTCTCTTTACATAAAATCATTATTTTCCTGACAGGTTGCAACTACAGGTAACTGCATGTGACCAGATGAAAGAGGTGAGCCCTTCAGCAAAGGTGTCCTTCACACAATCTCTTGCACACCCTTCATTGCCCCACATATGTGAACCTGAGGAGAATTTATTTCCCTGTTTTAGAAATAAAACAGTAATTCAAGGGAAAGGATCGTGGAAGATGATAAAAATGTGAGAAAATGTGAGAAAATTTAAGAAAATGTGAAAACTGCAGATTTAGAAGTCATCTGACTGATATTAAAGATCTTAATGAACTGCTCGCCTTAGATATATGGACATATACTGGATTGTATTTCTCACAATTTCAAGACTAAGCTTGTGATTAAAACAAATGACTCGCACACTCCAACATGTACTGACTTGCTATTGCTAAAGATGACCTAAATCTTCATCAGTGATATATAGTTCTTACCACAAAACCAAAAGTGCAGCATGCTGAGATGGTACTAAAGTAGAGAGTGGGCTAGTTTGGGTTGGAGCCGCATTTCTCAATCTTGGCCCTACTGATATTGTTAACGGTACAGTTCTTTTCTGAGGTACTCTCCTATGACTCATCAAATGTTCAGCAAATGAGGTGCTCTATACTGGTATTTCATTCTCTAGCATCTCTGTCCATTGTCATTTGTTCCCTACTGTTTGAGAATGATTGGGTTAGCCAATTCTTGTCAGCCCTATCTTTATATCAATTTCCTTTGAGGCTTTGGGCAAGTTATCTACCTCTTCAAGCTAACTTCATTTTCTGTAAATGGGCGGACTGAAGCATAGAATTCTTAGATCCTTTTGAACTCTATGTCTGCTGCTAGGCTTGAAGGCATGATATTCTCTACATATCTATTCTTCAAAGACAATCTCATTGAAGTATCTTCTTTCTTTTAAAGACCTTTGACATAAGTCAAGTGACTTCTTATTGACTAATGTAGGAAAATTTACGAGTTAGAATATGTCTATGATTGATGAACCAGAATACCTAGCAGGGTTTCTGTTTCCAAAGTGTTGGTTTATATGGGCACTGAACAAACTTAAATTCACACAGGGTGTTAAGAAAAAGGGTTTGGTGAAAACAGAAATGTGAAATGATGTGAGTGAAGTGTAAAACAACAGGGAGTGGAGAGACCTGCAAACATCAAAAGGAAATTATTTGTTTAAAACTTGGACACAATCTGAGTTACAACGTCCATTCTGACTCAACCGTGACCTGCAACTTTCCTTTCCTCATCAAAGTTAGTAACTTATGACTGACCAAAATAGAGAAAGTAAAAGAAATTGAATTGATATAGCTAATTTCAAGCCCTTATTTTAGAGAATGTTAGTTCCCTTTCTTAAGGTATGATTTTTTATCCCTTTACATAAGTGTGTGTGTGTGTGTGTGTGTGTGTTGGGAAGTGGGGTGCAGGAGGAGGTGACAGTGGTGGCGGGGAGTAGCTAAAAAAATATTATCTTTTTTTCTGAAACAAAGAAGGCATGTTTAAACGAAGATCTGGGATAACTTGCATCCCCAGAATACTTTAAACAGCCAGGATGAGTTGAAGAAAAGTGAAAATATTTGGTTAAGTAGAAGAAGCCTTCTGGGTAAGCCTGAGCTGGGGCGGATTCCAAGGACACACCCAGCCTTTTCTGGCCTATTTTCTCTGATGTTGCTTGGAAACAAAATACAGTCAGACTGGGAAATGATGACTTGGCCTCCTATATGGGGGAGGACAGGTCAGTCAGTCCTACCAGAAGTCAATTTCCTTTAAAGGGGATAACACTAAACTCTGAACCCTTTTCTCTCAGATTACTAAGGCAGCAAGCATGCTGAGATATTACAGTGTGACAGGAAAGGGAGGCTGCCCTGCATTTTCACAGAAAAACACTTCTCCCCATGGACTCCACCCAACACTGGAACAGAGAGAGGCACCCGCTCAAAAGGAAACTTGATAAAGAACCCCAAGGCCTTCGCTGGCTGCAGCTCTACTTGCAGAGTTAATAAATTGCAGATGTATTCTGAAGTCATGAAGAAACCCATCCTACCCAGTTTCTTTCTGTTCTAGAATGTCTGTATAGTTTGGGTGAATCTTCATGAAACAGGGAAATAATTATAGCAGTGAGAACAATGACTTAAACATTAGATGTTAGGATGTGTGTGGGGGGGGAAACATAAGAGTTTGATTGTAAACTTGGCAATTTGCTCATGCTAGCATTGGTTAAAAACTTCTTCAACAGTTTCTTTCTTGTCAAAACAGACAGGATATAGAATGTTTGGAAAAGAGAAGTGGAAAGTGTTCTCTCCAGGAGCCAATAGTAAAACGGAATGCCGCTGTGGTTTACAAAGAGATTTGCTGGCTGGGTTCTTAATGGGGGGGGTGGGGGGGTATAGCTCATGGATGTGGGCTGTTCTGGGAAACAGGGACTCACCCCACGTGGATTACTGGGGGAGGGTTTGCTGGAAATTCCTTCATAAAGGAATTCCAGCTGGAGGCTGGAAAGTAAGTCACAGGGATGACTGTTTCTGGCCTGACAGACTGTAGCACTTACCAGTTTCACATTCTCAAAGGGAAACTAACATCTCCTAATTAATTTAGGAGCCAGGCGAGTCTCTGAGCTGCTCCCAGGTTCTCCGCAGAAATCCTGGAAGGCCTGCGAGCTGCTCTTGGGTGCACTGGGCTCTGGGCCAACAGAGTCCTGTCATCTAGGCCAGTCATACGTAGCTACGGGATCCACTACCAGAGAGGCTGCCAGCTCCACAACGTCTCCTTGTCTCTTTGTCACCATTACTGACACAGACCCAAAAAGTGGGGGGGAGTGAGGTGGCAAGGGGTGGGCTGGCACCTGACTTGGACTAGATGGGTGAGAGAGCCAGGCTCAACCTAGGCAGCCAACCCCAGCACAGGAAGCTTGGGTAAGCCAAACCCCTTCCTAGGGCACTCCTACCCCAGTCTGGTATCCTCAAATACAAGTGGGGACCCCTTCTGAGTCTACAAGCTGACCCACATTAGCTCATAACCAGGGCTCAGAATGAGGGTTCCTGTAGCAGAACCACCACTGA